AAGATTTTTTTTCTATATATTTCAATGTGAAACTTGGATTCCCTAATGTGGCCCCACCCTACCCCGGGGGTCATGATTTGAACAATTTAGAATCTACACTACCTCAGGATGCTTCTACATAAGTTTCAGCTTTTCTGGCCCAGTAGTTCTTGAGAAGAAGATTTTTTTTAAAAATTCCCATATATTTCAATGTAAAACAGGGATTCCCTATTGGGGCCCCGCTCTACCCCCGGGGGTCATGATTTTTACAAATTAGAATCTACACTACCCCAGGATGCTTCCACATATGTTTCAGCTTTTCAGGCCCAGTAGTTCTTGAGTAGAAGATTTTTTCTATGTATTTCAATGTAAAACTTAGATTCCCTAATGTGGCCCCGCCCTACCCCCGGGGGTCATGATTTTAACAATTTAGAATCTACACTACCTCAGGATGCTTCCACATAAGTTTCAGCTTTTTTTGGCCCAGTGGTTCTCGAGAAGATTTTTAAAGATTTTTTTTCTATATATTTCAATGTGAAACTTGGATTCCCTATCGTGGCCCCACCCTACCCCCGGGGGTCATGATTTTAACAACTAGAATCTACACTACCCCAGGATGCTTTTACATAAGTTTCAGCTTTTCTGGCCCAGTAGTTCTTGAGAAGAAGATTTTTTTAAAAAAAATTCCCATATATTTCAATGTAAAACATGGATTCCCTATTGCGGCCCCGCCTTACCCCCGGGGGTCATGATTTTAACAATTTAGAATCTACACTACGCCAGGATGCTTCCACACAAGTTTCAGCTTTTCTGGCCCAGTGGTTCTTGAGAAGAAGATTTTTAAAGATGTTTTCTTTATATTTCAATAAAAAACTTGGATTCTCTTTTGTGGCCCCGCCCTACCCCCGGGGGTCATGATTTGAACAATTTAGAATCTACACTACTCCAGGATGCTTCCACGTAAGTTTCAACTTTCCTGGCCCAGTGGTTCTTGAGAAGAAGATTTTTAAAGATTTTTTTCTATATATTTCAATGTGAAACTTGGATTCCCTATCGTGGCCCCACCCTACCCCCGGGGGTCATGATTTTAACAATTTAGAATCTACACTACCCCCAGGATGCTTCTACATAAGTTTCAGCTTTTCTGGCCCATTAGTTCTTGAGAAGAAGATTTTTAAAAAAAATTTCCCATATATTTCAATGTAAAACATGGATTCCCTATTGCGGCCCCGCCTTACCCCCGGGAGTCATGATTTAAACAATTTAGAATCTACACTACCCCAGGATGCTTCCACACAAGTTTCAACTTTCTGGCCCAGTGGTTCTTGAGAAGAAGATTTTTAAAGATGTTTTCTTTATATTTCAATGAAAAACTTGGATTCTCTTTTGTGGCCCCGCCCTACCCCCGGGGGTCATGATTTGAACAATTTAAAATCTACACTACTCCAGGATGTTTCCACATAAGTTTCAACTTTCCTGGCCCAGTGGTTCTTGAGAAGAAGATTTTTTTAATGACCCCACCCTATTTTTGCCTTTTCTTGATTATCTCCCCTTGTAAGGGAGCTTGGCCCTTCATTTTAACAATTTGGCTTTCCTTTTACCCAGGAATACTTTGTACCAACTTTGGTTAAAATTGGCCCAGTGATTCTTGAGAAGAAGTTGAAAATGTGAAAAGTTTACAGACGGACAGACGGACGGACAGACGGACGGACGACGGACAACGGGTCATCAGAAAAGCTCACTTGAGCTTTCAGCTCAGGTGAGCTAAAAACATAAGGTTAATAGTCGCCGTTATTTATAACTCGACCTAACCCTCTTTCACCACGTGTTGTGGGCGCCATTATGTTTCCAACAAACCTTGAAAATCAGTTAACAAAATCTGACGTTCTGATAATGGATTTTGATGAAATTGTATTTTCATTGATAAACATTAAAAAAAAAAAAATACTGGAATTATCTTAAAAAAACTTTTCAGTCGGCGCGATTTAATTGGGTCGGTCGCGTTAGGGGAAACAAAGGTATTTTTTATTTTGGCCTCAAGAATTTTCTTATCGAATGGGAAATCCTGACGCCTGAATTTCTCGTATTTAAATCAAAATAAGTTATCTCTGGAAGTTTCCTTAAACATGATGTAAATGAAAGGAACGTAAAGATCTTGACCTTGTTTACGTATGCAACTATCCTCTTGAAAGCACGATTATCACTGAGAAATTGGGAAATGGGAACACATTAAAAAATCCATTCACTTCAGTAAACTTTCTTTTACTAACGGATATCAAAGATGACCCCGTTATGTTCTCTCTGGCTTTAGTTTGCATGTTTAACACAATTGCTATGTTTGAAATTTATTAACTGCATAATAATAAATGTTTTCTATTAAAGATTACACTGTAGCCAGAGAAAATTGTTATTTATAGGCTCTATCTATCAGTTACTGCATGCTTATTTACGAAATGAACGACTACATAGATCACGTGACTTTATTCTCACTAAATCCTCCTTCTGATGCTCACTAGAAATCAGTATTTGCTTGAGACAATTCTAGTCCAAGGAGATATGGTAGACAATGTTCCTGTACGGAATTGGTGATTTTATATTTCAGCAATACATACTTCAATGATATTTCTTATTGTCGTATGAAATGTCATGTTTCTGTGGTGTCCTTGTGTCCTCTTTATAATATTTATTATATTCAATAATATGTTTATTAATACCAAACAATAACTTGAACACCCGAAAACAAACTTGTTATGCAAGTACGTAGCAACAGGGGTCTGCCCCTCTTTTCGAAACATAACTTTTTACTATTGGAAATATTCATTGAAAGGACCCCCCTCCCCTTTTTTTTGTTGCAGTATAGACAAATAAGGGTTTGTAGTAGTGTATGAATAAAATTTGGCACTGAAAGAAGTTAAAACCTACCAAAATTTTCCATCCTTTTTTTCAGGTAAAGTTTTTTTTCCCTCTGGCTGCCCCCCCCCCCCTTTTCAAAAACGATGCTACGTCCCTATTATACAACAGCTAACTACAAATGGCGCCCACGTAGGTAATATAGGAAACAGATAAGCTACTTCTATATACAAATACCTGGTTCTTATTTTTGTTTGGCTGACATATTTTGCCTCGCAAGTTATGCTGAAATTGCTTTTCCCGCTAAAGCAAAATTTTATATGAGTGAACAGAGGTACATGTACAATGACCCTTAGATATATCTCTAACTCAATACAATATTCAAGTTGTGCCTGTAGCTGCATAGCAATGACTTCTGCGAGTTTTAATATGACATAAATTTCCAAAGTGATTGTTGCATTAACTAAAGTGGCCCAGAAGTTGCTAGGACGGGATCCAGGAATCTTTTCCTAGGAATGGGGGGAAAACTAGGGAAAATATGGCAGTTCCCTATATGTTGATTGATTGTCGTTTTACGTCCCTTGTCACTCACACGAGACGTCACTATGTACCGGTGAAGGGCTTCAAACTTAAGCAGTGGAGTTCTTTATCGTGTCAACGCCTACCGTGACATCAGTTTTTATGATCTCATCCGAAACACCCGAGACGTTTACTTCTATTACCGTGTATAAGGCTAAGAAACAGTCATTACATGTACCTATGTTAAGCGTCTTAGGTTTGACGAGGCGCCGAGAACGACAATCGAGCCCGGTACATCCCGATCACAACGCTACTCGTCCCTATATGGAAAACATCCTAGAAAAACTCAATATTCATATTATAATGATATACATGTAATAATTTTCTCGAAGTCCAAAACAAAATTTTTATTGTTGCTTAAGGCTTCCTTGCCCTTACTACACGTGACATCAACTTAGTACAAAGGAATGGGCATCACTTATTTTACTTCCAGTACTTTCAACTTTTTGGGAAACTTTAACATTTTATTCAGAACCAAGCACAGCATTCTTTTTGTTATTGAATAGCGTCATGAGGATTTTCCTACAGTGATGGTAACTATAAAATTCCTGGAATTAACCAACTTAGGAACTCTGAAGTAAAAAGCTTGCTGAAGTCAAAAAAGTTCTTCACCTGGGGGATTTTTATACCCCCACTTAAAAAGAAAAGCGGGGATTGTATAGTAATAAGGGTGTTCGTCCACCCGTTATCCTTTGGGGTACCCATATTTTATCCGCAATTCCTTTTACCACTGAATAAAAATTTAATGAGACTTTCACAGAATCTTTGTTACATGGTGCCATTGTGCACCTCCTAATTTACTTTTTGATCGGTCATATATTTCGGGTTTCCCATAGCAAACCATGGACACTGCCATTCTTTCTGTACTACTGGGGGTACGCCTCTCTTTTCCGCAACACCTCTTATACCACTGAATAAAATTTAATGAGACTTTCACAGAAACTTTATTACACAGTGCCATTGTACATGTGCGCGTCCTATTTTACTTCTTGATTGGGCACACATTTCAGATTTCCCCTAGCAAAACTTGGGCACTGCCATTCTTTCTATAATATCAGGGCTACCCATTCCTCTTATACCACTGAATAAAATTCAATCATGCTTTCACCGGAAATTTATTACATAGTGCAGTTGTGCACCTCCTACTTCATATTTTGATCAGACAGATATTTGGGTTTTCTCATAGCAAAAATATGGACTTTGGCATCATAATCATAGGAGGGGGAGGGGAGAAGTCATTTTGTGAGCTCAGTGCTCACAGTACTTCTGTTTAAACTCAAATTTTAATTTTATCAAGTACTTTGTATATTATGTAACTGTGTATGATGGGTAATTGTAAATCCTTAAACACTCTGCATTTGATATTTATTTCCTTTGCTTTCATTTATTTGGTTTTCTCTCATGATTACTTAGGAATTACGTCTACAATGTATAAAACTACACTGGGAGACTAAATATAAAATTCCAGTACTATCTCAGTTCAAAATTAATGATGTGGACTGACATTCAGTCAGACAAACAGTAATCAATATTTCCTCTGATTTTCACCCCCTGGATTTCCAAAAATGATGATAAAAAGGTAAAATGACAGCTATCAACATCAGATTTTATTTTCATTATACGTCAATTATATTTACAGTGTTCAATAAATTATAAAATGGACGGATAACCAGATCTTCACAATTTCAGTACTTCTATAACAACATTGGATTTGGTCAGAGTTTTGTAGAACTAGTCGCAGGTTTATTCTGGTAAAAGGTCATCACCGACATCTTCATCAAACAAATCGTCATTGTCCGGTTTACGAGCAGCCGCTGTTTTCGGACGCTCCATTTGTGGTCCCAAAGGATCCGAGTAGCTAGCATCTGAAACAGATATAAATAATATTAATTTATGTCCTTCAATCAATGACTTTATTTCATAGTATACTTTATAAAACAAAATACTGAATTGATATTGTAGCAGTTCATCAGTTACTGAACCTAGACCAATTGTGATTACAAATTTTATGTGCATCCTTTACAAATAGTTCACTGGGAATTAAAATCTTAATCTTAAGCCTTCAAAGTTTAATAATTTCATCAAAGAAATTAAAGATGTACAAATGGTGCATAAAGTACAATATTTCTGTGAGTAGTACTGATTTCTCTCTCTCTCTTGTTTTTTTTTTGGTTGTCTTTTTCAATACTCATTCTGAATATACATTCATCTTGATCAAATTAACAGTTGTTTTACACATATTCAATTATTTGTGTAAATTTAAAATCAATATATATCTTTTCCATGATTTTCCACAGATTTTTAAAATTATGTTAGTGCATCCTAGGTTACATTTCTACGGCCATATTTATATATGTCAGTTTGAATTGTTAATGCCCACCAATGTTATGATCTTGCCATTTAGATGGCTGTCTACATTTTATCAGTAAGTGTTGGAAGTTTATTTTTGTAGGCTGTTCTCTACATTGTATTAGTGAACAAGGATTGGTGCCAAATGGACAAAAATAAACAACAAAGGAAAAATGCAGTACAGAGAATTTCTTTAAATTGTCATACAAATATTTCTTTCTTTCTTTTTTTTTTTTTATTTTTTTTTCTTACAGTTTATGTAAAAATGCTTTAATAATTGTGTTTACAGTTTTTTGGGAAAAAAATGAACAGGAAAAAAATCAAAAACAAGCAATGAACTGGATAGAAAAAGATTTCTGAAACACAAGCTTAAGTATGAAGTGTAAAGTAAGAGGATGCTATAAGCAACATAAATATTATATTGATATATAGAGGAAGAAAAAAGGATTCTACCACCCACAGTTCAACAATCTTACCTTGATCTTCCACTGTTAAATAACAAAATTAATTACTACACCCTTCATGCAACCCTCCCCTAAAGACTACCCTAGCCATAACCAATGAGTATATACAGGTAGCATGCTATAATCATACTTCATTCTATACACTCTAACATGCCTGGGAGAAAGAGTAATATAAATATGTATGTAACAGTTTATTCTAACTTCTAAGGAATTTAACTATCTAAAATAATCTAAGATGAATATTACCATTTTCATTTACATGTTTACTTGACACTATGACATATTTGAAAACTTAGACCCATTTTAGTTACATGTACTACACATGATTATAATGACTTCCCCTCTCCCCAATCTCTAACCTACAGGATACAGTGTGACTACAGTGGTTACATACCAATTTCCTGACGTCCGACCTGGTATGGCTCGTCACCAATGTCATCCAGGTGTGGACGACGACCTTTAGATTTTCCTTTTCTGCCTCCACCACTTCCTTCACGCTCTGATTAAGAACATTAACAATTCACAAAAAAGATATACATAATTTAGTCTGTTATTTTGTATGAAAATTAGGAATTTATATCCAAATAAAAGAGCATATGCTTTTAACAACAGCCATCCAATCTTTCTTTTTTTGAGGAAGTAAAACATTAAGACTAAGTAGCAAGTAGTGCCTCCGAAACCTCTCTCTTATCAATCAAGTAACTTCCCAGTTACCTCCCCTGTCTATCCTCTCCCCTCCTGCCACGCCCACTTCTCAGTTACCTCCCCTGTCTACCTACCTTCCTCTCCCCTTCTGCCATGCCCACTTTCCAGTTATTTCCCTTGTTTACCTACCTTCCTCTCCCCTCCTGCCACGCCCACTTCCTCTCCGAGTTCCACTGGTTGCCCTCTGGTGAAAAAAATGACATCATTATAATTCATGTACAAAATTTTCCAAATGTCTTATTTATCACGATATGAGGGGGATGGAATTTTTCTTTCCATTGAATCCTATTGAGGTTTGATATGTTATAAATAACTTTCAATATTCCATTTTCTTTACATGTAAACTTCTGAAATCGAGCATGGTTTAAACAAGAGGCCCATGGGCCTTGAATCGCTCTTCTGATTAACTGTACAACCTATCACTTCTATTTGAAGCCTCGAAGTATCCTGTATATTTCCATAAACCCTTGAAATTCCAATTCACACTCTGAGAACCCAAGATGATTCTAAGCCAATTAGTACCTGAGAGTTGCTCATGGTGACCTACTTATCACTTGTCATTCTCTGAGGACCCATCAACTAAGTTTGATGATTCTAAGCCAATTAATACCTAAAATATTTTTTAAAATTATAATCATAAAATTTTATAAGTAGGTCAAAGTGACCTACTTTTCAATTGTTTTACTCCAAGGACCCAAGATGCATCAACTGACAAAGTTTGATGATTCTAAGCCAATTAGTACCTGTAATATTTAATTAAAGCCATAAATTTTCAAAAGTAGGTCACAGTGACCTACTTTTCAGTCAACCTACTCCGAGGACCAAAGATGCATCAACTGACAAATTTTGACGATTCTAAGCCAAATAATTCCTGAAAATATTAAATACAGCCATAAAATTTCAAAAGTAGGTCACCGTGACCTACTTTTCAGTTGTTGTACTCCGAGGACCCAAGATGCATCAACTGACAAAGTTTAATGATTCTAAGCCAATTAGTACCCGAAATATTTGATTAAAGCCATAAATTTTCAAAAGTAGGTCACCGTGACCTACTTTTCAGTTGTTGTACTCCGAGGATCCATGACGCATAAACTGACAAAGTTTTATGATTCTAAGCCAATTAGTACCCGAAATATTTTATTAAAGCCATAAATTTTCCGAAAGTAGGTCACGTTGACCAACTTTTTAGTCGACCTACTCCGAAGACCATGACGCATCAACTGACAAAGTTTGATGATTCTAAGCCAATTTGTACCCGAAATATTTAATTAAAGCCATAAATTTTCAAAAGTAGGTCACCGTGACCTACTTTTTAGTCGATCTACTCTGAAGACCCAAGATGCATCAACTGACAAAGTTTGATGATTCTAAACCAATTAGTACCCGAAATATTTAATTAACGCCATAAATTTTCAAAAGTAGGTCACTGTGACCTACTTTTTAGTCGACCTTCTCCGAACACCCAAGATGCATCAACTGACAAAGTTTGATGATTCTAAGCCAATTAGTACCTGAAATATTTAATTATAGTCATATAAATTGAAAAGTAGGTCACGGTGACCTACTTTTCAGTTGACCTTTTTTGAGGACCCAAGATGCATCAACTTACAAAGTTTTATGATCATAGGACTTAAAATGTCCAAATTATGCCTCTAAAATGCTTTGAAATCGAATGCCTGCAAAGTTAAAAAAGTAGGTCACTGTGACCTACTTTTTAATAATTATGTTTTTTGGCCCCAAGATGCATCATCTTACAAGATTTAATGATTCTAAGCCTCCCCGTATTCGAATTAATGACCTTAATTGTTTTAAAAAAGATTAGCCATTAAATTCAAAAAGTAGGTCAAGGTGACCTACTTTTTAGTTGACGTACTTTGAGGACCCAAGATGCATCAACTGACAAAGTTTGATGATCATAGGCCTTAAATTGTTCAAAATATGCCTCTAAATCATTTTGAAAAAGAATGGCCGAAAAATTTAAAAAGTAGGTCACCGTGACCTACTTTTGAGTCAACATGATATGAGGTCCTTAGATGCACCAACTGACAAGATTTGATGATCCTAGTCCTTATAGTAAGCAAAATATCAACATTTTAATAAAATGTAATTTTTGGTCAACTTTGAAGTGACCTTGAGACCACACCCTTTGCCCCAGGGTAAATCCCCGTGCAAATTTTAATCTACAACATATCCTCATCCTTTTGTGTAAGTTTGGTGATAATTTGCCCAGTGGTTCTTGAAAAGAAGATTTTTTAGCAACCAGTACTTTTGTTTCTATTTTCCTAATTATCTCCCCTTGTTAAAGGGTCACAACCCCAGTTTTAGTATAAAAAGGAGCCCTTGGGCCAAGGATACCCTGTGACAAATTTGACAATAATTGGCCAAGGGGTTCTTGAGTTATGGCCCATATTCTAAAAAGTTAACGCACACCGCACACTGCACAAATGGCCATAGCATTAGCTCTTTGAGCCTTTGGCTCAGAAGAGCTAAAAATTCACCTGTTCTCTGAGCTCTTTAGTTTTCTCTGCTTTCTTTAACTTGGTAGCATATTCCTGAGCTTCTGGTAACCCAAGATCTGAACAGATTCTCATTAGATAACGTAGACCTGTACAAATAAACAAACATGTACAAATAAACAAACATCTGAACAGATTCTCCTTAGATAACGTAGACCTGTACAAATAAATAAACATCTAAACAGATTCTCCTTAGATAACGTAGACCTGTACAAATAAACAAACATGTACAAATAAACAAACATCTGAACAGATTCTCATTAGATAATGTAGACCTGTACAAATAAACAAACCTCTGAACAGATCCTCATTAGATAACGTAGACCTGTACAAATAAACAAACATCTAAACAGATTCTCATTAGATAATGTAGACCTGTACAAATAAATAAACATCTGTACAGATTCTCATTAGATAATGTAGACCTGTACAAACAAACATCTGAACAGATTCTCATTAGATAATGTAGACCTGTACAAATAAACAAACATCTGAACAGATTCTCATTAGATAATGTAGACCTGTACAAACAAACATCTGAACAGATTCTCATTAGATAATGTAGACCTGTACAAACAAACATCTGAACAGATTCTCATTAGATAATGTAGACCTGTACAAATAAACAAACATCTGAACAGATTCTCATTAGATAATGTAGACCTGTACAAACAAACATCTGAACAGATTCTCATTAGATAATGTAGACCTGTACAAACAAACATCTGAACAGATTCTCATTAGATAACATAGACCTGTACAAATAAACAAACATCTAAACAGATTCTCATAAGCTACCATAGACCTGTACAAATAAACAAACATCTGAACACATTCTCAAAAGAATGAATCTTTTTGTAGATGATAATTTCTACATACATTCTATATTATCTGGGAATCCCTTGTGAATCTTTTTGTAGATGATAATTTGTTCATACATTCTTTACCATCAAGGAATCGTTTGTGAATCTTTTTGTTGTTGAAAATTTCTACATATATTCTATATCATCAGGGAATTACTTGTGAATCTTTTTATAGATGATTATTTGTACATATATACATGTACATTCTATATTATCAAGGAATCACTTGTGAATCTTTTTATGGGTGATAATTTGTACATACATTCTATATTATCGGGGAAACATTTGTAGATCTTTTATAGGTGATAATTTGTACATCCATTCTATATTATTAGTAATTTTTGTAGGTGATTATTAGTACATACATTCTATATTATCGGGGAATCGCTTGTGAATCTTTTTGTAGGTCTCCAGGGCTTGCTGATAATTTCCACTCCTTCTGTAACAGCTGGCTATCATCAACTGCCACTTCACCTGAGCTGGCCTGTTAAACAGTTCAGGGAAGTTTTATAACTACTGTACATGTACATGGTTACACATAAAACAATACAAAGTAATGCCTTTCTATTTACAATTTTAGACAGCGAGAACAAAGGACATTCAAAAATGGAAAAGAATAATAAAACTAATACATTGTATACAGTTTCAAATTTTATGGTTTTAAACAGAACAAATATTTTATCCACTTTATTTATTATCAAATGACTTCTGACGAATGATTCTTTAGTTTTTTTCAGTCTATACTACCTGACAATAAGCATAACTGATGAAAAAAATAACAAAGCTGACTTACTGAACAATGGCTGCTCTCTCAAAGTAATGTATGGCCTTTTCACAGAACTGTGAGTCTATGTAGTAAGCTCCTAACCACTCAATGACAGGAATGTTGGAGGGAAAGTATCGATATGACTGTAAATAAGGAGAGGTTAATTACAATATATACAAGTTCCTAACCACTCAATTACGGGAATGTTGGAGGGGAAATACCAGCATGACTATACATAAAGAAAGGTTCATTACAATATACAATATATACAAGCTCCTAACCACTCAAAAAATGGAATGCTGGAGGGAAACAGGTATGACTGTTGATATAGGTTCATTACAATATGTATTATATTGTGGGTGTAAATTCATCAAAATAGAATGAACATATTCTAATTACTGAAGATTTTATATGACTGATGATCTTACGTCATAATAGTACTGGAATGCCTGAGATTTATCTCCCTCATTGTCGTAGATTTCTCCCGTCCTTGCGAGAACCGAGGGGTCTGTGGGAGCCACGCCTATCAACTGCATGAACCACTCTGTAGCTTGAGCTGTGTCCTCCAGCTGATCATGTCTATTTATAGGTCAAGGTTACACACACAATATTTAGTGTATTTGCTCTTCTTCCTTATAAAAATGTTACTAGAGTCTTTCAGTAATGTTAACATAAATTTAGAAAATGATAAATACTGCAATGTAGAGAGCAGTGAGACAGAAGGATACAGATCTGCTATCTGGTACATGACTTGGGGACTGTTCCGTAGAATGGCGTGGAGTTTGTAGAAACAGTCTAACGCATCCTCTAATCGACTTATCTTTTTATTGGTTAACCCTGTGTGAAAAGACAGAGGTGAATTTAAAGCTAACAATAGATACAATTTTAAAAAGCATTGAAAATTTTATCTTGAGATTTGAAAAACTAAAAAAATATTGTGAACTATCTAAGATGAAGACCTGATAGTTGTGCAAATTCTGATAACCGTTAAATTCATCTTAGTGGAATATTACAATGTAGATCCTAGACACAGTGTGAATGATGACCCACCTAGATTGTATAAGCCCTCCACACAAGAGGAATCATTCTGTAAAGCCTCTTTATAGAATTCTCTTGCCTTTTCATAATCTCCTCGGGCATACAACACATTTCCCTTATTTACCAGAGCTGAAATGATATATAAATATCAAGATTATCACTGTCCTGTTGGGATTTCAACAAAGAGCTAGGTTCACTTTATGCATAAAATGGCCCTATCCTTATATCAATTAATTGGTTATCACCCTCTGTCCCATTTCATATATCAAAACCAGAAGTCTCTGACAAGACTGTAGCTCTACTGGTTGTATTTATAAAGGAAGATAAAAGTAGCACTTGGACTTGAAACTTTGCAACAGCAATAAATAGAATAATGATCCTTGGTTTAGTCTCTTTTGTGGCAAGATTTATTATTATATCAGACTAAAACTGCAGGAGGAGGAGCCTTTTAAAACAATTTTACAGAAATTTTGATTTAAGTAACCATGGCAACATCATTCAACAAAATCAAAAAAACAATAACACCAATTATATATCTCTGTAGTCTACTTGTATGCCACATTATACTGAAATCAGACAAAAAGTGTAGGAGGAGTAGCGTTTTGAAAGTATTTCAAGAAAATTTCTATTTTTAGTAACCATGGCAACACTGTTCATCCAAATCCGAAACTGGTACAGAGAATTATGCATCTTAGTGTAGTTTACTTGTGTGCTAAGTAATACTAAAATCAGACCAAAACTGTAGGGGTAGCATTTTGAAGGTATTTCAAGGAAATTTCTATTTTTAGTAACCATGGCAAACAATGTTCATCGAAATCAGAAATCAATATAAAGAATTATGTATCTTAGTGTAGTCTACTTGTTTGCCAAGTTATACTGAAATCAGACCAAAACTGTAAGAGGAGTAGCATTTTGAAAGTATTTCACAGAAATTTCTATTTTTAGTAACCATGGCAACACCGTTCATCGAAATCAGAAATCAAATAAAGAATTATGTATCTTAGTGTATTCTACTTGTTTGCCAAGTTATACTGAAATCAGATCAAAACTGTAAGAGGAGTAGCATTTTGAAAGTATTTCACAGAAATTTCTATTTTTAGTAACCATGGCAAAACCGTTTATCGAAATCAAAAACCGATACACAGAATTATTCACCTTAGTATAGTCTACTTGTGTGCCAAGTTATATTGGAATCAGATCAAAACTGTAGGAGGAGTAGCATTTTGAAAGTATTTCACAGAAATTTCTATTTTTAGTAACCATGGCAACACCGTTCATCGAAATCAAAAACTGATAAACAGATTTATGCATCTTAGTGTAGTCTACTTGTGTGCCAAGTTATATTGAAATCAGATCAAAACTGTAGGAGGAGTAGCATTTTGAAAGTATTTCACAGAAATTTCTATTTTTAGTAACCATGGCAACACCGTTCATCGAAATCAAAAACTGATAAACAGAATTATGTATCTTAGTGTAGTCTACTTGTGTGCCAAGTTATATTGAAATCAGACCAAAACTGTAGGAGGAGTAGGATTTTGAAAAATTGTTTACAGACGGACAGACAGACGCACGGACGGACGACGGACACCTTACTATCGCATAAGCTCTTCTGGTCTCTGACCAGTAGAGCTAATAAAGTAGAGACTTAGTGCTTTCATTTCCTGTAACAAAATTTCTTTTTGAGAATCCAGGTATTGGAAAACAGGCTTTGAGAAAATACCATGTTCTTGTGAATTTTGCAAAAAACATACGTATTTGACTACCTTCAGCAAAGAATTAAAATATGAGCTCAGTCCACGATCCAAAAATTAAAATATGTTTTGTGATCTTCAGAAACAGATCTTTCATTATATATCTAAATATTTTGGATCAGAGGTTGTGCTCTATATGAAATATTGAAAAAATACCTCAAATTTTGGCCATTTTTAAGGGAATTTACAGGATATGGGAAAAATGACGCACTTTATGACGTCATAATGCATTGACTAGAGAGAAAATTACCTCATGTTCAATAGATACATGGTCACTAAGGGTCCAAGTTATAAATACTGCATATTTTCCACCAAAACTGAGCAGTTTCGATTTTTCAGAAATTCTCAGGGCCAAAAAAGGCCCTAAGTGGCTCTTGCTCTTTGTTTTCTATCAGAAGTTTTACTACGTGTGATTATATAATACTGTAATACTATGTAAGAAACATTTTTTTACAATGTATGATTAAATGTAATCTGTCGTGAAAATCAATATCAAGTCATATCTTCTTTGTAAAAAAATTTGAAAACTAGACATAATAATCAAGCTAATAAAGATGGGTCATTAAAAATATTAACTTCTGATAAATCTGATTATTGTGTATAGTAGAACATAGGTGACGTACCTGCGGGATTATATCTATCAGAGAACACATGACCAGTGGGAATGTGGTGTACATATATAAGTACATGGGACCTGTGGGATTGTGATATAATGTAGAAGTTGAGTGACTTACCTGCAGGATTATATCTATCAGCACTCATTGCCAGCTCTGCGTATTTGTCAGCCTGCTCTAAATCATTCTCCTATTGTAAAAATAAACAATAACTGTGATTTACAGTAAACAAAACCCTGTGTAACATATCCATCAGACAACATATACATAGATTAACATTGTCCATTATAGGAATAATTACTGTACCTTCCATTTATAGCATAAAAAGATTTTTACCATTGCAAACCTTGAAAACAATGCTGTAGATGTAATTATTAATTACGAAGCTAATGTGAAGTACAATTTCTAGTCTCAACCATCATGGTTCTCCCTGATTTAAAATATTTGGTGATAAGAGTGAAACATTGCAGCTGATTAATAGCACATCAAAATGATACAAATGAATATTTCATGTGGGAATTGCATTACATAGATTTTGATAATGAGCAGAAGTTAGATATGTATTTACTGAATCCCATAGAATTTAGCTGTTTATTGGCTGGTTATATAAATGTAACAGATGCAGAGTTTGTATGCCTTACATAACATTTAGACATACATGTATAATTACGTAAAATTACTGCAATAAAAATTTCAAGGACAGTTTTATAATTGGAATGCATAATTCAAAATTCAAGACTGAATACATAAATTATATGCAATAAAACAATAACAATTAGGGAAAAAACGACCTTAAAAGCAGAGAAACAACTTCTGTGATAAAAAAAAAGTAAACTCTGTGAACTACCAAAAAGCAAGTGTTCTCTCAAACAGAATTCTATATCTAATTATGTTAGTTATTTTCATTAATTTCTATATGTTATGCTTTCTATAAACCCCCTACCCCCCTTTTTACAACAAAAGAAAAAAAGAGGAAGATTTCAACATTTACCATCTACTTGGTGGTGGGAGTTAATTGACATTTGACACAGTAAAAAAGTACATGCTTTCAAATGAACAAAAATTCTAAAGCAATTTTTCAACAAAAAGAGGTCATAAGCCACAAAGCTCACCTAATTTACAAGTCTGCATTGTATAATACTATCATTTACTGCATACAGCAGGCATGAACAGTTAACAGGGGATGCTTACTCCTCCATGGCACCTGATCCCACCTCTGATGTTTTTAGAGGTCAATGTTTGCTCTGATCATAATTTGTATTCTTTTAATGGATTTTGAGCATGATCATAGTTAATTTTCTTCACTTTTCATTATTTTTATTTTCATGATTACAATGTATATTAAATGATGTTTTTCAGTCATTACAATTCCTTGGAACAAAAAAAAAACTAAATAACTCAACCAAAACTGTATACTTCACATCTTTTATATGCACTCATAGCAATAATCAACTGAATGTAATCAGTTTCAACCAATCAGAGGCCAAAGTCACAATTTGTGCTTCATTATTCCATCATTAAAATTTTATTGAATCTAATAGAAGAACATCTTAACCCAAAAGTTGGGGAAAAAAAATTACTCGCTATCAAATAAAGAAGTTAACTCTGCTTATCAGTTGCCATGGTGGTCAATTGGAATTCCGATCTCTTGAAACCTAGAAAACTGAGAAGGTCATTCGGGGGCAAAACACTGTATAGTATATTTATTTCAATAATCTTGACATTTAAGATTTGACCTTTGAGCCAAGACAACGTTGACAAACAAACAGACTTTGTGATTACTAAACTGCACCTGCATTTTCACGCATGTCCTTATTATCAGCATTTTTTCAGGAGACCCTTTAGGGATTCATGTCCTCTTTTCCTGACATGTATGCAAATAAACACATACAGGATGACAGTTACCAGACACATTTCTGATCAAAAAAACTTACATAAGCATTTGGTTCAGGTGAGCTAAAAAGGAATCAGGAATAATACAAGAGTCAGAACTGTTTTCCTATACAATAATGAAGTCATTCTTTTTCTAACATTGTTTTCTGTTTAATAACTGAAATAATATCATAAGAGATACAGCATATTTTCAATCAATAATCAATCAATGAGAAAGAATGACTTCAGGAGAAAGGGAAATAAAACAAAATAAATGAAAAAGAGAGCAGACAATATGCAATGGTAAATAAGCTAATTATGCTGTAAATACCTCTCCATGCTGTAGTGTAAACATAAAACACACAATAACTGACCCACAAAGAACATGTGTGATGTATACTGATGTGATTATAACATCTGACAATACTAGGTTAAAACATTCAGCCTTCAGACAAGTTATAGGCATTGACTGTATTAGATGCTGATTAAATGCAACAGAATGTAGTTTTTCAACTTAATGATTAAATTAAATTTAAACATAACTGCCATGATTTATTCATCAAGTATAGGCCAAGCAGACAGAAATTAGAAAGATTTCAAAAGTATATGGTTATAAGCAAAAGTAAAATCTAATTATTCTTGCAGCATATCCACTGTATCAGTAAGTAATTTATCTTTCTTTTTTAACCTATAGCAGTAATTAAGCCTATTTCATACTGGCTATTAGTTTTATTGACGAGACACAACTGTCTTTGTTCCGTCAGACAGGAAGGAGGAAGTAAACCAGGAAGTCAGATCACTTACCAGGAAATACAGGAAGGACAGGTTGGTGGCCGCGGTGCTCGCTACTTTTGTGTCCTTCTTTTCAAACGATTTCAGAGTCTCGATCGCCTAAAATATAATGTACATAAAAGATACACAAGAGCAATACTCAGACTTTCTATTAGTACATGTACATACTGTATCAGTATTTCATAGATACACATATGTATTTTGTTATTCTGCTATACAACTGACCTGGAGTACAATTCAAATCCTCTATTTCCAGCTCTTTATGAGTGAAAAATTCTTGAATGGGACATAAAACAACAGACAATCAATCAATCCAGCTATAAAACTCTCAAATTTTACCCCTTTCTAAACATATTTAATGACTGAGGTTATGTGCATGCTTTAATACCCATTTTCTTGGTTCAAAATTTTTCTTACTTGGTTAAATTACACGTATTTTCACTCACTTGGTTGAAATCTTTCTCTTTCAGGAACATGATGGCCTTGTCAATTTCAAGGTCATGGGCAAGGTCAAGGTACTGTGATGACTTAACTTGCTCTGTGCACCTGTTATTTCAAAATGATTTACATATTCAGACTAAAGCTTACTTAATCCTCAAAAGGCTTCTTTGTCTATGAGGTTAACAAACTTCTTTATCTAATATTTATTTCTGCTGGTACTTCGGTTAAAAAATGCCATGTAACTGTTACTGATTTTTTCAATCTTAAACAGAGTTAAAATGTTTCAGAAGCTGCATGGAACTGTAGTTCTAGTCTTAATTTACATGCAAATGTTATTTTGACATAAAGTTTTCATGAAGCATACTCTGTAACAAAATTTCCAGCTTATTGCTTATACAAGTCATGTATCATCTTGGATGCGAGTATCAAATCAGTACTGATCTGTAAACAGTAAACAAACTAATCCAATCTGAGGACCAAGGCTCTATGATATATGTGAATTCAATAAAGATTAAATTGTGCATAATAGAAAATTGTGCTTTACTGTATATATATGCATAAATCAAATATGGTGTGAAATCTTTTACAAAGTTACAGACCAGTCACAAGAGAACTGGGCTTCTGTGTAACCATGAATCACATAAGGTGTGATTTTTTTTTTTAATAAAGTTACAGACCAGTCGTATCCCACTGAGAACTGGGCTTCAATGGCCGGAGAGATGATCTTGGCCGCTGTCTTAATGCAGTTCTCTGCATCATACTTCCTGTTAACAAAATTATTCACAGCTTAGTGTAACATTCTAAAATACAACAGTCAATACTACAGAGTGTATCACCAATCCTTTTTTGTTCATCTTTCTTTCTCAGATGTAAAATACTATACCTTTTTCTCTCTATCTGTCGGAGGGAATCGTTTTTGATGACCTCCAGAATCAGGTTATAGTTTTTATCCTCCTGTAAATATTAACACAAAAAACTGTGAAGAAATTCAGTTTTTAAAGAAATTTTAAGGCACAACAAACTGTAAACCAACTTTAATTTGCATACTAGAAATATCCATGTATTATGCCATCTTCTTGTACTTGCGAATATTATTCATGTTAATAATTGAGTATTTAATATGTACAGTATTTCCTCAAGTTAAAGATTTCAAACTAAAATTTGCAAATAAAAGTTGCAAGTAAAAATAAGAAGTATTTTGATATAATTGTAAAATGTAGAATTCCACTCTGCATATTGTTTGAAAAATCTGATACCCCATGAGGGAGATATTTGTCCTCATCGTCAATTTTGAGGTCCACAGTCAGCAGTTTCTGAAACCCCCTCTTCATCTTCTCTCTGTCCCCCAGGGCGAAGTAACAAAGGATGAGATTAAAACCTGTCTTAAAGTTGGGAGATTCCTGCATGATGTGTTCAAACGACGTGATGGCATCATTGTACTGCCCCATCTTCACAAACACAATCCCTATGTTCTGCATGATATTTGTTCTGGGTAAAAAGCACATAATAACATTAACTACATTTTACAGATGCTTCTATTACAATTTATTATTGTAAATATAATACTGATAACCTAGCAGCTACAAAACATTTATCTAAAACAGAAAAAAAAAAAAATAAATACATAATCAAATCAGAAATCAGTAATGCATTCCTTTTTATTTTTCTTATATACAAATACATCTTGTACTGTAATTTTTGGGGTATATGTCGATAGGGTATATAGGTCGAAAGGCTCATTTTCAGCCATAATTTTTAAAAAATCCTTAGATAGGACGAATTTGGAAGATAGGACGAGGCTTTGTTTATCGATTTTCTAGAGATTCTTAGTATGTAGATACTACATATCAGAACATGTAAACCTCTTTAATTTAACCCGTGATATTAACGTATTGAGAAAATAAACTGGTATTTTTATGAGTACAGCATTTTAATAGTGTTTATACACACATAGTTAAAACTTCCTTGAATTGTGATATAACGTGTTTTCTCCAACTTGCTGTTCAATGCCGTCGTAGTTTGACTCTGTTGTTAAACACAAAAATACGGTAGTATACAACAGCTATAATTAGAGTAATACCCGAAATCAAACAATAATCATTTCCATTTTAGAACATCGTGGGCACATTCCTTTATTCCGACATTATTTACCGGGGTACAATATTAACTTCGATGACCGCCATTTTTTATATTTCTTGTCCAGGGATTTGCTAAAACACGCAAATGACTATACATGTAACAGTGAGCAATTGAAATTAATCATATTAATATGCTATAATTTTGCTCGAGATATTGTTGTAACAAATAAATTTAATTGAGAGTACATTCGCAATTTAACAGTCATCATGATTTGTTCAATGATGTATAGCACTAATACCCCTGTAACGGCACGTGGATCTGTTAATCATGCCCCGGAGGTGTTAAAACCAACACAGGTGTTAACACCTTTGTGTACACATGCAGTGTATATCCCTTTATCTGTCAGACAATTAAAATTCTATTAGAAGCCAATCTTTGTATAATTCAGTGTACCATTTGGGATATAAAACAAAATAGTTATGACTAGAATAAATTTAGGAATTTACTGGCAACAATTTATTTCACGCATTTTACATTTAAATAAATGTCACAAGACAATGAAAAAATATTTGGGTATACTATTTCAATTAATCGTTACAAATAAATGGTAAAAAAAAAAAGAAAAAAAAGATTACAATTGCGATTGTGAAAACTCTTCCGTATTTTAAACTTTGATACGGTTGCAGTTTTATTTTTAGTAAACGATTGCGACTTCCAACTTGACAAGATGGACACAGCAAGTTGTAAATATACTTTGAGACATTATTTACTAGATGATATATTAATTTTTTTTGTACATCGACGGATATTTAATGGAACTTACTTTGTAAGAAATCAATGGAATAAATATTTAATTCTTTATTGTTTATTTTTTTCTCGGTAAAATAATTTTTAAAAAATACGAAAATAGCACAGATTTGCTTTGAAATTGACGTAAATTTTACTGATTTTGGGGCATTTCTCGTAAACTTGAGCCTTAGATAGGTCGATTCGTTAAATAGGACGACCCCAGCGGTTCTGAGGAAAAAAGTATTGTCCTATCTTCCAAAACTTACGGTATATGCTCCTTTTCAGTCTACTCACATTATAATGCTGCATTCATTAAATTTACCTCATTTCCTTGTGAGAATTGGGCACCTGATCCAGGGCCATTCTGTAGAATTTGATGGCTTTGGGATAATTCCTCTGTCTAAAGTATATATTCCCCATGTTCACCTTTAATCGACCTGCAACATTCCCAAATGGTGTGTACACAGAAGATAAAATGTAAAAACAAAATGAAAGATAAATACCAGCCTATGAAATATCTATAAAAAAAAAAAAAAAAAAAAAAGAAACAAGACAAATGAAGTAAATATTTATTTAACTATCAATTTTTTTTTTAACCTTGTCACTGGGTTCACAGGTGCGTGAAAGTCAGTCAATATATCGGGTCTCAATAGCTCAGTGGTTAGAGCGCTGGCACGGTACGCCAGAGGCCCTGGGTTCGAGTCCCGGTTGAGACTTGATTTTTCACCACCTGTGACAACCTTATTATTACTTTTAACCTACATTTGGTTAAACTGAATTAACATAAAACATTATGAAAACTGTAAAGCATGCAATAATAAAACTTATAATATAGATATCAATGAAATCAACCAAAGATATAATTCTCAATTAAAACATGAACCTCATACCGTAATTCATATCGCCCATAGTCACATACATCTGAACTAAACAGGATATACTTGGTTTATTTTATGTGCCAAATTAATTGGTGAAAAACTTGTATCTTCATGAACAAATTTTATACTGTATGAGAAAGTATGTATGTTTTATCAACTGTACCATTTCTAGCAATCAACTTAAACAAAGAAATATAGCCGTACCTGCATTTGTAAACATTTTGTTTTTGACAATCACTTGGTAAGTGTTCAGTGCTTCATTAAACATCTCATTGGCAGCGTACTGATTGGCTAGGTTAAACAACACCTAAAAATTTATATTAATGCGTATTTGTGTTAAAATCAATACAATATAGTATATATCCCAAACATTTGTATTTTGTATCAGAGTTATCCTCTCTTGTCTAACAGAATAGAACAGGTCAAGACTAGTTGTCAGTGTATACGAATGCATAATCACTGGAGTACAAAGGTTAAAGTTTTAACTTACAGAGTATGTTAGTGCACTGTTAATTAACTTGCAGTGAAGGGAAGTTCAAGGCTAGCCATCAGCCTGTGTGGGTAAAGTGGAAGTTGCCTGACATAGTAGAGAAAGAATAAAGATGTGGTTGAAGATAAACTCCCAGAGTAGACAAGGTCAAGGTTAAAACAGTAGAAGTGGATGTTAAACTTAACTCACACGGTAGGTGAAGTCAAGGTTAAAGTTAATTCCAAAACAGACAAGGTCAAGATAAAATCAAGGTATAAGTCATCGTTAAACTTAACACAGAGAGAAGATACAAACTCACAAAATAAGGTCACTTTGCAGTAGGTAAGGTCAAGGTTGAAGTTAACTCACAGAGCAGGTGAGGTCTATGGTTAATCTTGTAGTGTAGGTAAAGTCAGGGTTAAAGTTAACTCTCAGAAAAGGTAAAGTTTAATGCTAGTTTTGCAAAGTAGGTAAGGTCAGAGTAGATGGTGTTTAAACTGACTCAGCAAGTATCAGAGGTCAGGCTTGAAGTTAAGCACAGAGTGGATAAGGTCAAGGTTGAAACTGACTCAGCAAGTATCAGAGGTCAGGCTTAAAGTTAAGTCACAGAATGGATAGGGTCAAGATCAAAATTTACTCAAAGAGTGCATGAGGTCAAGGTTAACTTTGATCCAGATAGTAGGTAAGATCAAAGTTAACACACTGAATAGGAAAAGTAGTTATTAACTCAAAGAGTAGGTAAGGTCAAAGTTACTCACAGAGTAGGTAAGGTCAAGGTTAATCTGATCTCCCATAGACTGTTGCTCCCTCTGTCGAACTAGAACTCTTTCTTTCCTCCCTGCTTCTTTAGCCTTTTCAAGAGCCTAAATATGTAAAAAAAAAAAAAAAAAAAAAAAAAATGGACTCATTATTTTGTATTTCATTCTAAAATTTCATGTTTCAAATTTCTTTGATTGAGCTCTGATCAAAAATCAAACAAACATCTAAAACCTATGAAATTACCACCATACCAAACTAAGGTCTCCAGTGCTGTTAGCAAAACAGCTCTCCTCTATCAGTTCATTCACTTTCTTCTCCAACTGACGAATCTTCTCTTCTGGGCTGTAATAAAATACTGCATAGTATACTGTATAACAACTAAGCAAGTGTAAGTTTGTAATTATTAATTATTTCCTGATTAAATATATGGAACCAATACTAGTGATTACTGCATTTTTTTTCACAACTTATCATGGAACACACAAATATTCAATTATTTAACATCTATTGTGCAAGGTTTTTATAAAGGTGCTTGTTTTAATTGTCTGCATTACTGACAACTGATGAATCACTTTTTACATCTGTCCTAATGACCTACCTTTCCTCTGGCTTGGGTTCCAGTGGGGGAGCAGGTCCTGCCTGATTCATGGGATCAAAACCTGCAGCTGAAAACAAAAGAAGTAAAATTACTCACAGGGTAATAAACAATAATTAGATTTGATTGAAGGTTTATGCTGCAAAATAACATTACGTCACATGTATCATTATAGAGATTTATCTGGGTATTTTGTTGTTGACTACCCTTTTCACATAAAAGGGGGAAAATTTTCAACATCAGTGCTGGATGTGTGAATATACTTTGGAAGTCTGTGCTAGAATTGTTGCTAGAATTTGCATTTTTGAGAGCTAATCCATTTTTTTTCTCTAGAATTATCATAGATAAATATACTTCAAATGTTACTTGTATTTTTGAATCAGGATAAGTTCTGTAACTAAATGGGGAATTTTTACATTTTTTCAATGGGGGAAAGGTACCGTTTACTGGTCATATCAACTGATAAGCCTTCCCCTTAAACAGTACATTCTTCATTTAAAAAAAAAATAATAATAATTTAAAACCATTGAGCTTAGTGCCATTCCCATAGTCCCAGTCCATCAAAATGTTCTTGTAATTTCTAATCAGCTATGTGAGTGCTCTCCCTTACCTCTATTACCGGCTGACGTATACCCAGCTCCTCTCACAGCTGTCATTGGACGAGCCATATCCTGGCCACCTCCCACTGCTCCTGTATTTAGGCGGCCCATGGAGGAGGGCATTCCCATTCTACCTCTGGCGGCTGTTCCAGGAACTCCCCCCAATCCCCTGGCTGCTGTCTATAATTAAAATTCATGAATAATCTCAATAGTGCTGGTCATGAAATGCACAACACATCAAAATTTGTCATATTTTGCCTTCTTGCATACCTCTCAATATGGCAGAAAAACTCTGAAGCTTTTGATTTTTTTGTAAATAAATCAATATTAAATCATCATCCTCTACATTCTAATCCATATGAAACATAACTAATCATTCATTTAACTTACATTCTGGAATTCTGAGCCAGAGAGAAATCAAAGTGTTTAAATAATACGGTGGTATAATTTCAAATGAACCACAAGATCACACGCCATTTTCACAGTATTTGTGCTAATTGTGTTGCACTTGGACCAAAAAATAAAAAAACAAACAGCACATTATTGACATGTTTTCTAGAAAGTACAATACCTATGCAAATGAGTCCCAAATTTTTTTTATATAAGCATTCTTACAAAAAAAGTTGTGCGAAGTCAAATTTTGGGCGAGACCTTGTGTTGCGGACACTACATTACACCTGTTATGTCTAAAATAAAATATTAAAGATATTTATTTATTCCAAACTTCGATTATGTACCTAATTGCAGTGAAATAAAAGAAAAATCTTTTATTCACATTAATGACTTGCTAATTTTTTTGCCTAATTTATCTCCCTTCCTTAAGTTTATCTACCTTTACAATCACACAAAAGACCTATATAATTATCATGTGAAAATTAAATTGGATACTTCTATATTTCAAATACATTTGTCATAACACCCTGGATATCTTCGTTTGTATCTTGTCTACCTTTGAAAATGTATAGCATTTTTGTTGCGGACACTACAAGTAACCATAAGAATAATCTTTTGTCATTTTTATAAAAATAATTGTTGATAAATGTTCATTTCTAGGCTGAATTATATACCACAGGATCAACTCTTGAAAATGTACCATATAAAAAGATGCAGAATGTGGTTTATTGAGATGAAAATAACCACATAACATTGAGGAGCATTAATTATTTCTTGATGTATAATTGTTTTGCAGTTTTAAAAACTGTCTATGGTTTTACTTATTTTAATACAATTAAAGAAGTTATAACAAATAGTTTTATAGATAAATTCAATGAATTAAAGAATTTACTGAGGCATCCATAATTCTTTTTTCAGTATTGAAATTGTTGCTGACACTACAATATATTGAAATATTGCTATATGACACCATATTTGGTTTTAATGGAGTAAACTAAAAATCTTAATCTCTAACTAGTTCTATATGTACAGTAAATGGTGTTATATTATAGGGAAATAAAGAAGGCTAGTCAAAAATGGCTATCCGGCCTGGAAATTAAAACCCATATATATACCAGTAAGTTTGAAGTTATCTTGTACAAAAATCACCATTTGTTATCTTAATCCAGTTAACTAATTGTATTATCAAAGGAGCAAAGTATCAGAGAAGTGTTTTACATTTCAAAAATATTTAATGAAATAAAAAGTGAAAATAATAAATAAAAGTGGTATATAGTTATTACTGTAGTGTCCGCAACACAACTGTATTAATTAGAACTAGACTTATTAATTAACAATTAACATCTTGATATATTCTTTAGTTTCCACTTATTCAGTTTTAAATACCACATGAAAATTAACTTTCAATATATAACATAAGACTGACAATTGAAAGATTTTGAATATTATGTATAAACAAGTCGTTATGGGTGTTATTCAAAGTATGAAGTTATAGTTCCACTAAGTTTTGTAACCTTACATATTTGTATTGAATATTTGGACAATTATAGTGATGATCAATTGAAATCATGTTACATTTCTTTGAAGAAACTGTGAATTTAAAAAGCTGTTGCGGACTCTACAGTGTTGCGGACTCTACAAAACACAATATATTTGCCAGAATTCCAAGCAACACTGAGCTAAAGTCTGATATTTTTTGGTAGATAGATTAGAAGCTGTACTGGCCTCTTACATGTAAAATAAAAGAAATATAATTCATAGTGCATTCCAGAATAAGCACATGTTGTGGACACTACAGAATTTTGGGACATTTTTATGCCAGTAAGAAGAAAATGTGTCATTTTCTAAAGTTTCGAAGAATCCACTCAAACTTTTCTTTATTGTTTCATTTATCATTTAACTCTAATTTTAAAATGAACCTAAAGTAAGAGTAATGCATTAACATATATTTTTTTTTAAACTTAATTTTATTAAATTTCATAACGTATCTGCATTTTCACATATTTAAACATTATTTCGCTAATATTTTGTTGATTTACATAAAGTAAATTGCATATAAAAGAGGGATAATTTCACAATGATTTGGCATCTATCACTAAGAGTTTCTATTGTAAATCTCCTGAAACAAAAACTGGAAAACAAAGCCATTTTTCAGCTGCAACAGCATAATGCAAAATATACCCCTTATTTTAGGTAGTAAATCTTTAATATTTTTATTGTCTAGAACATGGGAGTGTTATATATCATTTAACTTGTTAGGGGTACCATTTTGTCATAATTTGGTCATAATTGTTAAGGGTTTAATCATATATTTTGATGCAGAGTGCATTATAACATAAGTGAGTATGAAAAAACACAAATACTGTGAAAATGGCGACAGTGACTTACAGGTGGAGGTCTGCGGCCATGACTTGTTCTCATCACAGCTTTCTGGAAGGACGTATCGTGTTGTAAATCCTACAATCAAAAAGGTATCTTACATACAATACTGTTTTCATAATAGATAGGGAAATAGTAACAAGACAGTCACTGGGTCTTAAGGTTTTCCATCCCTAATAGGACCTAATTCTCTATCCTTAAATATCCATCACGTATATAATACCCTGATATTAATTCAAAGCATTTTACAGTAGAAAAGGATTTACCAAGAGAAAGTTTCAAAAATGTAATTAACTAAGCAGTAATTAATTAACAGAAATTGCATTGAAATCTATGGAGACAAACAATTTTTTTAAAATAAAAATTCAAATAATAAGAATATCAATAAAAACTGTGGTGTAAAGATGCATTATATCATTAGAAATAGAATGACAATTGAAAACAATTTTTTTACCATATAGATTTTTTAAAATTGATTTTTATTACTTAAAAAAAGAGGGAGATAACTCTTCAGCAAAGGTCAAGGTCATAAATTAGGACACATTCCATTCTTACATGCTATTAGTAAAAAATTGGAATTATGTCTAAATATACTGAGTATTCCACCTGTACACATCTGTTATGTATTCAAATTCATTGAATCTGAGGCTATTATGGATCGAATACCTTAAACCAGAAACCTCCCTGTAAACATGCTGATGCTCTCACAAAGTTATAGAGGGCAAACCTTGTCACACTCTATCTTCTCCCTTATTTTCTTGAGATGGAAAGATCTAATTTTCATTACAGGGTTCGACACTAACGTTAGTCTGTTAGTCTCAGACTAATACATTTTCATTCGAACTAATAAAATATGTGGCTATTTAGTCCGAACAGACCAATAAAAATGTCTGAAAAACAATATGAATAAATTACCGATGTCCTATTCTCGACTGTCACAACTTTTTCTGGAAAATCCCGTGTGTATTTTTAGATTTCTAGCTTTTGGCAGGTAGTAACACAATGCTGGGTCAATTCAGCGCTTAATTTTTCGACTGATCGATATGAAGTATAAGGTTTTAGCGATCATGATTTAGTATGACACTTTTAAGAAAGATGTTGGACGTTCTGGATGTAATGTAAAGACAAAAAAAAAAAAAAAAAATGAGATCGGGAATACGATCGTACTTGCTGATTGCGAGATTTCAATGAATCTGTGGAATAATATATTTCACGTAAATACTTCGTTTATTTCAAAAAATAATACGTATATTAATTGTCACATTAAATTAATGTTAAAAAACATTGATGTTTCTTTTTTTTTGACGGACTAATAAAATGGCGTGCGGACTAGTAAAAATGAAGCACTAGTCCGGCTGGACTAAAGCCTTAAAAAGTTGGTGTCGAACCCTGCATTAGATTGTGAGACTCTTCTATTAAACCACTAGTGGGAATGGATTGTGAATTTGCAATATATAACATATGGAGAAAAGTGTCAGCAGAGCTTTCAGTATGATTAGAAACAAGTGGTACTTTTATAAAAGTAGGATTTATCTGGTGGAATCGATTTTCATATAACATTACACATGTATATGTTATTAAATTTTTCTCTATTGAATATTTATGCCATTAATCATGATTTCTGCTGGGTAAAAGTACCGGGTAATGGCAGATTATGAAAGGCCTGTGTCAGATTAGAATATTATGCATGCAATGATTAAATGATACATCACTGTACACATACTATAAATACACTTACATCAACATCCAGGGTGGCATTATAATCATTGAAGCCCCCATAAATGTCATCTTCGTCCTCGCCAGCTAAATGGACTTGTTCCATCATGTTCATGCGATTCATGCCAAGAATTTCTGTATAAAAAGAAATGTCATTATGTCTTTTACTGACTGTTTTTCTCCTCTACTTGTACATGTTATAACCCCCTCCTTTTTTTAAAACGTTCAAGATTCGGCCTTGTAACTTCATTCTGATTTTTTTGAATATGCTATCATAAATAGCCGAACAGTGAAATTCTTCTCTTAAAATTCAAACAAAATACCAAATGTGCTTATATTAAACTCCAAAGAAATACATCTTAATCTTTTTACAAACCATCAATTCTTTCACCTATAGGAATTTTTACGACTGCGCAAGAAAAGTACGCATTTACGGAAGTTTTTCTCTGGCAACTCTGACATCCGGTCTTATGATTTTGACAAAAAATAAAATTTACCGTTTTAGAGATTACAGAGTGCCTTTAGATTTAAACACTCGTACTGACAACAAGAAGAATCAAAGGGTCGACAAGAGAAGGTGAACTTTTATGTCTGTTATACGTCTCTGATCGGAGATTTCCCTTGATCTTTTTGGAAATACATTAACTCGTACAATATATTATTCAATCAGGTGGTTGTAAATGTAACAGATGAAAATTTTGCATTTTTCTGTGGTTTTCATGTCATTATAATTTTTAGCTCACCAGAACTAAAAGCTCAGGTAGGCTTTTCTGATCACATTTTGTCTACAGTCCTACTGTCTGTCTGTAAACTTTTCAAATTTTCGACTTCTCCAGATCGAACCACTGTGCCAATTTCAACCAAACTTGCCACAAAGCACCCTTGGATGAAGGGGATTCAAGTTTGTTCAAATGAAGGGCCATGCCCTCTTTCAAGGGGAGTTGATTTAGAAATTAAGTGAAAATTTGGTGGTATCTTATAAAAATCTCAAGAACCACTCGCCTGAGGCCAAAGAAGTTGAAACTTATGTGAGCAGTCTAGCCGAACTCCAAAAACAGCGTGAACTCCGAAAACGAAGTCTTTGGCTCCATCATGCATTGCGCCAAAATGGCGTCCAGTGTAAACAAACGATGGATTATCGTTCGCTTTCTCCAAATATACGGCTGCATAATGGCTGTATTTAGTGCAATATTACTTCATTTTATTTTTTGTTGAATGGATAATTGCATTTATTAAATTATTTTGTGAATATTGACTTATTTATCGCTTCAAACTCTTGCATATTAGTGAATTGGATATACGGCATCAAATTCAATACTGCCGGTAAGAAATATTTTCTTATTAAATTTATTGTCTCCTTGATTTAAATTTTATGTCGTTCCTACACTAAAGGTGCTTTTATTTGTTTTTGAAGACACCCAACTTGTATTTATTTTAATCAGAAAATGTGCATTTTTCACCACGGAGCAGATGTATTAACAGGTTCATTTTTAGAAGACATGTTGTGCCCTTAATATCTAGAAGAGTGGGTTTTAAAGTCTTCATATTGATAGATAATAGTTTTAAAAATGTGTTCATAATAATATCTGTTCGTATATGGTAAAAAATCGGTAAATAACGATGGTAAAAACTTACGCGTCCAATTCAGATGTCGTACACAAATAAAAAACCGGAATGCTAATTTATGTGTAAAATTCAGTCAAGTTTTTAACAGTTACAATATATATTGCCCCATTTTGCAGATATATCCCTTTTTTATGCATATTTACTTCTCAAAACGTATCATTTTCTCTATAATTGATCTGACTTGAAACGTTAACTTTGAAAGTAAATATCTCATTTTTTGCAAATAAAATCAAAAATCTGACAAATACGATCTCTTCCGAAGTCTTTTATTTAGCATTTCTGAGTACTGGTATAATTGCCATACTTTCCAAAACTTTGCACGGACAGTTTTTGTAGACCCATTATTTTTGCCGAAAAATCGCCATTTTTTGTGTGTGTGCGCATGCGCGGACTCTTTTTTCGGAGTCTTTTTCAGTCTCAATTTCTTACTTCCGGAAACGCTGTTTTTGGAGTTCGTCTAGACTGGTGAGGATCGAGCTTCTTTACATGGTGTAGATTAAATTTTCTTCAAATGATGACCCCTGGGGTAGGATGGGGCCACGATGGTGGATCAAAGCTTTACCTAGGAGTAAACAGGAAAAAATCGCTAAAAATTTTCTTCTCAAGAACAACAAAGCCATGCTGTCATACTGATATGGAAGCATCCTCACGCTATGTAAATTCAAGTTTGTTCAAATGATGATCCCCGGGGATAGGGTGGGCCACAGTGGGGGATCAAAGTTTTACATAGAAGTGTATAGGACAGGGTTCGAGACTAACATTTTTAGGCTTTATAATAGTCCGACCAGACTAGTGCTTCTTTACTTTAATTTATAAGTCCGCACACGACTTTGCGAGTCCATCAAAAATTGGAAACGTCAATGTACTTTTTATATTTTTTTGAAATAAACAAAGCATTTATGTGAAGTGTTCATTGAAATCTCGCGATCAGGAAGTACGGTCATATTCCCGATCTCTTTCTTTTTCTCTATACAATTACATTCAAAATGTCCAACATCTTTCTTTTACCTGTCATATGCTAAATCATGATCACTAAAATGTTTAACTTCATATCAATCAGTTGTAAAATTAAGCGCTAGCTGAATTACCTTACTACCTGCCAAGAAGCTGGAAAGCTAAAATACATGCAGGGTTTTCCAGTAAAATTTGTCAAGAATTGGACATTGGTAATTTATTCATATTGTTTTCCAGAAATTTTTATTGGTCTGTTTAGACTAAATTATTTTGTTAGTCCAAATGAAAATGTATTAGTCTGACCAGAGACTAACGTACTAACATGAGTGTCGAACCCTGTTTGGAAAAAATCTTCTTCTCAAGAACAGCAAAGCTTTATAGTCATACTGATATGGAAAGATCCTCAGTTAGTGTAGATCCAGACTTGTTCAAATGATGACCCTGAGGGTAGGGTGGGGCTACAACGGGGGATCAAAGTTTTACATAAGAATAAATAAGAAAAAATCTTCTCAAGAACAGCTAAGCTGTGATTAGTCATATTGATATGGAAGCATCCTCAGGCAATATAAATTCAAATTTGTTCAAATGATGACCCCCGGGGGTAGGGTGGGGCCACAGAGGGGGATCAAAGTTTTACTTAGGAGTATATAGGAAAAAATCTTTAAATATCTTCTGCTCAAGAATAGCAGAGCCATGTTTAGTCATATTAATATGGAAGTATCCTCAGATATAGTGTAGATTCAAGTTTGTTTAAATGATGACCCCCGAGCATAGGGAAGGGCCACAATGGGAGATCAAATTTTTACAAAGGAATATATAGGAAAAAATGTTTTTAAAAATCTTTAAAAATCTTCTGCTCTAGAAAAGCAAAGTCATTAGTTATATTGATATGGAAGCATATCCTTAGGTAGTGTAAAATTCAAGTTTGCCACTACCCCCCAAACCCCAGTGTAAACTTTTCATACTAAACTGATTTGTGCTTTTTCCTAGCCAATGTGCTCAGGTGAGCAATGTGGACCATAGGCCTCTAGTTCGTGTTTTTGTTTTTAATGTTAGACAGGTTTGGGGGAAATGTTTCCATATGGAAAATCCCCTGTTTAACAACATCATGGTAGAAGATGAGCTACTAAGAAATGAAGAGACAAACTATAAGATAAGGTGCATGTTTCACTGTTTCTTTGTTGTGATTATTCTCTGTGCAAAACTTTGCTGAACAGGTCTTTGAACTAGTTTTCTGTCAATAATAATTTCTAGTGTTTCTTTTATTCAGTTTAACATAGAAGTCTGTAAAGAATGACAGACTGGGAGAAGACACCCGAGGTTGTTTTGGGTAAAGTGTTTAGCTGTCTATCTTTAGTGGACAAAGTGAGTGTATACAATACCTGCTCCTCCTGGAGAGAAGCTCTGGGACAGACCGGTGCATGGCACCAATTCCAGTACTCAGAAAGTCGTGTTTGGGATGAAATCTTTGAAATGGGTATCCCATCATCCTTAGAAGACTTACAGCAATATCAGGAGATCCATCAGAGTGTTTTGGAATGCGTTGAGAGATTCGGAAGGTATATGAGGAGGATCTATGTTGCCATCCAGAGCACATCTTCCTTTGAAGTCTACCAGAAAATAATTCAAAATTGCTGTAATGTTAGGAAATTTACTTTAATATGCATGTGTGTAGAGTTATCAGAAATGGAGCTTTTGAAATGTACATTGCGGGAGTTCCTTCAGAGAAACAATGTGATAAGGGAATTAGAAATTGAAAATGTAGATAATTCAGGTACTAAAAATGCACCCCTGCCCATTGGACTGAAACAGTCAGGCTGTCTTCATAGTTTATGGATTGTGAATTCTTTCAGGAGCAGCTGTTTGAGTAATTTAATGTATCTTGTGAACCTGACGGAGCTAGCAATGATTCCCCACCAGTTAAACTTCAGTCTCCTAAAACACCTGGCTTCTTTGTCTCTGAGAGACCTCCATATCGTGGCCAATGCTCAAACCAGAGGCTTCTACAACGAGGCAATCAGTGATGCACAGTGGGGTGAAATCAGGAAACATGGACCCAAACTCCGAGTTCACTGTTTCTTAGCAACATCCAATGAATGGACAGAAAAAGAGGTTTTCTTGAAACCTAGTATGCCTCTGGCGTCCCTTGTGTATCGAAAAAATGTCTGGATTAAATATTTAGAATCGGTGTGCACACTTATGACATATCACTCGGGTACGTTGACAACTTTTGTGGACTTCAGTCTTAGTCATCAGCCCTATAATTACCCAGTCCCACATTGCTATATGGACCGGGTGGACCGTCATATAATCAGATTGGCACGACTTTGTCCACGACTCCAGACACTCACCATTAAGGAGACCTTGTCTAGTGCGGCTATTCTTCTTATGGTGTACCTAAATAAAAATCTGACAGACTTTCTTGTTCGTCGTGATATGATATTGTACGTTAATGATCTGCCAGAGGACTTAGAGTCAGACTCGGTAATTAAACAGTTTATTGCTGATAATTATGAGCGGGATAATTTTGAAAATGCCGTATCTTCATTATTAGGAACGGAATGGCATGCTTTAGAGGTGTCAGAATTTTATGAAATAATTGATTTTAGATATTCTAAATTTTCATAAAGCTGTTTTTTATTATGTTAAATGTTGAATAAATTTTGCATTTAAAAATTTTTGTCTTGAATTTGGATAAACATAAAATTAATATAGATATAGTGTTTTGAGAGGGTTTTTATGGTGTAAAGTTATAAGCCATGTACATGTATATATAAAGAGAGAGAGAGAAGGGCCATATTTATGCCTAAATGACAACTGACCAGATAGATTTGGATGTCAAAGAAATGAGAGAGGAAAATATGTAAATATTAAATTTTTGTGCAGAATTAGTGAAAAAAATTGGTGGAAGGGGACTCTGAAAATTATATGTGGTCTACTCCAGAAAAAATAAATTGCGATTCTTATATAAACAAACCTCAATCACACGGAAATTTGTTCTAAGTCGATAAAACGAAGTAGAAAACCATTGACAAAACTAAATAAAATACGAATATTCTACGTACGACTTGATGAAGACTTTGTTGACATTGACGCATAATGAATCCACGTGCATTTGTTTATTTGAGAAAACCTCTTCTCACAGGTTCATGTCTGGGTAGGACGCAAGGATTTGGATGCAGATGGTTTATTAGTCGTGTTAAACATAAACAGGTGCGATATTTTCATCGCAATGACGTGTGTTGTCAAAAGAAAGGGTCAGGAAACCAGGCGAACGATTACGTGTTTCCATTCAAAAACGAAACGAGAAGAAAAGGCTTATTGATTTCAACGTATGGTTCTATTGCGTTTGGAATTTGTATCCTAGGAGTTATTTTTTATAGTAAAGTCATTAAAACTGGCCTAAGGCGACGTGATGGTTTTATTGACATCACAGATGAAAACTGCAGTAAATCTAACATGGTTTTATTCAATGATACAGTTTTACCAAACTTTGTGGAAAAGAAAATGAAAGGCATTTCAAAATTTAAAGTTCGAGAGAGCGACGTATGGGTTGTAGGTTTTCCAAGGTCAGGTAGGTGCTGAATCCAGTTTTTGTTACCAGAACACTTCTTAACCATGTTAACAAGATATTGATCAGCTTAATAATTCTGAATATAGTGCTATAGTTTGTTGTATATTGTCATAATATAGTACCTTAAGTTAATTAGCAAAACACTAATAAACAAGCATTTAAACTGAAGAAGGATTTGAGAAGTAGATTATTAGATACACAAGCATGCATATGTCAAGAATGATGCCAACCATATTACGTAACTAGTACAGTTTTGCAAGAATCTGTTTTGATAGGTATGACATGGGTGCAGGAAATCATATACCTGGTGCAGACTTTGGATTTTGAAGGAAGTCGTCAAATTGATAGTCATGAGAGAATACCGTACCTAGAATTCCCAACCCCTTCTCTACAAGAGCTTTCTGAAAGGCCCTCCCCCAGGATCTTAAAAACACACCTCCCTCTCAAATTGTTACCAGAGGAAATACATTCAAAACAACCAAAGGTATAAAAAATTCAACTTACTCATTCATTGAACTTATAAACTTATTCAACTGATAACTGTAAACCTAAATAAATTATGACACTCTTAATTTAGCAAAATCTTCTAATTAGCAATTAGCTTTACCAATAAGCTTTAACCATAAGTTTGGTGGAAAGCTTCTGTATAAGCATGATAAGTATTTGTTTTAATCATATATTAGCATGTACTTGAATTAGAGGACAAAAAGCAGTGTGAGAGGTTCTAAAGTATGACTACCGCTAAAATATGTTTTATTTCAGTAACTTATTCAACCATTTATGGGTAAATGACCTTCTACTTTCTGAAATGAAATTTTCTGAAATATGCATGATATGGTTAAATTATGAAATTTTCTAAAAGACAATGGAATAATATTATACCATAAACATGATAAAGGGCATAGTTTTACAAATCATTCTTGAAGGTACACTGTGAGTTTATATAATACTGTGGAATCATCATTGTTCATGGGGGACCAAAGTTCGTGGATTTCGTGGGTCACCCTTACCCACAAATTTACATCCCTACGAACCTTTATTTTGTAAACATATTGATTCATTGAATGTACTGAATAAACGAGTAACCAAGGAAATTACGTTCCAATGAAAAAGTATAATTTTGCTTCCCCACGAACAATGACCCCCACAAATTAAAATGATTCAATGGTAAATGAAATACAGAAGAGATCTCACATTGCAAAGGGTGACCTTTTCTTGTTAAATAAGACTTTCAGATGGTAAAAAAAAGTAGTTAATGTTTTCTCCCTCAGACATTTTCTCCTTTGAAATACATCTTTACTTGACTAATTTGAATAAACAACAACAAGTATGTTAGGTGTGTTCATTAGACTAGTGGATTTACACAAAATGGGAGCTTGAAACATTCCCTAACCAGATCAAGCATAGATTTTGCTACAAAATCTGCATTTTCTAAAGTGGATTTATTGTTTTTAAGAAAAATTCTATCAGGAGAACTCTCAAACTCTAATCTGTAAAGTTCTATATTTTACAACATTCAGGAAATATTAAATCAGAAGGCTTCAGTACATGCTCCCAAAATCGTTGTGAGTTAATTTTTTAAATGATCTTTAACAGAACTTATGATTTCAAAATCTGATTTAACATCAAGCACACAAAATTCAACAAAATACTCAACTTGACTGTTTTCTGGGTTCTGTGGAATCAGTTTTCTGTCGCCTCTGTGATTCTAATATTAGGGGTACTCATCCGCAACTCCTCCTATACCACTGAATAAAATTTAATGAGTCTTTCACAGAATCTTTATAACATAGTGCCATTGTGCACCTTTTTTTTATCGTGAAATATTTCTGGTTTCCCAAAGCCAAAAGGATGCTGCCATTCATTCAGTTTCTATAAGTTTGGGGGTACCCATCTCTTATCTGAACTCCTCCTATACCACTGTATAAAAATTAATAAGACTTTCACAGAATCTTAATTATATACATGTAATGCTATTGTGCACCTCCTATTTTATGTTCTAATCTGACAAATATTTGAGGTTTCTAATGCAAGAAAAAGGACTTTGTCATTATTCTCATATTGGAGGGGGTATCATTTTGTGAGCTCAATGCTCAGAGTACCTTCAGTTTTTATTTTCATTACGGTGATTTTTCAGATTGTTTATGTTGCAAGAAACCCCAAGGATGTGGTGGTCTCCTACTTTTATCTAGTGACATCATTACATGCCTTAACCAGATACCGTGGGAAGCTAGCAGATTTCGTGGACTCATTTCTTAAAGATAGAGGTCTGTACAAAAATTCTCTGTCACATTGTAGTTCATCGTCGGAAACCCACGGTCGGTCTCACTTCTCTTACCTCACCTCTGAGGTAAGAGAAGCGAGACCTACCGTAGGTTTCCGACAATGATTGTAGTTTAATTAGAATTTTTCTGTTATCAGTTTAAGACTCTGGGGCATCTAGTTATTGACCTATCTCTCTATATGTCATGCTCTGTGATTGTCCAAATACATACACATGTATATACAGCTGTTAAGATCAAAGGTTTTCAAATCATAAAAAAAAAAACTTGATGATATTGAAAAAAAAGATCGTCAAACTTAAGGTATTGAGAATTCAACATTTAATATTTACATTTGCTGTACTTTTTATACTAAATCAACAGCAAAATTGATTTGATTACAAATAGGTGCAGTAAACTGTGACATCAATGTTTGTATACATATAGGTACTGTAGTCTGTGACATCACCATTTCGAATAAGTGCAGTAGACTGTCACATCACTGTTTACATACAGGTGCAATAGTCTGTGACATCACTGTTTACATGCAGGTGCAGTAGTCTGTGACATCTCTGTTTACATACTGGTGCAGTAGTCTGTGATATCACTGTTTACAGACAGGTGCAGTAGTCTGTGACATCACTGTTTACATACAGGTGCAGTAGTCTGTGACATCTGTTTACATACATGTGCAGTAGACTGTGACATCACTGTTTACAGACAGGTGCAGTAGACTGTGGCATCTTTGTTTACATACAGGTGCAATAGTCTGTGACATCACTGTTTACAGACAGGTGCAGTAGTCTGTGACATCACTGTTTACAGACAAGTGCAGTAGTCTGTGGCATCTTTGTCTACAAACAAATGCAGTAGACTGTGACATTACTTTTTACATGCTGGTGACTTAGACTATGTTATCGTTGTTTACCCACTCATCCCTATGACATTATTGTTGACACAGTTGCTGCATTGTACTTGTATATGTATTTTGCTGTGACACCATAAATAAGTTTAGAGAATAGAGTCATGGGTGGTAAAAATAGTAGAAAGATGCCCATCACTTTCTTTTGGCACAAACTTTCAAGTTCGATAATCATGAAGTATATGATAAATAATCATGCATTATTCCTTTGTTTACAGTTCCTTACAGTCCTTGGTCTAGACATGTACTGGAGTTCTGGGAAATAAAAGATCAACCCAATGTTCTTTTCCTGACATATGAAGACATGAAGATGGTGAGTTTGGTTTCTCAGATTTGTTGACAGGATACCTGGTGGAAAATTAAATCCATCAGCTCATTTAAACTTTTTTTTAAACCATAATTTCAGGAATTATATTATCCAAAGTCAATACCTAGTTGAACTACAGGTTGATACATTTCATGAAATTCTTTAATGCAACTTTATTAGGAAGGGTAGTAAATTTCTTCTTGAGGGTATTAATATACTTTAGCTGATATATTACCCGCATATCACCAGTTATTTTCTTTGAAGGATCAGAAACTACCAAATACATGAGATATGACTTTAATGTTGTTCCCTGTTTCTGACTTTGTAGGATTTGGAGCAGAGCATCAAGAAGGTAGCCCAGTTCCTACAGCGAGACCTATCAAGGGAGGATATACAAAGGATTGCCAAACACTGCAGCTTTGATGAAATGAAGAAGAACCCTGCTGTTAACCATCAATGGCTTACTGATTTAAAATTCAGAAATCCGACCGGTGCAGAGTTCCTCAGAGAAGGTGAGCTAGAATAAATTGTAGATACAGAAATGTTCAGAGAAGGTAGGCTAGTCTATAGGGCCACATTGCTCAGAGAAGGCGGGCTAGTCAGGGACAGAATTCCTCAGAGAAAGTGAGCTAGTGTAGGAGCAGAATTCCTCAGTGAAAATGAGTTCATCTAGGAGCAGAATTCCTCAGTGAAAGTGAGTTCATCTAGGAGCAGAATTCCTCAGTGAAAGTGAGTTCATCTTGGAGCAGAATTCCTCAGAGAGGGTGAGTTTGTCTAGGAGTACAATTCTTTCAGAGAAGGTGGGCTAGTCTTGGGGCAGAATTTTTCAGAGAAGGTGATATTCTAGGGGCAGAATTCCTCAGAGAGGTGCACTTTTCAGAGAAGGAGAGTTAATCAAGGGGCAGAATTCTTCAGAGAAGGTGAGCTTATGTGAATGCAAAATTCCTCATGGAAGATTGTTTAGGTCTAGGGACAGAATTCGTCAGAGAAGATAGGTTGTCTAGAGGCAGAATTCTTCAGAGAGGGTGAGCTAGTCTAGGGGGCAAAATTCCTAAAAGAAGGTAGGTAGTCTAGAGGCAGAATTCCTCATAGAAGGTTGGCTTGTCAAGGGGCAGAATTTCTCAGAGAAGATGAACTGGTCTTGTGACAGAATTCAGAGTTCTTCAGAAAGGTTGAGTTTATGTAGTGGAAGAATTCCTCAGAGAAGTTTGAGTAGTCTAGGGGCAGAATTCCTCAGAGAAGGTAAGCTAGTGTAAGTGCAGAATTCCTCAGAGAGGTTGAGCTAGTCTAGGGGTAGAATTCTGATGAAAAAGTGAGCTCATCTAGAGGCAGAATTCCTCAGAGAAGGTTGGCTGGTCTAGGAGCATAAATCTTCAGAAAAGATGAACTAGTCTTGTTGCAGAGTTCTTCAGAGCAGGTGGGCTTAGGTAGTGAAAGAATTCCTCAGAGAGGATAAACTAGTCTAGGGTAGAATTCCTCAGAGAGGATGAGCTAGTCTATGGTAGAATTCCTCAGTGAGGATGAGCTAGTCTAGGGTAGAATTCCTCAGTGAGGATGAGCTAGTCTATGGTAGAATTCCTCAGAGACGATGAGCTAGTCTAGGGTAGAATTCCTCAGTGAGAATGAGCTAGCCTAGGGTAGAATTCCTCAGAGAGGATGAGCTAGTCTAGGGTAGAATTCCTCAGAGAGGATAAGCTAGACTAGGGTAGAATTCCACAGAAAAAAGGTGAGCTAGACTTGTTGCAGAATTTGTCAGAGATGTGAACTTCTGTAGAGACAGAATTACTCAGAGATGTGAACTTCTATAGAGACAGAACCCCTCAGAGAAGGCGAGGAAGTCTAGAGGCAGATTTTTTCTGAGAAGATGAGCTAGTCTCGGAGAAGTATTCCTCAGAAAAGATGAACTAGGAGCAGAATTCCTTAGGGAAGGTAGTCTAGTCTTGGGGCAAAATTTCTCAGAGAAGATGATCTAGTTTAGGGGCAGAATTCCTCAGAGAAGGTGAGCTAGTATAAGGGCAAAATTCTTCAGAGAAGGTGAGCTCATCTAGGAACAGAATTCGTCAGTGGAGATGAGTTTGCCTATTAACAGAATTCCTCAAAGCCGGTATGCTTGTCCAGGGACAGAATTCCTCACAGAATGAGCTAGTCTAAGGGCAGAATTCCCCAGAGAAGATGAGGTAGTCTACAGGCAGAATTTTTTCAAAGAAAGTTAGGTAGTCTTCAAATAATGTGAGCTAGTCCATGATGGTCTGTTCTTTTGAAATGACACACAAAAGTGTCAAAATTTGACAGCAGCATCGTCATCTGATTCTTTACCTATAAAAGTCCAGTGCAACATCCTAAAATGGAGACTAATGGATTGAATTTTTTGCTAAGTCTTTATCTATGTTGATTATTCAGACATTTTCTCAAAAAATTGATATTGTTTTCAGGAAGAATTGGTGACTGGCAGAACTATTTGTCAAAAGAACAGGACGAGAGATTGAATGTGAAAATAGCCCTCAAACTTCGACAGACTGGGCTGTTCTTCCAGTACACTGACCCGGACCCATGACAGCTGTAGACTTGTATAGGATCTATGAATCTTGAGTTACATATGATTATGGTTTAGAGTACCATTTATTAGTGGAAATACATGTAGGAAAAAAGTCACAGAGAGAGTAGGAAATGTAAAGCTTTTTATTAGACAAAACGTGTTTTTTTTTCTTATATGTACATTTATTTGTGACAAACAAATCTGCTGTCGTTTTTGTCTTGTTTGTTTTTAAAGGATATTTGACTGAATATTCTGATTATAGCACTGTCAAGTAAAATTATACAAGTTCATCTGCTGGACATTATAATGATGATCCTGTATTGGTGCTGATTTTGTTGCTTCGGGAAAATTTTTTGCCATCGCAAAATACCTGTATCATAGACTCACCCGTGCTTCTACACTTTGAAATGTTTCCCAAGTCACCTCGACGAAGTCAAGATGTGTTTAAATCAATTAATTTACATTCAAACACCCAAACCTACCTTAATATTCACTCGTGTTGCTTACAATATATGGAGAACGATCAGAGACGTTCGATATATTCCGCAGACGCGCTGACATAATGATGCCCGCGTAAGCGCGTCCGCGGAATATGATATCGTACATCTCGTCTCCATATATTGTAAGCAATACAAGTGAAAATTAATTAAGGCTAGGTTTGGGTGTTTGAATGTAAATTAAATAATTTAAACACAAAAGACGTATGTTTATTATACGAGGATTGAACTCACTTTCTTATACATACTTAGTATCCACGACATGTTATAACCAATACATATTATGGCGTCGTATTATGGTACTTGCTATTTGATGTCATCAGTATCAACAATATACGTTTAACAACGAAAGGTGTAGCGGTAAATGTTTTATGGGAATATTTAGATTCCAAGAATTATATAGTCTATTACATGTACTGGCCGTTAATTGTACCATAAGAGAGTGTCTTATTACTTATGATTGATCATAGAATACGTGTATAACTATGGACTTCAGTGAAGGTCAATATTTTGTTGTCAGGACTCATGACAAAGGATATTGACCTCGCAAGCTCTGTCGATATCACTTTCCATGTCTTCGGTCAATATCACTTGACATCCTATATCCACCTACGCTGAAGTTCATACGTATAATATTAAACATTGAGTGAACTCGTACCGGAGACATTAATAAGATTATGTCTCTGCTCGTACACAATATTCCATTTGGAATGAGCCTTTCGAATTCATAACAATGTATTATTTAGTTCGCAATATCCTATTTCATGAACATCTTTAATATTTGACAGAGCCAATACAGAGAAAATTTCAATCAATTTGAAATTTATTTTGAATACGCTCACTGTGGCATATTTAGGTGGGAGCACCCCCCCCCCCCCTCCCAACTAGAATCTGCCCAATATGTACGTCTAATCCATACATACGGAACTATGAGAAGTCGACATGTGCATTTTGATTCCTTCCACCTGTACAATACCAAAAGGTCTTTATTTTATTAATTTCATTCGATTAAATTTCTTTACATGTAACTATGTAACACTTTGTGTAGTACATGCATTCATAATTTTAAGATATACAAAATTTATTTCAGGTGCAACAATTAAATTAATATTTATTCACCAAGTCGAAGTGTAGTTTAAAGTGCTTCAAGCAAAACAATTTTATTAGTCAACACTGCTCTTACATAAATGCATTTGACAAGCATACGTGATTTCCTGTCGGAGTTTATTTATACTGAGCAGTGCGTCATGAGTGAAGTTGTGATTTGTTTATCCTGTGGTACACATGTACTGACCGCGCACCTGCTGAGAATAGCAGTCACTTATCAAAGATGCTGGCACAGAAGATGATGCGGATACCCGCAGAGGCAACTCGCAAGGTAGTATTTGTTTCTCTTACGCATATAGATGTACATGTATGTACAATTTTTATTGTGGAATAGATTTATTTGATTTTTTTTTTTCATTGATTCTTAATACATTGATCATTTCTTAGATGTATTTAGAACTAGACTTTCTTCACTGAGAAGTGCTTCAATGCTATTCAGTCTAAATAAGTAAATGTGTCAGGTTAAACACAGATTCAATAATATCTCGTGTATGTAAATAAATATTACATGTACGTTTATTTGTTTTGGGAAAACAGGAGCAGTCAAGGTCGCGGATATATATATATATATAGCAATCGATATCGAAACTGCGTATGAGCTCGAGATTATGTGAATTAATTCCTAATTTCTGGCGATAAACAATGCAGACTTTCTTCAGACTATAAACATGATAAATATGCACTCAATGAAAAGCCTAGACTGAGATGATCAGAAAACTATAAATGAGACTCACGCGGAAAAGGGGGGGGGGGATGCGGAAGAAAATGATTAAAAAAAAACTTGTTTTGGCCTTCGATCATCATATGCTCCTAAATATACATTGTGAACAATTCATACATCCTTACTTTCAAATATTAATGAATGACTTGAGTAGTAAAACTCTGTTACTTTTGCACAGTGTTTATCAGCATGGTCAGAAGGGTTTGGCAGTTTTAGAATGATAATGTCCTATACGGACACGGTTTAACTAGGGCGGTTCAAGGGGTCGAGGGGATTACATAATGATACTGTAATATCCTGTGTTCCTTTAATGACTCATATTTGGTAAAGAAAAGAAGTGTCTTGCATTAAAACATAGACCTTCCTTTAAATATCTCTCTTTCTCTCCCTCTCTCTCTCTCAGAGTAGAAGACCTATCGTTACATTCTGTCTTACATTTATGAAATATTTTATTTTTTCATGTTACATTTACATCTCTAATTGACTGATCACAAATATCAACATATGGAACTGCATATTTTTGTTGTTTATTAAGAGCCATTCTCTGTAATGACTTGAACTTTTATATAGGAGCTGTGGCACGCATAGTCTCAGAATTTCTCCAAACTCTCTATGATAAAAGTCTTTGATACCGTAAATTCAAATCAGGCAAAAATTGGTTGCTACGTGTCATGGTTACCATAGCAACATGTTGTAAAGTTTGAAAAATGGCATTTTTCATCATGTTCAGAGTCCCACAGTTAACGTTTGCAGCAAAGCAAACAAGTGGCAATGACTGTTTCTGAAAGTTGAAGGTCTGATGTCTTAAATGCATGATAAACATGTTTGGTAAATCAACTATAACATACGTTACTATGGAAACAAAGTATTCAAGAGTAATAATTTTGTTCATTTAATTTTATAAAGTCATACACTTAAGAATAAAAACAATTATAGGTTGAAATGCAAGCAAATAATAGACAAGAGATCCTTGTAACATATACCAAGGACAAAATATGATATTTCTTATAGGTTGGCAATGGTTGCCATGGTTTTAATACCATGAAGGGATTTTAAATTTACTCTCTTAGTGTTTTAATCTTATCCTATCTTTTTAAAAAGCATATTTCTATATAACTGATGATCAATTTTTAAAGGCCTTGGTGTGACCCTAATTTTCACATTTCAAAAAATTTAATTTCAATACTTTAAATAGTGCGTTGCTATGGAAATAAGGCGAAAAAACATGCATAAAAATCTGAAAAATACTCTGTTTCCTTGGATACGTACCCTTGTATGTAGATTCCCAAAACTTTTATGATTGATATATGTGAACAACTAACCTGACTTTCAATTTTGACTACCACCCAATCTCTAACTGGATGCAAAAAGCTGGCACATAGGGTCTAATATTGACATAAAATTAACAAAATCGAACATTTTCTCTTCTTGGTAACCATAGCAACAGCATTGTATTTTTTCAACAACCTTTATCAATATATGATATTCAACTTTTGTTCTATGAGATAAGTACTATTCAAGGTGATTCAAATAATATGTTTCTTGATTAAAAGGTTAGTAAATTCCTAAGGCAGCAAAAAAATATCACTTTAAACAACTAGAACTTTGTTTCCATGGTTACACTGCAAAGTAACAATTAATCTCAATTTTTCTTATGTTGTCGGTGTTGCAAGTTCCTAAGGATGTATATGTGCCAGTCATGAATTTTATTGTTTTTCCTCAAGATAGTAGCATTAATCCAATCATAGCAACAGATTTTGCATGGTGACACTGTGTTACCATGGCAACCATGAAAGTTATTTTTCGAATAATACTGGCAATACCTAATTACATAAGGTAAATATTTTTCATTGCTTTTCTTAGGTTTTTGATTGAGTTTGATCATGTAACATCTATCATTTGTGAATATTGAGCGTTTTCAGCATTTTTCAGCATCTAAAATGTATTCCAAATGTACCCATGGTTACCACTTACTTAGAGATAAATTCTAAATAGTTTCTTTATAGCATAAGTGGCAACAAGGTGTCATGTTTTTGGGAGAATAGTGTGTTTGTTTTTCTTAGTCTTTATTAAGGCTTAATAAAGATTTAAAGTAGCTGAAAATCTCAATTTTTTCAACTTTTCTGGCTGTTACCATGGCAACCAAGACACATAGCAACGAAATTTTATTTGATATATGTTTCTGGTGTCAAGTTGTAATAATGGGCAAAGTTTCATCAAAATCGGTGACCATGCGTGGCAAAGAAGTTTAAGTGGTTACAGAGAATCGCTATTAATATTTAAACAGAAGTCGAAAATAATTATAGTGTCACAGTGTAAAATATGACCTTTTTGGACTAAAATAACATGCGCGGATCTAGAGGGGGTTGGGGGGTCTGGACCCCCTCCCCCCCTGGAATTTGCAGAGTTATTAAATTTATCTACTAAACCAAGTAAAAAGTGACCTTGGACCCCCCCCCCCAGAAAACGCAGACCCCCCTCGAAAACTCGGACCTGTGTTAAGTTGGTATGAAAAGTCAAAGGTAAGAAGTCAACGACTACCTCCGCCCCCCCCCCCCTTCCTCGAAATAGGTTTTTTCACGTTTGGGCGGCGAGTTTACGTTTTTGTTTTGTTTTGTTTTGTTTTTGTTTTGTTTTGTTTTGTTTGTTTGTTTTTTTTTTTTTTTTTGCTTGTCAGCAAATTTCTGGGTTGGATTTTTTTTTTGACTGGGGTGGACCCCCCCCCCCCCCCGGAAAAAAAAAATCCAGGATCCGTGCATGTGTAAATGTGTAAAGTGTTATAAAAACTTTTCGTATATTTCTGCAAATGTAATAAATTTTAATTTCATAAATTCCACACAGTCCTAATCCCTCCCGAGGCACAGTCAGAGATGGACAATCTCTTATTTGACGTCTGTTTATATTTATTGACACTTAATCTTTCATCTACTTTAATTCTATTATATACATGCCGCTTAAATGTTATCAGTCGCTCAATAGCTGTTTGATAATTGATTTCTTTATACTTTTTGTTAATCCTTTTATTTTAATTTGTTCTATCTTTGTTCAGTATGTATGTTTTGTTGTTAAAAATCATAGTCAGTTGGAGTCGGACCTTCGGTGCTGAAACATCCCAAACTCATGTAAAAATATATTCCATGCTAAGTCTATATAAAAGTACAAAAAATTATAACGCGGGTTGTTGTTTTTGAGGTTTTATGAAACTCATTGGGTTCAACTATAAGAGGAAAACTCAGAGTTGGCCCAGAATCAGTGTTAGATGGACAAATTTAATCCGTAATAAACGTCATTAGTTATTAAAAGACGACTCAGAAGAGATTCTCTTTAAATCATTTCGTTTTTAGACACAATTTAATACTGTTAAGTATTTTTAAATATTTCTTTCTTTTACAATAGATTCCAACTGTTTTCATGAGCTAGACATATTAAATTTATATAAACTTAATATGCTTATTAAGACATTCTTATTTTTGCATTCTCGGAAATCCGAGAGTATCCATATTGAAGTTTATGCAAAAACATAAAAATGAAGATGGGCGATCAAGGCGAGCGAAGTCCCTGTAGTGCGACAAACATGAAGGTGAAAAATTAAATCATAATTATAACAAAGTTTTCTTAGATATTTCATCTAACATTAAAGTATACTTTATGTAGAATCTCAGCTATTTGCAAACTCTCACAAAGATTGAAAATATTTGCCTATGAAATAGCATAATCACACTAAAGAGGGCAAAAAGGATCATCTTCTCATACTAAAAAACAATTTTTCCATATCAGTGGGTCTTTGCTCCATTTTTTTTGAAAGTTTATATATCCTCAAAGTATGCGTAAAAATTTTAATTTTTTGGTTAGCAAAAACATGGAGCAAAGACCCATTTTATCTTAAAAATACACTTTTATGACACCACATTCGCATCTTTCCGAGAAATATTTGAAGTCCATTTAGTCAAGGGTCATATCACAAACATGATTTAAATGTCACTATTCACCAGGATCTGTGTAGAGTAGTGGTTGGCGCGTCAGTCTCAAACGAAAATGATACTAAGGATTTTTATTGCTAGGGTTCGAACCCCACGTCATTAATTTTTAATAACAGAATAATTTTTGCCGAGAAAATTTTCTTCAGAAAAGTTTTGTTTATCATAATTTCATATAAATTTCAATAAAGAGAACTTTATTCTAAATACTAAATTTACAAATTGAATATGATTTTAACATATCTGAAGCAATAGGCATTCTGCACGCCTTGTTCACCATCTCCTTTAAATCATATATTTATTGACTTTGAATTCACCATGCAATAAATTAATTTGAATATGAAAACAATGGAATACATGATTATAAATTATAATATGACCGCAAAATGAATATATGCTTCATCGGAGAGGTTTTATCTTTAAACCGCTTTACCAAGAGTCTTAACAATGCCCAACACATGCCCAACGGAGTTATAATTGCATATCTCGACACATCTTAAATGATGTATTATTATTAATATGTTTTTATTATACATTCATCATTGAGCAGTTTGATCATTTTGAAGAATTTGTTGCTCTACAAGTTGAAAGCTTTTGTTTCACAACAGATAATGAGAAGCACATTGTCCTTGACGTATACTTTGAAGAAACCAAATACCAATGAATATTCATCGAGGTCAGCGGACGAAAAACGACTTTACTGGAACGGTAAGAATTGTTCTATAGGCCTTGGTAAATAGGACTGTTCTGTCGCAAGTTGTCAACGTTGGAGAATTATAATTGTGTGTAATTATTTTTCTGATTTTATGATAACTGAAAATTTTCATTCTAAGGCCTACGGTATTATTTTCTAGACCAGGATCAAAGTGGGAATAAATCTGTGTACTGCATGCAGTTTGATGTTTCTGGTCTCACAGAAAATGAACTATCTACATTCACTAAGACCTTGCACAATGACGTGTCCAGCATGAAACCGGATATTGTCTACATACAACAAACTAAAGAGGGTATTTACTCGGAAGAAATCGGACTCGGGATGAAGAGATTGGGATACGACGGCTACATACAGAAGGTTACACCCGAACTAAAACAGGCTACATTCTTCCGTTCAAAGCTCCTTCATGGTTTACAGAGCAGCCCGAATGTTTTAAACACAACGACGACTGGTTAAATGAATTATGAAATGTTATTGGTCAGATTCACATGCCCAATTCCCATTGGCTCTTCATAATTTCGTGGATGATGTTGAGCATCGTAATCTTCCTAAGAGCGAGGATCCCATTGGTCACCAAGGATGTCACATGTCACCTTTTGCTCACTATTAATACCATCCCCTGGATAAGATAAGAGAGTAGTGCGACGACAAGTATCACTAAAACAAGTAAATCATATATTTATTTTTCAAGGTACGCTTGAAAATGATTTAATTTTAAGCATATATATGTGTTTAAATCCTACACGTTTGAGAGCTAACACTATCATTACAAGGAGACATAAATTCATGAATGATTGTTTCCGCCATGTTAAAGCAAAAGAAGATGGGTGTACATATGTAGCTTTCAGCTGTGTTCAGTACTATTCAACTATCAGTAATCTGTTTATAGCCTTTGTTTTTCAACATTTATTTACATTGTTTTTAATACAATTAACATGATATGTAATATGTGTTGAAATAAATTGTTTTCGAATTATATATGTATATTGAAATTGTTATTTTTTTAATTCATATACAAGATCTTTGTATATTTTGTTTTACAAAACTTCACATGCTGATACAAATTTATGACAGCTATTCAACTGCTTCAACATTTTTTGACCTTGACATTCCCTTTGACCTGGACCTCTCTTTTTCAAAAATTGTGTTTAGCTCAATTTCAAAGAAAATGTTCTTATATATTTTTATCATATCTGTAATGGTTTGGGCCGTTGATATCGGCCAGGGTAACTCAGTCGGTAGAGCACCTGACTAGTAGTGCAGGGGTCCCAGGTTCGATTCCCGGTCCAGCCATACATTTTCTACTTTCCTGTTACATACCTAATATGCTGATATATATTAATGAGAGCTATTCAACTGCATCAGCATTTTCTGACCTTTCCTTCGACCCTTACCTCTTATTTTTAGCTCACCTCAACGAAGTTGGGGGAGATTATGTAATACCGTCGGTGTCGGCATCAGCGTCCCAGGTTAAAGCTTTTGGAGTAGATTTCTTTTCAAGTACTTCTATATTAATCAGAGATGCATGGAGGATGCTTCTTATGCTTCTAGTGTGTTTCATTGTACCAGTCAAGGTTTCAGATGCTGCAATTTCAGCTAAAGAATGACCAGGATAATGTTTTTGGAGCAGGTCTCATTTACAAGTAATTATAAGGCCTATCTGAACCAAACTTGCATGGTTGATACATCTAAGGATGCACACTACTGGACTTGCTTTGGACTCTGGATCTGGCTTACATTTTCTGGGTGAGTGACCAGGTTAAAGTTTATGGAGCAGATCTCATTTCCAAGTAACTATAAGGCCTATTTGAACCAAAATTACATGGATGATGCATCAAGGAACGAACAAAGTAACTGCAAGCCCTTTCAGACCAAACTTGCATAAATGTTGCATCTAGGAATGCACACTACTAGATTATTAGTTTAGTGTGGGAGTTTGCCTTACTTAAAGACAACATTCGTTGAGTTGAGCTTTGTAATCACTGATTACCTATGTTTTTTATGTGTTAAGCTCAAAGAAAATATTCAAGCTATTTTTATTTAATATAATATGCCGATACATATTGGAGAGAGCCTTTTCACTTCACCAACCTAGTTTCAAAACATTTTTATCAAACTTCATTTGCTGGTACATATTAATAAGAGTTATTCAACCAAAAAAAAAACTTTTTTGACCATGACCTCTCCTTTGACCTTGACCCCACTTTTCTTCAAATTGTGTTTAGTTAAATTTCAAATTATTTAGATATTTTTGGCAAGCCTTATATGCTGATACGTATTGGTATTCAACTGCAACAGCATTTATTGACCTCGACCTTTCCTTTGACTCTGACCTTTCTTTTCAAAAATTTGTGTTTAGCTCAGTTTCAAAGAATCTATTCAAGTTATTTGATCAAACTTCATAGCTTATACATATTGATGAAAGCTATTGAATTGCATCAACATTATTGACCCTGACCTTTCCTTTGACCTCGACTTCAATTTTCTCAAATTTGTGTTTTATTTTAGTTCAGTTTTAAGAAAGAAAGCAGGATTTTTTTTATAAAACTTTTATTGGCTGATACATCTTGGTGAGTGATATTGAATTGCATTAAAATTATTGACCTTGACCTTTCCTTTGACCTTGAGCTCACCTTTCTTAAATTGGCATTTAGCTCAATTTCAAATGCTTAAGTTGCAGATGTGCTGTAAGGTTTCGGATGCTATAAGTGGACTGTATTTTCCAGAATAGTGTTTAGATTTAAAATCTTTTGGTAATTATATTTAGTATCTGTAACTCCTACTCTGACTGTATATGGAAGATGGTGATGATGATGGAAAGAAATATGAATTACGCAAGAGATTCCTTTTATTATACTTATAAAAATATTAATATATGAATTTTACATACGTATTAAGAACAAACCAATTCACAAACATAGAGCAACACGTATGTCTTATATGTATGTATAATCAAGACTTTCTTTTCAACATTAATACAACTAATCTGGTACAAAGACATCTTATAAATAAATCTTTTACAAAACCTAACAGCTTTTCATTCCTTTAAAAAAATAATCATATCACGTTTTAAAACTTCAACTCATTTTCTACAATCTAGAAAATGCACTACTATGCAGACATAACCTAAAACCATACAGTACACGCCGTACACCCTTAACCCAGATCACCGCGATCTGTACACGTGTTAATGGCATCTTTACACGTGATTTTACCTTCACAATCACACGAACACTTAATCTGAGAACACTTCTCATTAATCACAAAGTCTGAATTCCCTGGGTATTTTGTTCCGGCGTATTCACACTCGGTACATGAGTTTGGCTTGTCCCTACAGATGTCCACGGTACGACTTGGTGGACAATTAAAGCTTCCGTCACAGAAACAGTCGCAATCGTACTCGGCACAGCCGTTTACATACTGAAATCTTGTACCCGATCGATATTTACTACCTTGAACCACGCACTCGGTACAGTTTGTGCCTTCCGTTCCTTGGCGTGTGCGATGACTTCCACATCCGGGGATTCTCCTTGTCCTCTCAGCAGGACAGACATAGGACCCGTCACAGTTACAATCACAGTCGAACCGGAAACAATTCTTGTCGAACTGGAACCTTGAGTTTGGTTCTCTGTCGTATCCCTGGACGTTACACTTTCTACAGTTCCCCGTCTCTGGGGTGCAAATGTTTTTGGTGCGATCTGCAGGACAATTCCATGACCCGTTACAGTAGCAATCGCAATTTAACCTATAACAACCATCATCATGTTGGAAATGCGAGTTTCCGGCATATGTTTTACCATGGGCAGTGCACTGCCTACATGAAGACCCGTGACTTGATGATCCAGATCCTGAGCTGGTGGAGTGGGATTTACATATTTCCTGTGTTTGAGAGGCAGGGCACTCCCAACTTCCATTGCATGCACAGAAGCATGAAAATCGATAACAATTGTCATCAAACACGAATCGTTCGTTTGGTTTTCTTTGAGCTCCACCAGCAACGCAGTAAAAGCAGCCAGTGTTACCATAGCTATTAGCAGACGAGTAACCGTATCTATAGAGATGACTGGGTTGTACACCTACATTTTGGTGACTGGAACCCCTTTGAAATGACGATCCACTACTGCTAGAGGAACCACTTTGGTGTGTTGACCAACTACTGCTAGAGGAACCGCTATGATGAGTTGATCCATCACTGCTGGACGAAACATTCTGATATGATGACCTACCACTGCTTATGGAGCCACCTGTTTGAGAGGATCCACGATCACAGTAGTTGATTGTTTTCTCAGCAGGACAATTGTACTCGCCACTGCAGTCACAAGTACACGTGTACCGATGGCATTCTTTGTCGTATATAAACTCGCTACCTGAACTGAAAGGTGATAAAATATGTAAATGCGAGATTCATTATCTCAGATATATATTTAAATTTACGTTTATATATGTGCATTATTATATTACAAATATTTTAAAGTGCACAAACCGATGTTGCCGCCCCACTGGATCCGTGCACGGTCTACATTGAGGTTTATTCTCGCCGTTCCTGCATATTCTGCGGATGTTCCCCGAGGGACAGTTGTAAGTTCCGTCACAGGCACAGTTACAGCGGTGTCTTTGGCAATCCTTATCGTACGTGAACTGACTGTTTGCACTAAAATAGAATTGTATTCCCAAACGTTACATGGGTAATGGATAGTAGACGATACCATTGCAATTACCCCCCCCCCCCCCCCCAAAAAAAAAAAATGAAGCAAATGTTGATAAAGTAATTCATTTCCAAATATAAACATAAAGGGTATAAAATATTTAAGGGTTACTGCAGTAGTTAAAATCAGATGTATATTGTAAGTGGTCCTAAAACTGTCCAAACCTCCCCTTTCCCCTTCCACGTTTCATGGAAGATTACAATAAAGCACAGTATGTGTCATAGGTAACATACGGATGTCGTCGTCCGTTGGGATCCGTGCATGGTCGACATCGAGGCGGTGCTCGTGTAGGCTCGGGGCAAATTCTTCTAGTTTTCTCTGAGGGACAGTTGTAGCTTCCGTTACATGCGCAGTCACATGTGTATCTAAGACAGTCCTTGTCATAGAGAAACTGTGTGTATGGTCTGAAAATATATATCAACAAAAGCATAAATATCATTGGAGATATTAAGGGTAAATTCACGTTAACAAATTTAGATTGTGCACCAGCATCTACATGATAATTAAGAATGCCACTTCACTTTGTTCAGGGGGTTGTTTCTACAAGACTTACTGATGTTCCTGACCATCAGGACCTGTACATGATCTGCACTGAGGCCTCTCGTGACAGACCCGCCGGAGGGCGCTGCACCGAGGACTTCCGTCACATCCACACTCGCAGTCATACTCCACACAGTTCTCTACTCGACGATAACGCTTACCGGATCTGTGAAATGACAACATAGAGATTAATTAAAAGCGGAAATTGTAAACTGCAAGAAACTACAGTTTTGGTGCACTATTAATGAAAGTTCATCAACACTTTCTATTATAACGTTGATCAAATCTGTGGGTTTATACCGAGTTTGATATATTTTTATTCAAACGTTTACAAGATTATCACTTACTGATGAGTGACACCATCGTGAGTACACGATCTACACTGATTCTGACCCGGACCACAGACATTCGTAACCTCTCTGTCACAATCATGGGTGCCATCACAAGAACATTTACAGTTAAGCACGCGACACTTGTCATAAACAATTGTAAATCTATTTGAAAAAAAAAATAACTTGGCATATAATTTGTTATAAATAAAATATAGTAAATCAGCAGAAAAAAAAGATATACTACCAGTACTTAATTCAAAGATAATGCTACCAAATTATTTCGTATTTTATATTCTTTATTTTTCATTTCACATCTGTTTATGCAATATATTTTCCTTACTTGGTGTTTGGCGAATAGTCCTTTCCTTGCACGTGACATTTAGTACATGTTGGTTGTGGGGCCGGCGTTGTTGTTGCATGAGAGCCATGGTGACATGTATTCTCCCCCGAATCTTGACATCCATAGCGACCACTGCAGTAACACTCACAATTGTACCGCTTACAGCTCCGATCTAGACTGAAAGGCTGTTCCGACGGATACTCCTGGCTTCCCACTCTACAGGGCTTGCAGTGTTGGTGATCAATATGTGGCGCAGGAGTGGTTGGTTTAGAGCAGATGTACGTTCCTGTACTGACACAGTTGTGGGTACCATCACAAAAACACTGGCAGCTATACCTGTAACATCCCTGCTCTCTTTGAAATTTGGTTTTGCCTTGATGAACTTTTCCATCAACTGTACATGACCTACATGTGTCATGAACATGAGAGTCATCGCCGATATATTCCGCATTGGCTCTGTCACACGTATAACGATTGTCACATTCACAAGTGCAAGTCATTCTCCAATTTCCTTGTGTGAGTGTGAAAGTTGACTTTGCAGGCCTATAATGTCCTTCAACGGTGCAACCACCGCATGTTTGAGGTTGTGCACATGTGCGAAAAGGAGATGAACATTGAACTTGTCCATTACAATTACACTGACAAACAGTTCTCTCACATGTTTTATCGATGTTGAATTGTGTATTAGGTTCCCTGGTCACGCCATTGTAGACACATTGTAGGCATCCATCGTGATGCGTACAACCTGGAATCTGTGTTCTGACGCATGTTGCCATACCGTCACATTCACAACGACAAGATGTCCTCTGGCAATCTTTGTCAAATGTGAATCGAGAATTTGCTTCATACCGTTTGTTTTCCACATAACAAGGTCTACACTGGCTTTTTTCAGCAAAGCATTCGTTAATACTAACAGCCCGGCAGATGGCATACCCCTTGCAGTCACACTGGCACCTATATCGAACACAGCCTCGTTTATAATCAAATACAGCCATACCATGATACCGTCTGCCCTCCACCACACAAAAATGACAATCACTGTTTGATACCCCATTATCTCCTGGTGAAAGAAAACAAAAACAGCAACTGTAGGAGAAAGGTTTCATTAGGGAAGAGATTATATGGAATAGATAGTATGGAATACTTACTGATGACAACTGACGTAGATCCTCCCCTAGTCACCGAGACTCCTCCTCCACCACCGCCTGTTGATACAATTCTTCTCCGTATGACTCTAGAACTTCCTGTACTTCCGCTAGAAACGACCGACGATCCCCCGCTGACAACTCGAGATCCGCTGCTAACAACACGAGATCCACCACCGACAACTCGAGATCCACCACTTACTATTCTTGTGCTTGAGGAGCTACCTCCTCCACTTATAACCCCTCCACTGGAAGAATGACTACTTCCGGTAATGACTCTTCTGCTTCCGCCTGATACGACTGTGCCCCTAGAGGAGCTTCCACCAGATATGACCCTCCTACTAGAATGGCTACCACCATTGACGACAGTTGATCCACCAGACTGGACGTGTACACCGCCGACATGTGACGAACTGCTGGATCCACCTGTTATCCTTGAGTTGCTTATGACGTGTATTTGTAGATTACATAACCTATCTATGGGAGCTTGACACTGAGGCAGACCGTTACACGCACACTGACAGCGGTATGTCGAACATCCAACGTATATTTCGAAGGAAGATCTTGATGCGTGTTCAATGCCATTTACAATACACTTGCGATCACACTGTTGAGACACTGAGAGAAAAACAGCTGATTTCTTTGAGTACTTTATAGTCCCAGATATGATACCCTCTACACACGAGTCGATGATCTTTTTGGCGACTCTGTATCCAGAATTACAATAGCACCTCAGCATATGCCGATGGCATCCATCCACATATTCAAATTGGGAATTACCAGGGAAGAAGTGATCATTAATTTTGCAAGCTGAACAATACTTTACTGGTGTGCTACCAAGAGACTTCAGTTGGAATTCCTGGAAGTAGTGGCTATATGAAGAACATACACTGGTTGCTTGTTCAACAGGACACTCTACCTTTCCATCACAGTTACACTGACATTTGTACTTAATACAACCCCATTGGCTATCGAAGGAAGTCCTGCTTGTATGACGGCGGCCTAGGAAATAGCAATCTTTACACTGATTTTCAACATGATGGGAGGTGTCACCAGTGTATATGGCTTCTGCTGAACATTGCCACCCCCCGTTACAGTAACACTCACAATCAAAGCGCCAGTCCCCGTCCTCTAATGTAAAACGGGACCCACCAGCCACCTTGTTCCCATTTACGTCACAGGTATAACAGCTACCTGAAGTATGAGGGTGGCAAGTGTCCACTGCTTTTGAACCTGGACATTCCCAGAATCCATTACAATTACATATACAATCCTGATATTGCATACAGCCGTCTGTGTGATTAAACACTGATTGACCTTTGTAGGTTTTCCCGTGTACATCACAAGGATAACATCCTGTGCTGGGGTCAATCAAACACGTGTTTTCGGTTTTTTCTGGGGGACATTCATAGGAACCGTTACATCCACACTGACAGTGAAATCTATAACAGTCCCCTCGCTCGAATGTGAAAGGAGAATTGGCTGCGTATGTTTGATTGTCCAACACGCAGTCTCTACACTGCTGTGAACAGGTCCACTTAGCATGTTCTTTGGGGCACTTCCAGGACCCGTTACAATTACACTGACAGTGGTCCCATTCCCAGCAGCCCTCTTTATGACGGAACTCGCTGTTCCCTTGATACCGATTTCCATCCACGTCACATTCTCTACATCGATCCGTACACGTCCACTTTCCTGCCTCGGGAGGACATGACCATGACCCGTTACAGTGACACTGGCAAGGATCATAGGTTATACAATCAACGGTGTGGGAAAATTCTGTATTTCCTGCATATTTCCTTCCGTCGACACTACACTCACGACATATATTGTCACATGCCCACCGGTAGCTCGTGTTAGAACAATAGAAAGATCCTCCACATGAGCAATGACAGTCTGTCCATTCATGGCATCCATTTCTGTGTACAAAGTCGGTGTTTCCGAGCTGAATCTTTCCATAAACATCACATGGGGTACAAGAGCCTCCGCTCAGATCCACGCCACTTCCCCCGCCTTGTCCACACACTTTCTTATAAGTTTTATCATCACAGCTCCATCTACCTTCACAGTTACAGAAGCAACTGTCCCATTCAGAGCATCCATTCCGGTATTTGAAATAAGTATTTGGATTTTCCAATCTGTCCTGTGATACCAAACATTGTCTACATCTTGAATTGGAACTTCCAAAGCTCCCACCTGCACCACCACCTCTAGAACCACTACTTGAGTATAATCCGTCCGAAGAAGAGGAGGATGATCCACTTGAATATCCACCGGATTGTCGGCTAGAGGATCCGCTACTCTGTGACGACGAGCTACCACTACTGTACGACCCTGAGGAATAAGAACGACTCCCTCCACCAGAAAGTTGAGTTATCATAGTGTTACGACAGATGTCCCTGCCTTGTGTACAGTTCCAGAAGCCATTGCAGTGACAGTGACACTGGCTCAGCTCTGTACAACCACGGTTATAATTAAAGGGGGCGTTACTTGGAAATAACACCCCGTGTACGTTACACTCCTTACAGTTTTGACCGGAAGGACCTGTACGATCGGTATTTCTGTTTCGACAAATGTCTTCGTTCTTTTCCCGTGGACAGTCGTACCATCCATTACAGTGACACTCACAGTTGAATTTGATGCAGCCTTCGGTGTAAGAGAACTTCTCCCCCGCGTTATAGGTATTTCCTCGGTGGTTGCACTTCCCTGTGCAGTCTGCAGTGATAAATAGGTATGAGTAAGAAACGTCATTAACAACCCAGTTAGGTAGTATTTTAAGAGTAGCACGTCATATGTATACCTTGTTCTGACCATTTTCAAACCATTAATGATTAAATTACTAGTATCTTTCTAAAAACAAATGTAGCTCATAAAAAATTACAAAAATGATCGATTATTTTAAGTATTACTGGTGAATGAGAAGATTCTTTTCTACTAAATAAAAGTTCGCCTTATTTTTGAAGGGGGGGGGGGGTAAACTCGCCGTTCATCTTACCTCTTGTGCTTTCCGAATTTCCAAACTGAGTACCGTAACCTCTGTCAGCTGAAATGATACAAAGATGACTGAAACATGTGGCTTGCATACAATATGTTTACTGAATATCATCATTCAAAACCGATGAATATCAAAATTGCTGTGCTATAGTTTACTCGTTTGTTTGGGAGCGCATTGAATACATAAAAACAACAGTTATGTAAATGGTGAAGATGATGAACTTTGATTAATCCCATCCCATAAATCCATCAGAGGTGGGATCAGTTGCCTAAGAGGAGTAAGCTTGCCTGTCGACCGGTCACAACCGCCGTTGGCCCTATAATTTGATCAAGTAGACGGAGTACTCCCTAGTTAAAGTTAGTACATATGTATTTTGATTGATTGTACGTATGTTGTTTTACGACTGATTCGAGATTTTTTCACTCATATAGAGACGTCACCATATACCGATGAAGAACTTCAAACTAAGATCTTTATTAGGCTCTCAGGGCCATTAACAGTGAGGGATATTTATCATGCTAACGTCTGTCGTGACACGGGACCTAATTTTTTAAGGTCTTGTCTGAAAGACCCGCATCTTTCACCGCAAAGTGCCGAGCGCTTGGCGAAGGAAGAGTTGCTACCTAATTTTTATCGACATAGGTCAGTCGCGGCCGGGGTATGAACGCACGACCTTCCGATCATAGAGCTCTACCGACTGAGCTACCGTGTCAGTATTTAAGTTAGTAGAAAAGCAATCACTTAACAAATGATGTGAAACATATCAGACAAGATAAGACCCAACGAAAGACTGTATTTACAAACAAGGTCATTATAGAAGCCGTAGAATTCTGGAAAGCTGACTTTAAACCTATATATTTATACCGAATTACTGGTTGCTAGTATTTGTATAATAGCGAATGCATGATTATATTTTACTTTTTATGATAGATAACTGTATACAATCTTTAAATTGATTTCACAGATTTTTAGAAAGTGTGGGGACTTCAATTATTTTCTTTCAAAATGAATATAGGATGTCAACAATCCAAAAGGGCGAAATCAAAACAAATAAGAAAGAAAACGCACTTCAATTTTTTACTGTCTAGAAATAAAAAAAAATAAACATTGAATATAATTTAAGATTACTTTTTGTCAGTTGCAACAAAGTTGCAAGGGGATATCAATACTTGTCCATATGAGCATTCGCCCCACCTTCACCATTGCATATACGTATGTTCCAATGTAATCGACATAATATCATTTTTATAGTGCTGTTAAATCTTATTGCCTCATAATGCTAGATGGGTAGTTAAAGAACATAACTGGTTTCTACCGGACAGGTTCAATTTCAGTATATCAAATACAGAGACAGGTTTAAGCAGCGTGGACAGAGTCTGAAAACCATCTGTCCTTTTTAATTTCATTATTTACTAATGGACGAAAAACTAAAATTCAAAATTGGGCGAGTTTTAAATGATTATCATTTGACCTATCAGTCTCATACTTGTGTTACGGTGTAAAATATGACCTTTTTGGAATTATCATAAATTACTATGCGAATTAACTTTTCGGACTTTGTGTAAATTGTTATTAAAACTTTTCGTATATTTCGGCAAATGTGTTAAATTCTATGAATTCCGCACAGCCGTAATCCTACCTGAAACAGAGTAAATTTAGAGTAAATTTTGTTTTGATTAAGATCTATTTTTTCTCTTTCTTGTTTGTCGATCCATGACTATTTTTCTCAACTTATTCGCCCGTGTTCTTCTAAAATTTCTTCACAACTATCCCACTGATATTAGCATACATTTCTATAAGAACGTTGAAGTTTTTTCAAAGATGCATATGGATTCTTTATTTCTTTTAAGTAATGATATTGTTTAAGGAAACATATAATGGAATCCCAAAATGATAAGCTTTAACGATACATTTTCAATTTAAACATTACAAAAATATTATATGATAGCAACAGCACCTACGATAGTGTATATACGATATAATATAATAATAGTTTCCAAACTGCATTTCATTTGGTTGGTCTAGTTTACGGTTATGATTTACCTGCGGTTACTAGCTCCCAAACACTCGCTGCTAGGATCAGTGTACACACCCAGTGCTGGAGGGGGCACGAGTGAGACATCTTGTTGAGACAGAACCTAAAATCCAATTACAGAAATGTATTAATAGTGGTAATCAAAAAAGGACTAAGGAGGGTGTTTAAATGAAAATAAATTATGGACAAAGAACTAAAGGATGGAATAAATTTTGAATCTATTCTTTACAATGCTGTGGCAGTTTGTTTTTAGCCTCTAACATCCAGTAACTAGAGATGAACACATCTGTGGATATAAGGGCAATAGAAAGTACTTGTGTTTGATAGTTTCATGAATGCATCAGCTTAATGTCTGTGAGGAATAAAGATTTATAATGCAGATACATATGTTTGTATGTCTGATTGTCACATCATAAAGGCAAACATCCCACTGAAAATCTGAGGGGGATATGCGGGAATTAATATGGGATGAAGACTGCTAAGCACTATTTACAGCTCTAGGTGACCCAAGCCCGGAAATGGAATGGACACACAGGAGACAGTTTTTTAACACCCGTGCAGGCTTTTGGATATTGTTTTTAACAACGAAACTGATTGGTTGCTCAAAGGAAGACATGAACACAGTTTAAATCTAATACTTAAGATTTATCTTAAGTTGTAAAAGTTTGGATTTTTTCCCCGTAACTTTGCGAAAATTAATCGATATGGAAAAATCAACCTTAGATTAATTAATAATTGCTTAAACATTTCATGTATTGACCAAATCCTTGCAACAGCTATTAATGATACAAGTTTTATGAATATTCCATTACAAATGTTTATACAAATTCTTAATAATAATTTTAAAAATTGGAATATTACATAAATTACATATTATATCTAGCATGCTACATGTATCTCAACAGTTCTTGCTCTAAGAATCACTTGATATAAATTATAATATATACTTACTTATTAGTCCCTGATCTGTTGACCAATTCCCTGTTTACTCTCTTTCCTGGCGAGTTTCAGTTGTACTAAGAATTACCTACTCACTTATACATTCCCCTGGTACTGATGATGCCGGGTTAGAAGATTGTATGAGTCAAGTAGTCTCTCACCGAAAATAACGCATTCCAATGTACAACGGGGAAACTGGTTTATACGTTTTTCACATGGCAAGCAGAAACAAAAGACTCATTTGTTCGATCGTTATTTAGCTTTCAGCATTCAAGAAATTTTTGTCTGACTTCTCGCAATTATACTGTTATTCTTACAATTGTTTTATCAGACTCATGCATTCTTTATATAAAGTGTGTGAGGCAAATCTTGACTCTGCGCACAATGAGTATGCCTCCGTCACAATTGTTCGTTAATCCCAGTTCCTTGCAGCACTGAGCTGCAGTAGTGAGTGTTTGTACTTCGTTCGTTAACATGTTTTTGTAAGTTCTTCCGTCACGAGTAATTTAGCGATAAGCCGCAAAAAATGACAGAAAAGCGGGGATTAAGTTCCCCTGTCCCGACTCTTCTCAGTGATTCAACCCTTCTCACGTAATAAGTATTATGTATAATTCAACTGAATGATTAGAGGAGTATTCATTAAAAACATGACAGGGGCAATATTGCACATTTATCTGTATATAACAATATGAGATTAGTTAACTTGAAAAGTTATTTTTTTTATTACATGAAAAATATACGAAAGGAAAAATAAAAGATTTAATTAGTATAAATATGAGGACAATTCCCTCTCAAAAAAATTGATAATCTGCAGAAGTGATTACTTTGTTGGTTCTCGGGGATAAATTCTCTGTCTGCATTTGATGTCGGTTTTCGATTTGTGGTGGCGGGTAATTTTGCGTGAAAAACAACAAACAATAAACTGTAGGAAGCGAGGGAAATCCCCGATATGTTTTTGATTATACTATAGTGTTCAAGGTCACTTTAGATTAACGGAACTGTCTATAAGATTATATTTGCTTAGCTCAATTTCTCCACCATGCAGTAGTGTATAGAAACACTTCATATTAGTTGATGAAAATACTTAACAACCATTTTTAAATTCCCTCTTATAAATACGTAGAAAACTTTTAAATTAAAAGTTTTACGTGAAAAAAAAATATTTTAATACTTATGTTTATAGAAATATATTCAAAATATCTTTTGCCGATTTCTTCAATCTAATTTTTTGATGCATGAATAACGATATTCCATAAAAAAATGTTTTATTGTTTCTTGTAAAAGTTTAGAAGACCACGGTAATGTTGCGTACAGCGGAAATGCGTTAGCGGTGCATTTTCAGACGATTAGTAACGGGAAATGACAGGCTCTGTATCTGTTGTGTGTCTCTAAGTAAAGAAACTGGTTAGTTTTCACTCTAGAAGAATATTTCTTAAGCCCCCAAAACCAAGCTTCAAAATATTTTCTTTGACCGCATTTCGTGAGTAAGTAGGATGCAATGTGACAACTTTTCCTTGTTATGTGACAATAATCTTTGGTATTATGTCAAAAAACTATGATCTAATAAGTCTTTAAAATCATGCCCCCCCCCCCCCCCCCGATTTGAAACAATTTTTTTTCTTTTATCATTAAAGAATCTTCAGAGTTAGTTGCTGAACTCCTTACAATTTTATTTTTAAAAATAATAATTTTTAAAAATTAAAATTCGTACACTCAGATTTAGATGTTCAAAGGCAGTGAAATATTTATATTCAAAAATGTACAAAATAACTATTTTCTGACAAGAGACCCATGGACAACAACGCTCACGTCACTATGACCCTGCTGTTCGTGATCAGCAGATTTTTTTTCCTTATAAATTCCTATGTAGAAATTTGATCGCATATTGTGAATTTTTTAATGGCATTTTAATAAAATTAAATATTCTTCGAAAATCACTAAATATACATGTATGCAATCAAAATAGAGAACATTTATTACATTTTCAACAGTGAAATACTGTGATTTATTAATTGAATAAAAGTGATATTCTCTCACAGTGTGAAAGGATACCAAAAATGATATTCTCTCACAGTGTGAAAGGATATCAAAGTAAGTAAAAAATAATTTCTGGCCTGTCATAAGATAGAGATAGTGACTAAGCATCTTGATAGAGCTAAAACTGCAAATTTCTTCCCAAAAATGTTGCTAAAATCCATGCTATTTAATGTACTTCTAAGCTATGACGTTTCAACCGCTCAACTATGACGTCATGCCTATGACACTGTGTTAGGAAAAGACAGGGGCAAAGGGAAAATCAAAGAAAATGTAATAAACAGAAAATTCAATGTTTTGTAGATGAATATGGAATTTATTTCACTCGTGAGACAGGATTTTTTTTATATTTTCACTCGTGCTTCCCACTCGTGAAAATATCAAAAATCCTGTCCCACTCGTGAAATAAATTCCATATTCATCTACAAAACATTGAATATCCTCTATATATTAGTTGTATATCCCCTACTACCCAAACTCCGTCACCATAAGAGGAAAACACGCCAGGTAACTCTCTGAATTATTTTTTGATTTGTTTCATGTTTGCTACACTTAGTAATGAACTTAAACATTGTTTGCAGAAATATTTTTAAAAATTCAGCTATTGGGCTTATACAAAACTACTATAAATAGAACGCGTATCACATCCGTGTACATTACGTCCAATGAACCCTACATGTAACTCCGTCACCAGGGCCCTCTACAATATGTCAACATATTAATTAGAAATATTTACATTACAAGTGTATTTTGCATATAAAATGTGTGGAAATCTATGGCATTCAAAACACCATAACACGAACAGGGGGTCAAAAGGTTAAAGCATGCATTTTATTTTGACGTCACAAACGTCGAACGCCGTGGAAGTGTAACGTCATACGCGAAATTCAAAAATCACGCTCACATTGAACAGATGCTGTTGTATTGACTCTTCCAGTAACTGTAACTTACTTGAAGGATAATAAAGGGATTTTTAAATATAAATCACATTTGCAGTCAATGCAAGGAGTTTAAAAATGTAAATATAAGCATTGAATCATTATTTTTTGAAAGATATAGTCTCATAACTGCAACGTACGGTGTGTGCAAACAAATTTTCATAATGCGCTAACGCGCGTTACTCAATTTGTTTGCACACACCGTAACGGTTGCAGTTATGAGACTATATCTTTCAAAAAGTAATGATTCATTGCTTAAATATATTTTTCCAGTTTAGTTTTTTCTCCCTTCATCTTAAACTTGTAAGCATAGAAAATTAGTTTTGAAGATTTAAAATAGCATTAAATTTTATTTTGGGAAAAGTATCAACAAAAGAAAAAATAACGTCAATACAACGTATTTTATTATGTAAAATTTACATTCAATATGTATCTTGCTTATAAAGTGTGAGGAAAGCTACGGCATTCAAAACACCATAACATGGAAAGGGGGTCAAAAGGTTAAAGTATGCGTTTTATTTTGACGTCACAAACGTTGAACGCCGTGGAAGTGCAACGTCAAAAGTCACGCTCACATTGAACAGAAGCTGTTGCAACGGCTCTTCCATTTATTGTAACTTACCCGAATGATAATACAGGGATTTTAAAATATAAATCACCTTTGCAGTCAAGGAAAGAAGATAAAAAATGTAAATATAAGCATTGAATCATTATTTTTTGAAAGATATTGTCTCATAACTGCAACGGTGTGTGCAAACAAATTTTCATAGCGCGCTAACGCGCGTTACTCAATTTGTTTGCACACACCGTTGCAGTTATGAGACTATATCTTTCAAAAAATAATGATTCAATGCTTAAATAACGTCACGCTACGTTATCTCCAACGTGTAGCGTATTAGGGAAAATTGAGACGTAAAATAAGATATTTTTAGCCGTATTCAATATGGTATTTCATATTAATTTTTTGGCAAAGACCTTCATAAATGACTGACATGTGAAAATGAGCATGTTGACGCACATGTCGGAGGTATCGATGGAATAGCGCATAAAGGAAAAAGTGCTTACTGATTTCACATAAAGAACTTGACTGTAATAATTTTTTGGCATTTGATTATACAAGTAGATTTTCAGCATGTAAGAAATGACGTCACAATCGTATTCGTTTACAAACAGCGCGGAGTTTCCCGAAAGTGACGGAGTTAAGGTAGTGACGGAGTTAGGGGGTTTGGCGATAATTTTAATAAAATCCAATATTTATATCCAATCATTAAATATTTAGTAGGTGATGCAAAAAGGTGGCGATTTCCTAGCTACAGGAAATTCCGCCTTTTTTATTCTAGTGTCCGCGACCTTTATGTTGACTCGAGTTTTTACACTATAAAGAAACCTATATGCTTTGCGTTTAACTCAGTCTCAAAGATATTGGTGAGAGCAACTTACCAGTATAATAATTTTCAGCCCTTATGCTTCCCTACAACCTTGACCTCTCTATTCCACAATTTGAGTTTCCTTAATTAAACAGAAACTGTTCTACAAGAACTTGGGCTTTCTGAGACGAAACCTGGGCCATTGTACATCATCAGTAAAGGCAACAGCGTACTGTACTATAGTCAGATCATCGATCGAATATGCGTCATCAGTGTGGGATTCTTATCAGGCCACCTTAAGGAGGGATTCTTGTCTGGTTTCTGACTAGATGAAATATTCAAAGTATATTTGCTTATATGTTTTATATATTTAGATGTAAGAGATTTAAAAGATCACATTCTTTTTTCCTCATCACAATTGTACAACTTTAAATAGAAATGGTAAACTGAGTTTGAAATCTAGCAGGGACTATATGGCGGCATATGAAAATATCTTCTTTTCTGCCTCTCAAAATAATTACAGAACAATGAATTTAGTTATAATTTTTACACAATCAAAGACTTGGAATTTTCTTTTTAAATGTAATATGTTAAATTAATAATAAGGGACTAAAGTTTTAAAATATATCGAATTAATATGATTTTCCAAACAAACAACAATTATGTTAGCTTTTAAAAGCTTCCAATCTAAGTTCAGATTTGAGCCAAAAATCCGTAAAAAGTGTTTTTTCTCTCTTAGTAAACGGTCAAAACTTTTTTTTTATATCACTTTGTATCTTTATGTGACAGCTTTACCACATGTGAAAATAAGAAAAAATTAAATATAGGAAGCATATAAAAATAATTAAAATATCTTAAAAATTTAAGAAAAATAGAGAAAATTCGGATTAGCCAATATCCATTTTAGTTAAATTATTTATGTCAATTTGGTAATATCATCTTATAGATCCTATATGGTAATATCTCTTTATGCAAAAAGAAAAACATCTAATTTATTGAAATAGAAGTAGGCATCGCATGATTGGCAACAGAAATTTTTTATTCTTAATCTCCGGGGAAAAGGTACTGACCTTGCCTCTAATATAAAAAGGTCAAATTTAATCTAACTGATACCATCACTTAGTGATATTGTCTTCTTGATTCTGTGAAAATTTCACTGATTTTTAAATATAAGACATAAGTGTTCTTATGAGAAGAATCCCTCCTTAACTTAGGATCTGGTACAGGTACAGCGTAGAGCACCCAGGTTCGTCTTCAACCACAAGTACTTGGACACCTCCCTTGGGTCTGTAACAGCATTACTGGACCAACTAGAGTGGAACTCATTCCAGCATAGGAGAACATTACACCGTCTTGTTCTATGCTACAAAATTAGGAACCACCTTGTGGACATTAATCCAGACAAATATGACAGACCTGGGGACAGAAGAACCAGAGGTAGCCATAGATACAGACAGCCTCGTGCATTTTAATGAGGTTTATAAGAATTCCTTCTTTCCACGTTCGGTGAGAGATTGGAATCGTCTGCCAGAGAGAGTGAAAGCGGTCGCTATTATTGAGGAGTTCAGGATGGGACTAGACAGTGTCCCCTGGACCCAGCTGTAACCCTGGTAGACGTGATGAGCCATATTGTAAATAGTTTTATCTGTTTTTTATAAAAAGAAGCCTCCTGTTTTTAACCGAGCCAGAGTTATCATCACTTTTGTATCAGAGGTCAACTCCTTACCGGAAGAAGAAGAAGAAGACTTGTTTTCAATAAACTTCAAACACTGATTAAAATTGGTGAGCGCACTTCAACTGTTTCATCATATTTTGACCTTGACCTTCACTATGACCTAGAACTTTAATTTTCAAGATATTTTTATCGAACTTCATACAAAGATACATATATGTATTGATAAAGGTTCAACTTTCATAATTTTCTGACCTTGACCTTCCTATGATTTTTACTTCACCAAAGTAACTCTTCATTTTGCTTTTAGTTTCAAAGAAACTGTTTCAGATATCTACATCAAACTTCTTAGTTCATACACCCATACAAACTGGAAAGATCAATGCAACTGTCTCATAATTTCTTTAACCTTCCAATGACCTTCAACTTTTCCTCATTTTGCTCCATGTTCATCTCATCGAATTCCAGAAATAAAAGGATTACTTTCGTCAAATAAAGGATAACTTTATACAATTCCAAACAAAGATAATATACTGTATATACTACAACTTTACATTTTTTTTTATTAAATGACAAAATGTAACTACATCTCATTGAATTCCATTAATTAAAGGATGACATCATACAACTCCATACAAATATAATTCTCTGTGAGATCATGTTCAATTATTCTTTATTAAATAATAAAATGAAACTACAAATAATAAATAAGTATATGAATACAAGTCAATATCAATAAGACTAACTATAGCTCCTCCTTAGTTGATTCCTCCCTAACTTGGAGGACGATTTTCCCTGTGGTTACATTAGACTCCATTAATTGGTGAGCCTCTTTAATGCTGTCCAGTGTTAATACGGTGTGTATGATAGGACGGAGATCACTGCTACCAAAGTGAGGTAAAGCACGTTGTGTAAAATCTGAGATAAGTAACTCCTTGTACTAGAAAAACAGAAAGAATTTTTTTTTAAAAAATGTTCAAACATGTAAAATTGAATAAAAAAACTTGGTAGTAACTTTTATAATAATTTTCCAATTTTTTTCACTTTTTATAAACCAAGCTAGGACAACATAAAAGTAGGTTGTAATATCCAGTTTTCCTTTCTTTACATTAAAATCAAAACAAAGTCATATTTATCAAAACCAAAACCCTTGTAAAACCTATCTCACCTCTACAGATCTCACTCTCAATAAAACTTATCTCACCTCTACAGATCTCGCTCTCAATAAAACATACATCTCACCTCTACAGATCTAGCTCTCAATAAAACCTATCTCACATCTACAGATCTAGCTCTCAATAAAACATATCTCACCTCTACAGATCTTGCTCTCAATAAAACCTATCTCACCTCTACAGATCTTGCTCTCAATAAAACCCATCTCACCTCTATTGATCTCACTCCCAATAAAACATATCTTACCTCTACAGATCTAGCTCTCAATAAGACCTATCTCACCTCTATAGATCTAACCTATCTCACATACACTTGTAAAACATATCTCACATCTACAGATCTCACTCTCAATAAAACATATCTCACCTCTACAGATCTAGCTCTCAATAAAAATATCTCACCTCTACAGATCTAGCTCTCAACAAAACCTATCTCACCTCTACAGATCTCGCTCTCAATAAAACCTATCTCACCTCTACAGATCTAGCTCTCAATAAAACCTATCTCACCTCTACAGATCTCGCTCTCAATAAAACATACATCTCACCTCTACAGATCTAGCTCTCAATAAAACCTATCTCACATCTACAGATCTAGCTCTCAATAAAACATATCTCACCTCTACAGATCTTGCTCTCAATAAAACATATCTCAACTCTACAGATCTAGCTCTCAATAGAACATCTCACCTCTACAGATCTAGCTCTCAATAAAACATCTCACCTCTACAGATCTCGCTCTCAATAAAACATATCTCACCTCTACAGATCTAGCTCTCAATAAAACCTATCTCACCTCTACACATCTAGCTCTCAAAAAAACATATCTCACCTCTACAGATCTAGCTGTCAATAAAACATATCTCACCTCTACAGATCTAGCTCTCAATAAAACATATCTCACCTCTACAGATCTAGCTCTCAATAAAACATATCTCACATCTACATATCTAGCTTTCAATAAAACATATCTCACCTCTACAGATCTCGCTCTCAATAAAACATATCTCACATCTACAGATCTAGCTTTCAATAAAACATATCTCACCTCTACAGATCTCGCTCTCAATAACACCTATCTCACCTCTACAGATCTAGCTCTCAATAAAACCTATCTCACCTCTACAGATTTAGCTCTCAATAAAACATATCTCACCTCTACAGATCTAGCTCTCAATAAAACATATCTCACCTCTACAGATCTAGCTCTCAATAAAACATATCTCACCTCTACAGATCTAGCTCTCAATAAAACATATCTCACCTCTATTGATCTCACTCCCAATAAAACATATCTTACCTCTACAGATCTAGCTCTCAATAAGACCTATCTCACCTCTATAGATCTAACCTATCTCACATACACTTGTAAAACATAGCTCACATCTACAGATCTCACTCTCAATAAAACATATCTCACCTCTACAGATCTAGCTTTCAATAAAAATATCTCACCTCTACAGATCTAGCTCTCAATAAAACCTATCTCACCTCTACAGATCTCGCTCTCAATAAAACCTATCTCACCTCTACAGATCTAGCTCTCAATAAAACCTATCTCACCTCTACAGATCTAGCTCTCAATAAAACCTATCTCACCTCTACAGATCTAGCTCTCAATAAAACGTATCTCACCTCTACAGATCTAGCTCTCAATAAAACCTATCTCACCTCTACAGATCCCGCTCTCAATAAAACATACATCTCACCTGTACAGATCTAGCTCTCAATAAAACCAATCTCACCTCTACAGATCTAGCTCTCAATAAAACATATCTCACCTCTACAGATCTAGCTCTCAATAAAACATATCTCACCTCTACAGATCTCGCTCTCAATAAAACCTATCTCACCTCTACAGATCTTGCTCTCAATAAAACCTATCTCACCTCTATTGATCTCACTCCCAATAAAACATATCTCACCTCTACAGATCTAGCTCTCAATAAGACCTATCTCACCTCTATAGATATACACTTGTAAAACATATCTCACATCTACAGATCTCTTTCTCAATAAAACCTATCTCACCTCTACACATCTAGCTCTCAAAAAAACATATCTCACCTCTACAGATCTAGCTCTCAATAAAACCTATCTCACCTCTACAGATCTAGCTCTCAATAAAACATATCTCACCTCTACAGATCTAGCTCTCAATAAAACCTATTGTTCCGCCACAGCTTCCATACCTGACTTTCCCCATGTGCTAACGGGGTACATGTGCTTCCGGCGAAGCAATATGTGTTCATGTTTTTGTTTCGGGAAGCTGACCACAGTGTAAGTTATGACATTTATTTAGTGACTGTGAAGCAGTTGAGATTTGCCTCATTTCGTTTCTTATTTGTGTATCAATTTGATATCAAACGGAATTGATTTAGATTGTTTACTACTGTTGATCACGTGACTTATTCATTGTGCTATCTAGTCTCTTAAATTGATATAGTTCAGTATTATTATGTATCACTCTTTATGTACATGTAAAGTTTATATTATCAGTATTACTTGAATATGTGTTTGGCTCAGATTATTGTGTTTAAATTCAGGAATTACTAAACTAGGGGCTTGATAAAAATTTTTATGTATGGAAACCAGTTTGTGCCATAAATTGGGATTGTATTCTTTTTATAAGTCACCTTGTGCTCTTTGTTTGTTAATTGATTCTTATACCAAACTTTCTTTTGTTCCAGCTTTTTACCAATCATTTACCAATAAAGTCAGTCAACACTTTAGAGGTCTAGTGGTTTATTCTGGCTGCGGGTTCCGTACCGTGGGGCAGCACACCTATCTCACCTCTACAGATCTAGCTCTCAATAAAACATATCTCACATCTACAGATCTAGCTTTCAATAAAACATATCTCACCTCTACAGATCTCGCTCTCAATAAAACATATCTCACATCTACAGATCTAGCTTTCAATAAAACATATCTCACCTCTACAGATCTCACTCTCAATAAAACCTATCTCACCTCTACAGATCTAGCTCTCAATAAAACCTATCTCACCTCTACAGATCTAGCTCTCAATAAAACCTATCTCACCTCTCACCTCTACAGATCTAGCTCTCAATAAGACCTATCTCACCTCTATAGATCTAACCTATCTCACATACACTTGTAAAACATATCTCACCTCTACAGATCTCACTCTCAATAAAACCTATCTCACCTCTACAGATCTAGCTCTCAATAAAAATATCTCACCTTTACAGATCTAGCTCTCAATAAAACATATCTCACCTCTACAGATCTCGCTCTCAATAAAACCTATCTCACCTCTACAGATCTAGCTCTCAATAAAACCTATCTCACCTCTACAGATCTAGCTCTCAATAAAACATACATCTCACCTATACAGATCTAGCTCTCAATAAAACATACATCTCACCTCTACAGATCTAGCTCTCAATAAAACATACATCTCACCTCTACAGATCTAGCTCTCAATAAAACTTATCTCACCTCTACAGATCTCAATCTGAATAAAACCTATCTCACCTCTACAGATCTAACTCTCAATAAAACCTATCTCACCTCTACAGATCTCACTCTCAATAAAACATATCTCACCTCTACAGATCTCGCTCTCAATAAAACTTATCTCACCTCTACAGATCTAGCTCTCAATAAAACATATCTCACATCAACAGATCTCACTCTCAATAAAACATATCTCACCTCTACAAATCTAGCTCTCAATAAAACATATCTCACATCTACAGATCTGACTCTCAATAAAACATATCTCACCTCTACAGATCTAGCTCTCAATAAAATATATCTCACATCTTCAGAACTAGCTCACAAGAAAAAATTTGTCACCTCTACAGATATAGCTCTCAATAAAACCTAACTCATCTCTACAGATCTCGCTCTCAATAAAACCTATCTCACCTCTACAGATCTCGCTCTCAATAAAACCTATCTCACCTCTATTGATCTCACTCTCAATAAAACATATCTCACCTCTACAGATCTAGCTCTCAATAAAACCTATCTCACCTCTACAGATCTAGCTCTCAATAAAACCTATCTCACCTCTTCAGATCTAGCTCTCAATAAAACCTATCTCACCTCTACAGATCTCGCTCTCAGTAAAACCTATCTCACCTCTACAGATCTAACCTATCTCACATACACTTGTAAAACATATCTCACATCTACAGATCTCACTCTCAATAAAACATATCTCACCTCTACAGATCTAGCTCTCAATAAAACATACATCTCACCTCTTCAGATCTAGCTCTCAATAAAACCTATCTCACCTCTACAGATCTAGCTCTCAATAAAACCTATCTCACCTCTTCAGATCTAGCTCTCAATAAAACCTATCTCACCTCTACAGATCTCGCTCTCAGTAAAACCTATCTCACCTCTACAGATCTAGCTCTCAATAAAACCTATCTCACCTCTACAGATCTAGCTCTCAATGTTGAGCCAATTATTGTTATCCTTTTTCGTAAAATTTTGGCTAAATGATCACCAGTACTGACTGTGCTGCCCCCTATTTAAATAAAATAGATTTCATAAACTTATCAATCAGGTACTTCAAATAATCTTCCTAATAAAAACTTACATCAGTACCTGCATAATCGGAACTGTGTCATTTAAAAAAATATCTTTGTTACTGTCCATGATAATAACTCTTACTTGCCCATTTTACATATGAGTGTCTGTGAGAAAGCTCATTTCTCCAACTTAACATATGAGTGTCTGTGAGACTGAACTGTGTCTTGGTATTGAACTGAGTGAGATAAATACTTGATGACATACAGATGTATACTTCTTTGTATGTAAACCCATGTAAGTCAGTTATTTGTATGGCTACTGTCAGTTGTGGGTCAGTGATACAGATTTATATTATATTTGTGTAACTACTGAAATACATGGGTCAATAATATAGATCTAGATTTCTATGCTAACTGAAATATGCAAGACCAAAATCTATTGATATTTTGCAGTTGAGTTGTGTGAACCTTTGAGACATTTCTTTACATTTAGATTGTGTGAAGAGTCTCTGACACAAATATTCACTTTACCCATCAAGCCATATACAACCCACGTCCCCTCTGTTGCTATGGAGTTGATGTTCTGGTTGAAGAAGGAACCTCCTACACAGTCTAGGATTAAGTCCACTCCCTTCCCTGCAACCATTAAATAATTTTAGTTTCTTTCTTTTTAACTTCTTCCATCTTTTAAAAAACACAAATATACACACAATGAAAATGTACCAAATCTACCCTATATACTCACCTATAAGTCCGTCCACCTATAAGTTGGTTGTATTTTTTAAGCTTAAATTAGAGGGATTGACCCGCTAAAATACCAATCTTTTTATAACTCATGTATAAGTCAAATAAAGAGTTTTGAACCAAAGTTTAACTCCAAAAAAAAAAAAAAACGAACTTACATGCGAGTATATATGTTACATTATCACACTTTTATGCAAAGAACACTTTTCTCCTATTCATCCTGACAGTATTCTGTCTGATTTTGAATACTTGACAGTATTCAAAATCTACAGCTGTCACACGCTATGAATGTTGAAGCATCACACAAAAAAGTAGGCAAAATGAATGAGAGTCAACAGAAATATTCCTTTGAAAACAAAATATAAAACAGAGATAAATTACTGTCTTGTGTACCTTGAGTGTGCTCCAAGACCTTGGGTTCAAATTCAGCCTCCTTATAGTTAAACCCCTCCTCTGCCCCCAGAGATTTAGCGAAGTCGATCTTCTCCTGTGTGCCGGCGACCACTAGGGCTCGAGCTCCGTACTGACGACAGAGCTGTACAGCTGCGGTGCCGACCCCACTACCACCAGCATGGATCAGGACGGTGTCATTCTTCTTAAGTTTACCTGCAAATAAAAGCTATAATTAGTATTTCTCCTATCATTATCAAGCCAGACTTACTAATAGTGAACAATGAACAAGAGCTGGAATGCTGTAAGCCAGACTTTCCAACAGTAAGAGGAGCTGGAATGTTGTAAGCCAGACTTTCCAACAGTAAAGAGGAGCTGGAATGCTGTAAGCCAGACTTACCAACAGTGAAGAGGAGCTGGAGTGCTGTAAACCAGACTTACCAACAGTAAAAAGGAGCTGGAATGCTGTAAGCCAGACTTCAGGAATAGCTGCTGCCTGTGTAAACTTCATGTTGTCAGGGACAGGCATCAACAACTCCTCCCTACTGGCTACATATTCTGCATTCCCTCCACCTAAATAAGAAAACTGAACATATATCATGTGCTTTTTTATATCTCTCAGTTAAGGAATATTTATTAAAGGCAACCTCTGTATGAAGTGCAGTGAATTAAGCACAGGTTTCTAAAATAATGACAGGACACTTGATCTGGAAAGAGAAACCCCGCTGACCTAAAAATACCATCCTGAGGGGTTATATGACTTATTGTTACCAGCCTGTGGATCCTATGATGCTAGTTGCACAACATTATGTCAGAAACATTAGAAAAAAGTTAGTTCCCATTTTACACAAAACAGAGATAATTTGTAGTTTAGGGCTTTGGCAGTCTAAAACAGAAATTGCAGTTTCCTTTAAATAGACCTCAGATTAGAGCTATATCTCTGTCAATATGGCATCAGGAATCAAGAAAAGGCAAATAGCCTGCCCAATGATTTAGGAAAACTTTGGGATACTTTTCAGACTAATTTCCTTTTCTTATCTATCTCCTTACCAGGTAGAAGAGCCATGACTCTGTCTCCTGTCTTCCAGGACTTGACACATCCAGGTCCCAGCTTCTCAATAACCCCTACAGCCTCCAGTCCCAGAATGTCAGATTCTCCAGGGGGTGCTGGATACAAACCCTTCCTCTGTAACACACGACAAACATTAGTTTTCATTAAGTGTGCTTCCCAACATGACAAAATGACATTGCTGTGTTTTAATACATGTATTCATAGATAAATTCCCTGCTGTTTTTATTTTTATTCATTTTCTGTCATGTGTTTGCATTGTATTTGGGTGAATTAAAAAAAAATGACCAAATGCATATTTATCAACCCACACTAAAAATACAGGCAATGAAAATAGATTTCTATGTCTCAGCATATGTCTTTAGATAGTGTCTAAATACCTGCCAAATATCTCATTGATATCTCAATTAACAAAAAAGTTATGCCCAAAAATGATGATAAAATTGTCAGGAGTGCAACACCTTTTTGTGACATTTTGAAATTTCAATATTTTTTGGAGCTCTGTGAAATAAAAAATAATGCTTCATGTTGAAAATAAAGACTTTTCTGATAATATTCAAAGTATTGAGCTTTAAATGTGGGCTGTCATAACTTTTGTTTAATCAGGTTGCATACATGCCAACTTTTGAAAATTCCCATGGGGGATTTTGCGTGTGACGACAATTTTCAAAGCTTTAAATTCGCGGCATTTTGTCGTGAAAATAAATGTTTATCCCATTTTTTTTTTTTAAATTTAAAATATCAATATCACTTGTTAATACAATTTAAGAATAAATAATACAAACAATTTTTCTCCTTCCAAAATTCAATATCTTTTGCTTAAATAGAAACCTCTCTCACTAAAGAAGAGATATCTGTTTAGTTTAACAACACTATGTTTGAACAAGACACATAATTTGGTGAAAAATGTGAAAATGTACAACTTTCAGTTCAATAATTTTTTTGCAAAGTTTTAGAAATATATGAAGTTTTGTTACTGTACAGTTTCTGGGAAACATTTGTTAAATTCTATATTTACATTTTACACAATTAGAATTTCCTAATTAGACATTAGATTGAAAGAAGTATTGAAAAATTGCAATGCACTGTGTGTCTGAGGATGAGAGAGAGAGAGAGAGAGAGAGAAAGATAAGAAAATTTGTTTGTGGTATGTACTTTAAATAGAAGTGTCATTTTATTCCCTTTTAATAAGTAGACATCATGATGATTAATTTAATCACACACACAAAACAATTTGAAGAAATAAATTTACTCTTGAGATCATCAATTATTTAAAACAAGGATACCCCTATCCCAAACAAAAATTAAAATTGTTATAAACATGATGAACTTTAATTTGCATAATATTGGCAGTGTCGTGTGGGTATTCCGTTGTCATATTACATTGGGGGGGGGGGGGGGATTCAGTGTACTTGAGGTATAATACTTTGTTGTTTCATCTAAATTATTTTCATGAATCTTCTTTTAACCGGTAAACTTTACAATATTTTAAAATCAGCAGCTATGCTTTGTTGTTTTCTACTTTCGTTTTTAAAAAACGATCAATATGGATTAATTCCGATTTTGTTGTTAGTTTATCATATTACTGTATTCAATTTTTGTTTTTAATAAAATGATATTTAATTATACCCTAAATCTATGTGTATCACTATATGCATACCCCTTCTGATTGAAAAGTTTAATCCTCTAACTGCTCCAGGCTATGTTACCTGTGTGCGTTCAAGCGAGAAGTGATTTCCTGTGGCAAATTAACACCTCTACATGCGTTAAATAAACAAAGAGACTAATCTGTGTGCATTGAATAAACAAGTCTGATATTCTAATCCCGATTGACAAAATATTGCGGTAGGGAAACTCAGAAAATCGGAAATTTTAGGTTGAATTTTTTCAAATCGGGATTTTTGGGCAATTTTGCTTTCCCGATCGGGAGAGCGGGATCAAAGGGTAAAATCGGGAGGATCCCGCCTAAATCGGGAAAGTTGGCATGTATGACTGGTTGTGGTCATGGCTGATGTTTAAAAATTTTTTATACCATGTCAGGAGTGCAACAGAAAAAATGTAGTGTTGCCAAAAAAACATCAATTGTAAAATTCAGATAGAAAATTAAGACAAAAAAGAATTTTGGAAGTGTAAAATAATAACTTATATACATTTTAAAACTTAAAAATGTTATATAAATCACAAGCAGCATTAATGAGAGTCAATTATATGTGCATACCCAAAAATGTCAGGAGTGCAACATTTGATGTTTTGCTCCCAAGCATGAAAAAACTGTTATCATTATATGATGATCTGATTTTTATTTTGGAAAATAAAGACACAAAGAACATTTTTACCAAATAGATTTATCAATTACAGGATCTGTCTGTGCTTCAGATCCATATTTCTATGGTCAGGAGTGCAACACATTTTTTTAAAGATTCAAGTTGTGTGACGAAAAGACTTCTATTCATGCTTAGAAGTATTCATTAATTAATAATGATCTTTTTGTATAAATTTTAATGCTAAATTATTGACAGTTTTATTATTAAAATCCTTCTTTTTTCAATTTTGTCAATTCAGATGTGTTTTTTTCTTTTTTGTGATTTTTTTAATGAACGTAAAAAATAAACACACTAAAACATTGTTATAAAATTCAAGTAATTCCTCCTCAACTTCACTGAAACAACAGAACAAGTTCTTATGTAATTTTCACTTCACAATTCTACTTTAAAGGCCCCAATGCTTTTGGTCAGGAGTGCAACAAATATGTTAGAATTATAAATCATCCGATAAGAATAAAAATAAAGAAAAAATGATGAGTAGAATTTTTCTGGTCGGTTACTGTGTTTGTCTTCTAAAGGAAAATATGCTTTAAAATATATTTTATCTTCTAAATATACATTTAAGCTAGTTTTTTGGCATAAAATAGGGTATAATTCCAGATAAAATGCGAATTTTAAATACCTTCATCTGTTTTAATTATGAAGTATTGGACTATAAATATTGCACAATTTCATTACCACTTGATGTTGCCCACACTTTATGAATTTTTGTGTTCTATGGTTTTTATTTTAAACTTTACTGCAGTCAGGAGTGCAACAAAACTGCTTTATAATTACCGATGCTTCTTAACTATCTTTACTAAAAAATAAGTTGAAAAAAAATGCTTGATACTATTTGATGTTCAAAACACTATGTCTATCAACAAATTACAGAAATTTTACAGTCAATTCAGGGAATAGTTTTCATCATTTCACATATATTTTAAATACAATTTATATATATTACAGTTTGCAAATAATCATGTTTTAAGGTCTTCAAAATATGAAAAACCTCCTGTAAACAATGAAAAATATCAACATGACAAATTGATTTACAAAGTAAGAATGGGTTATTGTGTGTTATAATTTTTAAAACAATGTTAAATAAAATACATATCAGATGTCAGGAGTGCAACACAATAATGTAACATAGGGTCACTTCAAAATCTAGTATTTTTCGTAAGAGAACTCATATATAACAATTCTTTTTTGGCTTAGATTTAAAGAATTGACTTGAACTGACAAAAAAGTGAATTTTGAGGAATTTTATTGATTCATATTTTTTTCTTATTAAAACTTTTCAAACCACAAAAAAAAAAATGTAAAATAACAATCAAAAAGCCTTTTTTTTGTCATATGTACAAGAGAAGATACTCATTCAAGGTCTAGATTTAATCATTTATACCCCTTTTACCATTTTGAAGCATAAAAAACTATAATTTCTTGTGATTATGTATTTTAGGGTCTTTTAAGGTGTAATGATATTTTCTTTTTTCAAAAGAAATTTTACTAATAAAAATTCTGAAACTTTTTAATCCAATTGTCTATTCTATTGCCACTTTTAAACTAGAATGCATTTGCAATATGATGATATAAGTGAAAAATATGTTATGAGTAGTTGAATTTTGCCAAAAAAATTCAGTTTGGTGGTCATTTTTTTTGAATTCACCCATTTGTAACTTTGACTAGTTTGTATAAAATGATAAATTTATATATCTTATTAAATGTACCCTGGCTATGTACAATGTACCAGTATTAAAAATTTAGGTTTAATTGAATAAATTGAACTGGAAGGGAATCTCACCATTGTCACTACATATACTTCAGTGTTTTCAAGTGCTTGTGTGAATTGAGTAGCCTGAATTAGTCACTACTTTTGACATTCACTTTCAGTAATTTTTCTATAGCTTTCTGTCATGATTTTAATGTACAAGCACTTTTACTATGTAAATGGTCTTGATACACATTCTTTTTACTGGATTCATAAACTGTTGAGTATATATACCTGTAGAGTGTCTGCCCTGTTAATTGCTGTGGCGTATACTTTTAGTAACACCTCCTTTTCTCTCAGTTGTGGAATTGGTACTGAAGCAATCCCAAGTTTCTCTGGACCTCCGGGTTCAAAGGTTACTGCCCTCATCATTCCTGACATCTGTAAAAGTCCATGTGACAATGTTTAACAAGGGCACCACAAAGCGAGGCATCCCCTCGATAGAAAACTAACAAATGACATTGATACCTATGTAAATTATTACCAATATAATCCAGTTACTCACATGTGTGTTACTATATCCCCTCCAAAGGAGTATTCTACTTAAGTATAGTAGTGTGGTCCCTTTTTACAGCCTTGGTTTACCGGTTAAATATTAGCATACGGTATTTTGATTGTTTTCATTGTGTATAACGAAGTATTTCTAATTAAAACATTGTGTATTTATAATGAATAATTAAACACATAAAAAAATACAAGCCTGCTTTTAACACCTATCGCACTAAAAAATGCCGGAACATTTTTCCCCGATCAAACTACGGTTTCTCTATTACATGGAAATGGGCAGAGACATTTAGATTAGATACTATAAAAAGAAGATCTTGGTATGATGTTTTTCTTTCAAAGACAAATTATATGTTCAAGATTCACAATCAACTACAAATACAATTTTCTATTTACAAAACTATGGCAATAAAAGCTATAACAAGGTGAACCAAACAAGTCCATGCTGATCGATATAAAATTGAGTATGTTTCAACTGAGAACTAGCACGTTTACTGGGGGCATTTACCCATAACAATACAAATCCACGTGGCTTGCTTTGATTCTAAACAGGTCATAAAGAGGTTAATTGCATGTAAATGAAGTCAGCGAAGAGATTCAAAATCTTGATACTTTTAATTAGAAAACATAGAGCACAGGGTGGTTCAACAAAGATATTTTCACTTAACATCTACACATATAATATACACATTATATTTCAAACTCGACTCTGAACAAACCTGTGCTTGGTGTTTACGAAAGCTTTGAAGTGTGTACCTTTCACTGATTTCTTTTGATATTCATGAAAATCAAAGGACCCTACCTTCAACACGCAGCTTCGTATGCTGCATATATCTATTATTTGACATTTTTAGATGATGATTCGAATAATACAGACAATAGTTAATAATAAAATTTAATTTTTAAAAAATTTAATAAATGTTCAAAATTTGACGAGTAACCGGGGACCAAGATAAGTCTTATTGAGACTTGTTCTTTGTTAGGAGACTAGAATAATAAACAAGACTGAACAAATATTTATTCTGTGTGTGCAAAATTAAGGTCATTCAGCTTACTGTTTGAAAGTTAGCTCAGATGGTACATTAAGAGAATTTTGAGAGCAATGGCAGTTTCTTACTCATCTGCTCTGTTAAACTTTAGATGAACATTTCTTTACAAATAACTAAATCAAGAGATTGTAGTGGACCTGTTCTGTAATCTGTTACACCAGAGATGTACACAGTGGTACATAGATACTCAAATAACAAGGATAAAGATGGAAATGAACGATCAACGAAAAAAAAATTATCAGATAAAAAAACGTCTCTATGTTATACACGGTCAACTTCGGGTACAAGATTTAGAACGTAAACAGGTAAACATTAGGTATTTATTATTATTTTATTACGTGCACACTTTTATCATATTATTTGTATGTAAGCTGTAATTAGTTATCATGAACAATGAATATATTGTCTTTAATGTTATTAATTACCTACCGTAGACGCACACCGGATAAACGTTGCTGTAAAACACAACAAAGTTTGAGCAGAGTGAAACATATCACAATGCAAGGGAGATTACTCTACTTTCAGTTTTGCAAAATGTGGCGGGAAATTTCAAAAGCAGTTAACACACTAAGTTTGTAGCATTTATTGACCTTGTTTATACGTCAATTTATTTACTGTATAACTCATCATGTCATAATACAGAATATCAGCAATTGTAATAAACACTTTTTAAAATTGATATTATCAAGGGTAAACATTTTGTCATTATTCAAATACACAAAGTATTCTAAGGAAAATAATTATTTTTGCCCACACCAGTACACCAAAAAAATTACTGCATTAAAACAAGATCATCGGTCACAAGAACAGTGGAGAACAGTCAAAGCGACCAAGAGATTCTTAATTATGCCAAGAGAAGATAAATATTCTAAATGATAAAGTTTCTGTCAGGTTTTGAACTCTGTTTTCTGTAGAAGGTTATTCACTCCACAAGTCAATGATAAAATCTGAAGTAGGAAATTTTCTTTTGTGTCCTCTACAGTTTGATTGTCAGACCTGAAATGGGATGAATACAAGCAGAAAATTTTAATTTAGAGTAGAAATAATCAAATTAAAAATATCAAGTAAAAGTTATAAAATCTCAGTAATGCTTTTTTATAGAAAATTACATTTATTCTTTAAGAATAATGTTAAATGTAGTATATTTACATTGTATTATGCTGTTCTTGACTATCTGGAAAACCTGAAATATCAAACTTTTTTTATCAACATGTAAATCATTGTTTTATATATACTTGTGCTAGTATCAATAAAATATGAAAAAAGAGATTTATTTATAGAATATCAAACAGCACAATCAAAATGAAGTGGCAGACCCAAAAGGGGGGGGGGGGCAACTACCAATTTTCCTGGAAAGAAAATGGGTACACAAAAAGAAAATATATTAATTTTTTTCACTTTTCACCATGTAATTATAAAAATTTTAAATGATATTTATAAAGAGTACAAACTGTGAGCAGTAAAGTTATTGTGTGGATATGATGAGTCAGGTGTCCAATAGAAATCGGAGAATTCGATATCATCAAGGGGTGGTAATGCATCCATCTCCTCGAGATTGCATGCTGTGCTGGAAGGTGGCGGTAACTCCCTCCCATGTTCATCTGCCATGAGGCAAGGGAGAGAACTTGTATCAGTGAGAGGATCTCCACTGGAACTCTAATAAAAGCATTATACCAATGTGATATTTTTTAAATATAAAATAGCCCAGAAAGTATATATAAATATTTACAGGTAAACTTTTTATCTCAGGTTTTGCAATAAATTGCAAATGCATTACTGGTAAGATAAATCCAGCACATTATAAATATCAAAGTCACCCAAACCTGATATGACTTGGATGCAAAGTTGATAATGTGCCTCAAGTGATCTTGTTGTTCACTCAAAATACTCTGCATTGAAGACTTGATATGATGAATCACTTGGTGATACTGTCCTTGGAAATATTTCCCTAAGGTACATGGCAAAATACATCTATTATTTCTTACAGATCTTAGTCAAATTCTAGTCTTAGATATACCCAAAGTTCAAATTATTTCACTTGGCACAGAGATAAAAAATAATAAATACTGGCATACCCATAAAAAAATCTGATGTATGGTAATATTACCCATTTACTTTGAAATAAACTTTTTACTTGTCATATCCGTAAGCTTTAAAAACTCTGTGGAGTGATTTTTTTCAAAATCTTGAAGCAACCTTAGCAAGGAAAATAAATAATTTAAACAAGTCCAATTTCAATGCACAAATTAGGTTTATTTCTCAGAATGTTAAATAAATCTTACCAAACTGTTGCACTACATCTTCCATTTTCTCTGCTCCTTGCACAACACCATCATACTCAACATCTGAACAATCTGACTGATAGGACTGACAATTTAAAAAGAAGAGCAAATCCAGTAAACTTTTAACATACAAAATTATAAATACAAATAATCATAATAATATCTAGATTTGTCAAAAGTAAATAGATATTTTTGATGTAACTATATCAATTAACATAATTTGTTCATTTAATTCCACCAAGAAAGGATGCAAATTCCAAATGCAATTTCAAAACAAATCCACTTTCCAGTGGTTACCTGAACACATCAATTAACTTGCTGTTGATCTATGATCAAAATACTGCTAATGTGATCACAAACCTCTGTGCCCTGCTCCACATTGTGAGAGCTGCTACAAGTACTGTGGGAGCAGTACCCTAGATCAGGGTCCCACTCCACCCCACTCCAACCTGTCCTGTCTCCTGCTTCATCTGTTTTCTGTAATGGTCCAGGATCCTTGCAAGTAATTATGCTCTTTGGGTCACCAACTTTCTAAAATTTATTATCAAAAATCAATAAATTTTAAAAGTATTTAAGGGTTAATGATTGTGAATACTTGCTTTGCTATAGATCAGAATGTTTTTAATGAAAATACGGGTTTAGCATTACAAAAACTACATGTACAAATCAATTTTTGTGTTTGATGTTCCAGAATTTCAAAAACTGGCTTCAATATAATTCCTTGTACATATTGAAGTAATGGCTGACAAAAGACACTGGGAACCAATATATATGACCTTCCAATGTAACATCCTCATATCATGTATTATGAATACGCTGATTCATGTTAAAATTTCAAAAGAAGGAATCCACTAATTTCAAACAGTTTCACCACAAAACAATTATAAATAAATCTCATTATAAGTAAACAGTTGTATGTTGTAAATAATTAATTCCTGTGTATGACTTTATTACCACAGATAATGACTAGGGATCTACTTCAATAACAATTATATAATTTTGCTGCATTAAAAGTGAAAAATGATATTTATTTGATAAATATGCATACTTCTAATTCCTTTATATTCTGATTATTTGGATGAAACAGAGCGTCCACTTCAGACTTGTTCACAAAAGAATGATAAGGTGAAAATCTTTTTCTTGGAGAAGGTAGACAGACATCCGCACAAATATTAACATTGGAGAGTCCGTGGCTAAATAAAAGTGTACAAATATTTAAATTGATAAAATAATCCGTGGCTAAATTAAAGTATACAAATATTTAATTGATAAAATAATCATTGATACACATTGAATGAAAATATTATTTGACTTTCAAACACTTGAAAAACCTTTTGTCACCAAACTTGTCCATCGCTCGGCTAGGAGGATACTTTTAGGCTCTGAAATGATGATATCCACAAGAAAAATTTAAACAGTGTCATTTTTGGAACATGCGATATTAATTTTCTTGTAATTTTAATGTTAAGTAGAATTATTGTCAAATGTTAGTGTCGTCTGTAAAGGACTCAAAAATTGATGCATTGACAACTTTTCCAGGTCAGGGTATTTTTCAGGCACTGTTAGACAAGCTACTTAATCCGTTGCTCTCAAACGTTTTAACGATCAGAAAAAGTAAAAGTCTTTGAGCCCGATGAAAAAACATTTACAAATTTATATTCAAGTATTCGGCATGTTGACCCAGAATTAATAAAAGTTTTTACTCTTTGAAAAAATTATCTCAGGGTTTCATTTCTTTGATAGCTGATGAATGTATATTTACAAATTCAAATTTGATCGGACTCGACATTCCTCATCCTTGTAGGTCTAGAGACGGTCATTGACATGAATTTTTATCCTGTTTCATCTGATTTAAAATGTAATAGAAAATGGGTTTACGTACAAAAAGAAGACTTTTAGCTTACGTAGCTGATCCAAAGGATCCAATGAGCTTTTCTGATCAAAGCCTGAAAGGGTGTCCATCTATCGTGTGTCGTCTGTAAACTTTTCACATTTTCGATATCTTCTCCATAAAGCATCCTAGGGCGAAGGGGATTCAAGTTTGTTGAAATAAGGGACCACGCATATCCTTCTGGAAGGAAAGATATGATTTCTTAACGGCCATCATTAACATTTTTAAGCGCTAAACGCAGCGCAAAGCGCTTACTGTCATCTTAATACTACTTCCGTTCGCGATCCAGCGCCACTTAGCAAGTAAGATAACTCCACCGAGTCTTCTAAAAATATGCAACTGGAAATCCTCAACTTCGCTTTCGGCTATTTTAGAGTAATAGTGTGTTACGCACAGGTCTAATAATAGGTGTCAATTAGTGAGGTAGATAGTATACATATTGTACGAAAATCTGCTGCTAGTGGATAAAGGCGGTTCTTATCTCTATACACTGTAGTTCATTAAAAAATCATGTCGGCACTGTGTAACATGTAGCTAACAATTGCTGCAGTGATAATACATGTATCGAAGAAGTATTAAAAAAAAACCATCAGTGGTGCAAATACCTTAAAAACGGTTTATTATATGTCATGTATATAGTGATTGTTTAAAACTCATATGGGATTTAAATAAGTATTTAAAACTCAAACTAGAAATAAGTTATTTAATAGAAAATTTCGCATAAAATTGATATGCAATGTTCTTATGATCTATATAATTTATATCCATATTAACTAACTTTTTTTTTCTTCTAGACCCTTATTTCAGACAATGTAACTAAAAACAAGTCTTTCTTTTATCAACCTTGCACCATGCAGAGAACTATCATTGATGTTGATTTTCGCATCTCAGTATCAATTAGTAACAGACTTGAATGCATTCATGGACTGTCTATATTCGTGTAATCTAAACTTGTTTCGCAAGGAAAGTCAGTTTGCGGCTGTATGTACATGTACATTGTAGGACACATAGTGGCTGAATCCACTTAGAGAGGAAAACTAATTTCTCGGAAATATTGATAACAAATATGGTGCTTTTGTGTGCTGTGCGCAAGATATGGGGTAAATACAAAACCTTACTTAAACGTTCTCAGTAATGGGACAGGTGTGTGTGCGTTGCCGATTTGTCTGCTTAGCAACTTTATGAGCACTAAATAAAAACAGAATGAAACAATGTTTTATATCTTCATGAAAATCAGAAAATAGGGTTTCATATTTGTTCATACTTGAGATTAATATACTATCTTTTCTTTTTTGGGTTGTGGAATTATTTATCATGGAACTAGCACAAAAATTACTGGTCAATTATTTTCAGGATTTCTTTTCAAGGAACACACCAGTGCTGTGGATATTTTATTTTATTCCTATCAGCATGTTTTGAGTGGTAGTTGATATCATACCTAAACAAGTTAAGATTAAGCTAAAGCATCAAATGTCCGTAAAAAAAATTACCGATTCATTTTAAAGTATTTTGACAAGAAAGAGTTAAAAAAAATACTCGAGTTTTCAATGACATATTTTTATTCCGAAGAAAAAAGTATAAATTATTTAAATTTTTATTTAAAAATGTGATATTTACAAATCAGCTACACATATTGTGAGATCAACAGAAAAGACTAATTTTCGACGCAAATACATAATAAATCATGTATATGAAAGTCAAAGATTAAAGAATAGCACTGAATGTTTTTTCATCAAACGAAGAAGACAAATATAATATACTCAAATTGTATATATACCTATTATCTCTGACAAAACTACGAAAAATCTTCAGGTGCTAATTTCCTAGATTTTGTCACTTGTTGATGCCGATATGTTGCACAGCGCCATGAATGTGAAGTGTTAAAAATGTGTAATGTACAGCTGTAGCATATTCAAAACAAAATGTAATAGTCTAAGTCTTATTTATCATTAATTAATACCGGCGATTGTGTAAATATCTTACACACTCCATTGAATGTACTTCTTGTAAAATCCTTTCTATGAAATCGTAAATTTATAAATCGCTTATGAATATGAGAACAAATTGAGATATGATAAAAAAAACAATTCAGACAGAATATTTGGTTATTTTAAAGATCTTTTATTCATAACTTTAATGAATGTTATCAATAAGAATTTTTTTCTTATCGATATACAGTATTGTATGCAATAAGAAATAACATCTACATTTTCTAACAAATAAAATGACAGTCGCCAACCATAGGCGCTTGGTTTCAGTTCAAATCGGCAAAAGATTGAAGGGCGTTATTCAATCATTTTTGAAGCTAGATTTCATCCGACAACGGTAGGAAAAGTGTAGATATTGATTAAAATCAAGTGTGAACCGAGACACCCCCTGAAATCCAAGATGGCAACTGTCGTACCTTGGTTCTTTTTATATACAGTAGATATGATATTTTTGAAACGTGCTGATTTCAGCGATTTTTATTTTAATGAGTGTATTCAGACACACCTAGAAAAACACATATTACACAAAATACACCATCCATGCACCTGAAACCAAACGCCTATGTCACCAACAGCCAATCTTCATTTTGAAACACTCGTGAACACGAAATGAATTTATTATTAAAAATTATCACAGTGCTGTTAAAGAAAATGTGATGTTAAAGAAAAAGAAAACTAGAAGCGAGTGCTGCTCATAACGGCAAACTAGCTCTGAAAGGAACGCCGAGACGAAGAGCAAAATTCGGACTGTGCACATTGCTCCAAATGAACTTTTTTCTATAATAACTTCCGGAATTGCAATTTAACACAAATAGTCAGTTTTTCCATAACTGTAGTATTACTCTTTCTTGCCATAAATAAATTAAACTTCAAAAACAAACAAAAAAGTAACAGAGTTGCTTTAATCGAATTTGCTGAGAGATAGTAAATTTGACGCTCAGGCAAAAAACGGTGTGAATTTTATCTTGACTTTTTAAATATATATTCATTTTTTGGCAAATTCTGTTGAGTGAACATGTAAAATTTGTTCCAAAAATATCAATTTGTTCTATTTCCACTATTGAAGAGTTATACTTCTTAGTGCGCTCTTTTGTGAAAAAGTCGGAAAATGTGTAAATCTCGCGGGATTTCTGGGACAAACGTTTACATAAACATGTAAACAATATGTTGAATGTCGATGAACAAATCCTAACAAAATGTAGATGAAAAATTTTATTGTTGTGGACTTTATATACATTAAGAGTAGAAATGACAATGATATCAATTTATATCTATTGTTGATTGTATGTATCTATTTATCGAATGGTACATTTAAATACAATACACATGCCTCGGAAATGTATTTTTTATTAATGGGTGATAAATTTAGGGTTCTCCCTCTCTTACATATGTCTTTTAGTTCGTCTATTCTTTAAATGGAATGAAAAATACATTTAACATTTAAAATTGGATTGAGGCTGGCATGTTTTGTATTATCCGCAACGAAATGCTGTCCCAGTCAGACGACCAAACGCGCCTCTAATTTTGAAGAGTTCACTAATGGAAATCAAACATATTGACACCTGCATTTTAAATTCCTAGCGTATGATAATGGGGAAAATGCTCCGAGTAAAAATATGTAGGGCTAACATTCCACGATATTAGATTATGTAGATTTGTAGAACTTTCTATTAAATATCTTTCCACCACAAGAAACAGTCCCCCATAAATCTTGTTCTTTATGATTTTATGGCCAGTTTTTAAATTGAATGTTTTATAATTTGTATAATTCAAATATGTTATAGAAAATAAAATTGTAATAAATAGTTTTGAAGTGAGAGGTTATTACTGAACTTTTCTTAAAAGCTAACAAGTGGCATACCTTAAATAGCAACGTATATACGACGTCATGGGATGTCACAGTCTTGTATCTTCAAATATATCCTCGTGCGGTTTAAGTAGATGTGTATCAAACAACTTTGCTCGCCCCTAGCGTTTGCACTGTCAACATATTACTTATTCCAATACAATAGGCAATTTAAATTCAAAATAATTCTGATGAATGTCAAATTGCAAACATTGCTTAGCGCTTTCCAGTACTTTCAGTACTTTGACTTTTTAATGTTGACAAACACATTTTTAATGGTGGGAAGGAAGGGAGGAATTTTTTTTTAAATATCTAGAACACTTTAATAATCATCATAAAAATCAAGATTTGGAAATAACTTTTCACACTTTCAACTTCTTTTCCAAAACCACTGGGCAAATTTCAACCAAACTTGCCACATAGGATCCTTGGGTAAGGGATTAAGTTAATTTGTTCAGAAGAGGTGCCACACCCTCTTTCAAGGGGAGATAATTAAGAATTTGAGACTTTTAAAAATCTTCTTCATAATAACCACTAGTCCAGAAAAGATGAAATTTAAAGAAAGATTCATTACAAACTGTAGATTCAAATTAGTTCATAAATGACCCCAGGAATTAAGTAGGACCAATCTGATTAAAATCAGATCCTTTGATCCACTCACATAGATCGCTACACAAGGATCTGAAGAAACCCCATTCAGGGTCATCTCCCGGTGACCTTTCAATTATCCAATCAAACGTTTGCTTGCAAGAATTTAGAAGTATCTCGGAATTCAGTTACAGAAGTGAAAGTCCCGATGATACACGAACAGAAAATTGTGACCAGGTTTCCGTAGCCTGTCAAAAGAACGACCATAGTCTTTTCTGTACAGAAATATATTTAGTACTTGCTTTTGTCTTGTTTTTTAGCTCTTTGTTTTGTTCGAAACGGTAAGATCTTCTCCACAGCTACTTTCACTTCTACATTCATTTTCCCGAATGTCGCTTACGTACGATCTCTCTGATTGGACAAAATTTTAATGAATATTTTTATTAGAAAGGTCACCAGGAGATGACCCTGAATAGGGTTTCTTCAGATCCTTGTGTAGCGATCTATGTGAGCGGATCAAAGGATCTGATTTTAATCAGATTGTAAGTAGGACCAGACCAATACAGCATTGATTTGAGAGGTTTTCCTGTGCTACAGTATTGATTTGAGATATGTTTTCCTATGTTTACAGCATTGATTTATGGGGTTTTCCTATGTTTACAGTATTGATTTTTCTATGTTTACAGCATTAAATTGGAAGGGTTTTCCTATGTTTACAGCATTGATTTGAGAGATTTTACTTTGTTTACAGTTTTGATTTGAGATGTTCTCCTTTGTTTACAGCATTGATTCGAGACTTCTGCAGTGGGGAGAGTCAGGAAGATGGCAGTTGGTGTGATCTAGTGGACAAAGCTCTACAGTTAGCTGAGAAAATTCTACCTGAAATACAACAGCATCCTGATAAAAGTGTCATGGAACAGGTTTTATATTATTTGTATGTGTAGTAAAGGCATAACATAAAAAAGTCTAAGAATTTCCTATTTTTTATTTTCTTTTATTGTATTTATTGTGTTTGTTGAGCTCATCAAAAGATGCAGATTTATCTATTAATACCAGAATAAAGAATTAAGATGAATAAATTTGTAAAAACAGAAATTAAAAAAAAATTGAGGTGATGGGTAAAAAATCAGGATGGGCTGGGATAAGGTCTAGGATTTTTTTAATTATGGTCTTCAGAAATTACTGCAGTTATCAGATAAAGAATTATAGAAATATAGGAAACTGCTGAGAAAGGCATAATGTGACAGTGCTGTGATATCATATGATAGTCGTATCTTTAGATAGTTTTGTACGTTAATTGGTGCTAGTGACATTGTGAATTATAAGGCTGCAGAAAGAAATATGTTTGTTCATGATTACCTGACCTACCTTAAATTTAATTATGTACAGAAAAATTTAATCAGCAGTCTTGAAAAAATACTATTTAAGAAAAAAAGAGGTGGCCATTAGAAACCCCAGAAGAACCTCAGTGTAACATAAAGGGAAAAATAAAACTGTTTTAATGCCAATTTGTTAGAAATGTCAAGTAAATCAGATGAAAAATTGCGATAAGAGAAAGTGAGTTTCAGTTTCACTTGGAATTGTATTGCAGTTTCAAACGTTTATGTTAAAAAACAAAAATAAAAAAATAAAAAATTACTACCGTCCCTTTTTTATATTTGCATAGTACACAAACATTTTTAATCCCTTTTTGTTTATTTTAGATGGAGACATTAGCTGTTAACCTGTGGAATTTCACTGTGTCTTTGAAGACTGGCAGAAGACTGTCTTTGCTATCCAATGCCAAATGTAAATTTTTGAACTGAAACATTCAGATACATTTCAGTTTTCTAATATATTGTATTACTATCCTAGACTTTGTGAAGTTTCTTGGTAATATGCATATTTGGGATTTTAAGTTATGTATAATACTGTTAATATCAAGGATATAATGTTCACTGGTTCCGACCCTTTTATTCACTCAATTCAACTATGAAATCTCAAACCCTAGGATATACCACATTTTTTATTCAGTCACACCATGTTCTCAATGTCAAAGTTTGCCTGGTAATTTGATTCGTAATTTGCCATTTTTTTTTTTTTTGATAAAGTGCGACACATTTGTCTGAAGATTGTTGAGGCCACAGTGACAACCACTGAAGACCACATGAAAATAAAGAGGAAAATTGCTGTATGTAAATCCTTACTGACTAATAATAAAAAAGCTTCATAGAATAAATTACAGAGTATGTAACTAATGAGATAGATGAATTAGATTGCTATTTAGCTCACCTGAGCTGGAAGCTCAAGTGAGCTTTTCTGATCACCCGTTGTCCGTCGTCCGTCCATCCGTCTGTCCGTCCGTCTGTAAACTTTTCACACTTTCAACTTCTTCTCAAGAACCACTGGGCAAATTTTAACCAAACTTGGTACAAAGTATCCTTGGGGGAAGGGGAGTTTAAATTGTTAAAATAAAGGTCCAAGACCCCTTACAAGGGGAGATAATCAAGAAAAGACAAAAATAGGGTGGGGTCATTAAAAAATCTTCTTCTCAAGAACCACTGGGCCAGAAAAGCTGAAACTTATGTGGAAGCATCCTGGGATAGTGTAGATTATAAATTGTTAAAATCATGACCCCCCGGGGTAGGGCGGGGCCACAATAGGGAATCCAAGTTTTACATTGAAATATATAGGAAAAATCTTTAAAAATCTTCTTTTCAAGAACCACTGAGCCAGAAAAGCTGAAACTTATGTGGAAGCATCCTGGGGTAGTGTAGATTCTAAATTGTTCAAATCATGATCCCCGGGGGTAGGGCGGGGCCACAATAGGGAATACAAGTTTTACATTGAAATATATAGGACAAAATCTTTAAAAATCTTCTTCTCAAGAACCACTAAGCCAGAAAAGCTGAAACTTATGTGGAAGCATCCTGGGGTAGTGTAGATTCTAAATTGTTCAAATCATGACCCCCGGGGTAGGGCAGGGCCACAATAGGAAATACAAGTTTTACATTGAAATATATAGGAAAAATCTTTAAAAATCTTCTTCTCAAGAACCACTGGTCCAGAAAAGCTGAAACTTATGTAGAAGCATCCTGGGATAGTGTAGATTCTAAATTGTTCAAATCATGACCCCCGGGGGTAGGGCTAGGCCACAATAGGAAATCCAAGTTTTACATTGAAATATATAGGAAAAATCTTTAAAAATTTACTTCTCAAGAACCACTGGTCCAGAAAAGCTGAAACTTATGTGGAAGCATCCTGGGGTAGCGTAGTTTCTTAATTGTTCAAATCATGACCCTCGGGGGTAGGGCTAGGCCACAATAGGGAATCCAAGTTTTACATTGAAATATATAGGAAAAATCTTTAAAAATCTTCTTCTCAAGAACCACTGGTCCAGAAAAGCTGAAACTTATGTGGAAGCATCCACAAGTAGTGTACATTCTAAATTGTTCAAATCATGACTCCGGGGATAGGGTGGGGCCACAATAGGGGGAATCCCAAGTTTTACATTGAAATATATAGGAAAAATCTTTAAAAATTTACTTCTCAAGAACCACTGGTCCAGAAAAGCTGAAACTTATGTGGAAGCATCCACAAGTAGTGTACATTCTAAATTGTTCAAATCATGACTCCGGGGATAGGGTGGGGCCACAATAGGGGGAATCCCAAGTTTTACATTGAAATATATAGGAAAAATCTTTAAAAATCTTCTCAAGAACCACTGGACCAGAAAAACTGAAACTTAATGTGGAAGCATCCTGGGGTAGTGTAGATTCTAAATTGTTCAAATCATGGCCCCTGGGGGTAGGGTGGGACCACAATAGGTATTACAAGGGGAGAAGTCTGGTAATGAACAGCATGGCCAAAGTTACTCAGGTGAGCGATGTGGCCCATGGGCCTCTTGTTTTATACCCCACTATTTATACCTCTGGCTCGTATCTTATTCATCATACTTCACTTGTATTGACATTTTGTGCATCTGTTCCACTTTGCATTTAGCTGAGTTTCTGAGAAAAAGTCTCATCAAACTTAAAAAACAAGTCTAGATATTAGTGAGAGCAGTTCATCAGGAACTTAATGGAATTCTTGTTTGATTTTTAACTCTATGACCTTGGCATCACTTCTACCAATATTGGATTTAGATCAATTTCATAGAGGAAAGATATTTATATCAGTTGCATGGAAATACACTGATATATATTTATTGGAGCATTTGGCCGTGTCATAAGTTTGTGACCTTCAGAAATTTATCGAATTCAAGTCATACAGTAATATTTCTAGTCAGCATCATTTCCATAATGAAATCTTCATAACATGTGTCATGTTGTATTATTAACTATGATTATTTTTTGCTCTACTTTAGATTGGCTTAAAAACAGCCAGAGCATGGCTTGGTAAGTTATTAGTGACTATGACAGAACATGATTTGGTAATTAAGTTATCATTGGTGATGACGGAGCAATTGACTTTATAAGTCTTAAGTGAGTATGACAGAGCATGACTTGGAAATTAGGGAGTGTGACAGGGCATGACTTGCAAAGTTTTCAGTGAGTGTGACAGAGTATGACTTGGTAAGTTATCAGTGAGTTTGACAGAGCATGGCTTGTTAAGTTTATGTATGTGGCTTTGACAGAGCATGACATGGTAAGTTATTAGTGGCTGTTACAGAGCATGGGTTGGTAAGTTATTAGTTACTGTGACATAGCATGACTTGTTAATTTATTAGTGACCGGAGCATGACTTGGTAAGTTATCAGTGAGTGTGACAGAGCATGACTTGGTAAGTTATAAGTGGCTGTTACAGAGCATGACTTGGTAAGTTATTAGTGACTGTGATGGAGCATGACTTGTTAAGGTATTAGTGACTATTACAGAGCATGACTTGGTAAGTTATTAGTGACTGTGATGGAGCATGACTTGTTAAGGTATTAGTGACTATTACAGAGCATGACTTGGTAAGTTATTAGTGACTGTGATGGAGCATGACTTGTTAAGGTATTAGTGACTATTACAGAGCATGACTTGGTAAGTTATTAGTGGCTGTGACAGGGAATGACTTGGTAAGTTATTAGTGACTGTGACAGAGCATGACTTGGTACACATGTAAGTTATTAGTGACTGTGACGGAGCATGGGTTCTTAAGTTATTAGTGACTGTGACAGAGCATGGCTTGGTAAGTTATTAGTAACTGTGACAGAGCAGGGCTTGTTAAGTTTATGTATGTGGCTTTGTCAGAGCATGACTTGGTAAGTTATTAGTGGCTTTGACAGAGCATGACATGGAAAGTTATTAGTGACAGTTACAGAGCATGGCTTGGTAAGTCCTTAGTGGCCGTGACAGAGCATGACTTGGTGAGTTATTAATTACTGTTACAGAGCAAGACTTGGTAAGTTATAAGTAGCTGTTACAGAGCATGACTTGGTAAGTTATGAGGGTCTTAGACAAGATGTAAAAGCCATTTGATTTGTTTTATTCTGTGTGTAGTTGATAAGAATATTCGGGTTGATTTTTGTCTATTAATGTGTTTTATATTCAATTTATGCAATTAGTGAAACCATTTCTTTGCAGATACTAGAGAAACTGTGATGGCTACCAAAGTCTTAGACCTAACAGATCAAGTAAGATGTATAATATTGTAAAGCCAGGGAAGGTTTTATTAAGAACCTTGAATTTACCTTATAAAATGTATAAAGAAATAAGTTTTCTTTCTTTTCTTTTAAATGATAAAAAATATCCTAGAAGTAAATTACAGAGGAACTTTTTTGCAAATATATATAGATTGCATCAGGAATATGCACACTGACACAATATTTACAGTTTGTGAAGAAGCTGCAGAAGCTGATAGTAGATGACATCAATAAGTCTGGGTTATCTAACGTGACAGAAAAACAAAAAACTGATGTGGAAGAAGACCTATTCAAACTGCTATGTTACAAGGCTGAAGCGGTAAGCCATTACAACAGGTGCTTGTTCCTAGCTGAGTTTAAATATTTAATGTAAGAAATTATATAAAGTTAAATTATTGGTGGAGCTTTATCATAGAATTTAATTTTAGGACAGTTAGGGATATCTAGAGGGAAACATGTTCATTACAGTTTTCTATAATTAATGACCAATCATCATGGTATTGATATGACATCTTTTTTTCTCTGCAGAGTTTGGAACAAGGTGATAATTCTACTGCCATGGAGCTCATACAAATAGCAAAAGAAATGTTGATCAAATTCCCACATGAGGTCTGAGACTTTGTCAATTTACATATTTATTTTTTAAAAAAACATCATCAGAGTCCTATTTGTTTTTTTTAAATAGGAGTATTTTTTTTTGTAAAGTTTACTCATCTCATAACACGAGCCTTTTACAAGTTTTGGATGACAATGATAGGGAGCATTTTTGTCCATGCTGAGCTACAATTTTGGAGTGGAACTCTACCAGAAGAAGCAATTTGAGGAAGCTGTGATTTGGTTAAGGGAAAGTTTTGAAATGGGAAAAAACCAAACAAACTTGGAGGCCAAAAATCAGGTGAGGTTACAGTCTGATAAATCATGGTATTAGAATGTTGCCTTTGTTGGCATGTTAATTAAGCAATACAGAAATGACTCAATCTAGGGGCTTACTTGTGTTTGTTACTTCAATGATGTTATAAATAATTAACTTAAAACATCATTGCACTTGAATATTACAACTAAAAGTCAGTCTTAGAAATGTAAGAAAACATTTTTAAACTGCTTCATAATATTTTCAATTCAATGGATCAATTTTTTTTTTACATTCATCTTCTTGAAAACAATGCATGATTTTGTTACAAACATAATTCTCTGAGCATTCTAGCTTTAAATCTAGATATGGTATTCCAGTATTTGTAATGGCTGTGTTAATGATCAGCTGCTTTCATTGCTCTTTTTTATGTAACATGAAGTTAAAGTGTCAGTTTCCTGGACATTTGTAGGCCAGAACCCTGAGACTATTAGCCTGTGTTTACATGGAGATGAATCAGGAAGACCATATTCAGAAAGCACTGAATGCTGTTACTCTGGCTAATAATGTGAGTGATAGAATAGAGAGAAACACAAAATTAAATTCAAATATTTGCTAGAAATCAAGGTCACTGACTTACTATAAATTCTTGTTTGTTTTTTATAGGAACACCCCCATCCTTCTGGTCTGTTTTTGTACCTCCGCATTTTGTTAAAAACCAGTGAACCAAAATCTGTCATCTGCAAAGGTTAGCTAAAAAATTTTGAAAAAGATTCATTAATATGAGTGTTTCAATTCCAGCAAAGACATTTTTAAACACTTTTGTATCAATCATACTGAAAAGTAATGGTATCTCCTTAAGAAAGAGAGGAAAAGAAAATAATGTAGTTTTAATGCTGTTGTGTTCTGTATCAGCTGTGTCGGACATCATGCAGCAGCCTGGGGCGTCACTGGAAGTTGGCATCAACACAGCACTGCTATTATCAAGAAATGAAAGGCGAGTCATAACAGTTTACTTATGCTTGTGAATTTTGCTCACTGATTGTTAGTTGCAGTTAAGGTGATCTATTTGGATGCCTGTCATAAACCACTCTGTAGAGAATCAAATAAATTTTAGACATGATCTCGCTGTTGGGTTAATGAAGGAGCTACTGAAGAAGTTTGAACATACCTCCAACACAGGAGAGCTCCTAATGGCTAACTTTGATATTCTGTTGGCAAGCAAAGACATGCGGTCTCTTAAGGAGTTTGTGGAATACTGCATTGAGGGTATGTATTATCCATGTTGAAAAAAATTAATTAACGGGGGCATCTAAACTGACAAAACAAAGTTCTATATTTTGGCTTTTCACATATGTTTTCATGAAATTAGTCAGTTGTTACAGACTTGGATTAAAATGAGTAGTCCTGCTGTTGACTGTTACAGAAAACAATACTCATGGAGCCCTGGAGCCAGCAGTAAAGAGAAGATTCCATATTGAGTTCTGGGCTCTCGCCTACACAGCAGATCAGGTATTGTGACTGTAGACTGTAGAATATGAAAGGTACAATGTACATGTAGTACATGTGCAAGAAGATTTACAAAGTCAAAATTAGAAGCTTCAGGAATTGGAGAGCAGATTAAATTAAGAGGATTATTTGAATTCAACAAAGCTGTATCTTTCAAGAAAATGTGGTGCATGAAATGATAAATTTTACAAACTTTTATTTGCATTTTAAATGTATTATGAAGTGTAGGAACTTTGCTTGAGTCTCCAGCATATATCTGTACAATTTATAGAAGAAGAATTATTCTGAGGCGTCTCCTGCATATATCTGTACAATTTATAGAAGAAGAATTATTCTGAGGCGTTGGACTGGTACAACTTTTCCCTTAGTCTGTACAATCATGAGGAATCGGGGGACCAGAATCTGGCTCGTCTCCATAGGAACCGCGCAACCTGTTACCTCAATCTAGGTCAGATGAACAAGGTATAGTTATAGTTATATAGGTATATAACAGCTCTACAGTCTATCAGGGGCAATCTTTTCTTGCTAGGTTGAAATAGTCAATTTTATTTATAAAGTATCATTTGGTGTATTAATGAGAGCATACATTGTAAAATAACACGTTTAGTTTAGAACATTTTATTTTTCAGTCCCAAGTTTCTAGACTATTGTGTATGAATATGAATAATTTTTTTTATATAACCAACAGGCCACAGAGGCAGTCAGTGAGGCCAAAAAGTGGGATCCTACATCCATCAACACAATGTTCTTGTTGTTCAAGCTCGCCTTAGCTGCATCTAATGTAGAACAAGGTTTGTTCAAGCTCGCCTTAGCTGCATCTAATGTAGAACAAGGGGTGTTCAAGCTCACCTTAGCTGCATCTAATGTAGAACAAGGGGTGTTCAAGCTTGCAGTAGCTGCATCTACTTTAAAACAAGATTACATTAGATCAAGTAGTAGTGTATTTCAAATTTGCCATAACTAGATCTAAAGTAGAACATGGTGTGTTTAAGCTTGCCTTAGCTGCATCTAATGTAGAATAAGGTGTGTTCAAGCTCATTTCAGTCAGCTGCAAATATTAATGTAGAACAAAGTGTGTTTAAGCTCACCTTAGCTGTATTTAATGTAGAACAAAGTGTGTTCAAGCTCATCATAGCTGTATCTAATGTAGAACAAAGTGTGTTCAAGCTCACCTTAGCTGTATCTAATGTAGAACAAAGTGTGTTTAAGCTCACCATAGCTGTATTTAATGTAGAACAAAGTGTGTTCAAGCTCACCTTATCTGTATCTAATGTAGAACAAAGTGTGTTCAAGCTCACCTTAGCTGTATCTAATGTAGAACAAAGTGTGTTCAAGCTCACCTTAGCTGTATCTAATGTAGAACAAAGTGTGTTCAAGCTCACCTTAGCTGTATTTAATGTAGAACAAAGTGTGTTCAAGCTCATCATAGCTGTATCTAATGTAGAACAAAGTGTGTTCAAGCTCACCTTAGCTGTATCTAATGTAGAACAAAGTGTGTTTAAGCTCACCATAGCTGTATTTAATGTAGAACAAAGTGTGTTCAAGCTCACCTTATCTGTATCTAATGTAGAACAAAGTGTGTTCAAGCTCACCTTAGCTGTATCTAATGTAGAACAAAGTGTGTTCAAGCTCACCTCAGCTGTATCTTATGTAGAACAAAGTTTGTTTAAGCTCACCTTAGCTGTATCTAATGTAGAACAAAGTGTGTTCAAGCTCACCTTAGCTGTATCTAATGTAGAACAAAGTGTGTTCAAGCTCACCTTAGCTTTATCTAATGTAGAACAAAGTGTGTTCAAGCTCACCTTAGCTTTATCTTATGTAGAACATAGTATGTTTAAGCTCACCATAGCTGTATTTAATGTAGAACAAAGTGTGTTCAAGCTCACCTTAGCTGTATGTAATGTAGAACAAAGTGTGTTCAAGCTCACCTTAGCTGTATCTAATGTAGAAGCATACTTTAGCTGTATCTAATGTAGAACAAAGTGTGTTCAAGCCTACCATAGATGTATCTAATGTAGAACAAAGTGTGTTTAAGCTCACCTTAGCTGTATCTATTGTAGAACAAAGTGTGTTTAAGCTCACCTTTGCTGTATTTAATGTAGAACAAAATGTGTTTAAGCTCACCTTTGCTGTATCTAATGTAGAACAAAGTGTGTTCAAGCTCACCATAGCTGTATCTAATGTAGAACAAAGTCAATTTTGATAAAATATTAAAACACATACAGTAATTTGGATGAATACCATCTACCAATGTTTTATTTTTTGTGCACGAAGCTATCTTCAAATTTTGCAATCTTACTTCTTGTTGCTAATCATTTATTTAATTGTTTATTTATATAGAATGTTTCTTTATTCATGAAAATCATCATCAATACTTTTGGGGATGGGTTTCAAACTGATGATTCAAATGTATGAAATATGTCACAAGGAATGGTTATTAGTATTAGTATTATAGACTTTTTATGTGGAAAACTTAATTCATTTTATAACCTTAAAACTATTTGGCTTATACTCAGAAAGCTTATATGGAATTCAAAGGGAGAAAGGAAATGAATTGATCAAGACATTCAAATTAAAATTTTTTGTGAGGTTTGCTCAGATTAACCCTGAGGCCTATGGGCCTCTAGTTTGTAGTGTATTTTTGTCAAGAATGTTTAGTACGATGATAATGCATTGCTACTCTTCAGTTGTACACACTGCTGTAGTGATCCTCACAACAGAAAATATCCTCAGTCAGGATAATTTGATGCTTTCTTTCCTGAATCTTATGCAGCTTTGTTTGTTACAGCCAAAGAAATCCTTCAGAAGATGTGTAGTGAAGTGGTCAAGTTAGAAAACACAGACAAAGAAAAGGAGGCACAGAAACTTATCTGTCAGGCAGCTCACATGGCTTACCAGGTATAAGACTTTGATGTTTTTTTCTTTGGAGGGGTGTGTGTATTTTTCAAAGCACATGGATGTGCTATAAAATATAATTTAATAGCAGTTAAGTTCCTTGCTTCAACAATCTCTTCTTAGATAAAATAAAAAAAATTAGATGACAGAGTATTGAATTCTGCAATTTGACTCCATATACACTGGAAGATATGTATCCCCTATTTAAATTGACAAATGTAAAGCTTTAAAGTTCTTTATATTTAAAAAAATATTTCACAGAGTCACAGGGAATCGACAGCTGGCCTAGCTTTGGAGTGTTTGGCCAATTGTAGCTCTGATCTGGCCCAGACTTTGACTGCTCTTAGGTGTCTCATCCGGCTCAAACTGTCCCAAGTTGACCAGGACAAGAATAACAGGTACAACAGACATTTCTATGTAGTACACAGAAAGTGATCTACTTATCACTTGTAGGATATGTTATTGTAAGTAAAGCAGTTTCAGGCAAATTAAAGTTGCCTCAAAGCATTTTCCTCAGAGTGTCTTCCATAGCTTTGTACAGAATGTACAATGATGTATTGATATAAATTCATTCAAGACGTACAATTTTCAGCATTGAAGATATTGGAATCTTGCGTGACATAAGGATGGGTATTCCTCTTGTGTTTATTTGCATTCACTGTTCAATATTTTGGTTTTACTTCTTAGTAATTTACTGAAACTGACTTTAGACTTTTTTGTTGCAGTTTAATTTTATTAATTTTGTGTCTATGTCTTAGGATTTAATTTTTAATTTGAAGCAGATTGTTCTGCCTCAATGCTGCGTACAAGGGCAGACGTTACCCTTGTCTTGCCAGGTCCAAAGTAAACAACAATAAACAGTTTTTTGTTTATTTATAACAAGACATGAAAGGGTAAAATACTGAAAATAAACAAATAAACAACACATCACAGTATGCTCATAATAATAACATCATAATTGCTTACACATATCTGAATAAACTTGCAATAATTTCTCATATTGACCATTTTACGAAATGATGGCACATGTTCGAATATCCTCACTGGAAATAATGTAAACATTGCAAAACTATTATTCAAAATAATTTTAGCCGCATACAGAGCAGCTAACATACAAATACAATATACAAACTACACAAATAACATTACTTACACCATGGGAACACATACTCAGCTGCAATTAAATGATAAGATGACAGAAGTTGTAAGCAGCCATGCCATGCTGCTGAATGTATACGCAACGTTTCTCTAATGTTAGGCGTGTAAAACAGAGAACCTAAAAATAGAACACAATAATCCGGAAAGTGTCAGAACACAGATCCTTTCTCATGTAACAATGTAGCCCAACTATATATAAAAACATCCATGAGTGATACTTCTGAGTAATCATTCAATGGATGATGTATCAAAAATATATTTTCGTGTGAGTGGTAAGGTCCATTCTGTCGTAACTGAGAGACTTTCTCCAGGACAAAACTTACATCTGAGATGCATACAATCAAGCTTCAGATGCTGCACTGGATGGTCTTTGATTTACATAAGTTTTCACTGAAACAAAAACAGACAAATTGTGATGACTACACATAATAGCATTAATAAATTGATTTCTCAATTTCAATTTCAGCATACAACAAAATTATGCATGAAGAAGACAAGGGAGGTAAACTGTCCCCTAAACTCAGTGAGGAGGCCAGCTGGTTTATGAGAGTGGGTGAGTGGTTTGGTAGAAACAGTGTAGAGAGTTGGTGAGTGGTATTGTAGAAACAGTAAAGAGAGTGGGTGAGTGGTTTGGTAGAAACAGTGTAGAGAGTTGGTGAGTGGTTTGGTAGAAACTGTGAAGAGAGTGGGTGAGTGGTATGGAAGAAACAATGAAGAGAGTGGATGAGTGGTATGGTAGAAACAGTGAAGAGCATGGATGAGTGGTATGGTAGACACAGTGAAGAGAGTGGATGAGTGGTATATGGCAGAAACAGTGAAAAGAGTGGGTGAGTGGTATGGTAGAAAAAGTGAAGAGAGTGGGTGAGTGGTATGGTAGAAACAGTGAAGAGAGTGGGTGAGTGGTTTGGTAGACACAGTGAAGAAAGTGGGTGAGTGGTTTGGTAGAAACAGTGTAGAGAGTTGGTGAATGGTGTGGTAGAAACAGTGAAGAGAGTGGATGAGTAGTATGGTAGAAACAGGGAAGAGAGTGGATGAGTAGTATGGTAGAAACAGGGAAGAGAGTGGGTGAGTGGTATATGGTAGAAACAGTGAAGAGAGTGGATGAGTAGTATGGTAGACACAGTGAAGAGAGTGGGTGAGTAGTATGGTAGAAACATTAAAGAGAGTGGGTGAGTGGTATATGGTAGAAACAGTGAAGAGAGTGGGTGAGTGGTATATGGTAGAAACAGTGAAGAGAGTGGGTGAGTGGTATATGGTAGAAACAGTGAAGAGAGTGGGTGAGTGGTATATGGTAGAAACAGGGAAGAGAGTGGGTGAGTGGTATATGGTAGAAACAGTGAAGTTCCACACAGTGTTCAGTGAAAATACAGTCAAACCTCATTATATTAAACTTAATGGGACTGAGAAATCCAAACGTTCAAGAGATAGTGGTGACTTTCAACTCATTTTGTGACATATTTATATTATTCAAGATATATCAATGTTTGAGATACTGAATGTGCATCTCATTGAAACAGAATGATTTACACGTTGTACAATGAAGCACTCTCTTAGGGATGTCTTGCCAGGCTTGTTTGAGGTGTTGTCACAAAGCCATTTTGTGCTAAGTTACCCTGTTATTTTCTTATTTTGTGCTATTTAATTTGATGAAAAACAGTGACTTCAATTGCCAGTTTTTATCATAAATTTCTCCTCATAACATTTACTGTCACCAGAATAGAGTATTTTTATTGAGTGAGTGATGGTTTGCAAAATCAGACTGTCTGAGGTGTATAACTGTATAGTGAATTAGTAATGTAAGATTCCTGTGTCCCACTTATCTGGTATTATGATTTTTTTTTAAAGCTTGGAATCTGGCCCTTAAGTGTGAAGAGAGACCAGGCTTGATGAAAGATTTATATATTCTCTGTTCTCAAGTGAGTATACTAGCCCTCATCTCGTGCAAAAGAAAATCAAATTATATCCTGTAGGTCACCAAATTTTTGCGACACCTTATTTTCTTGAGAAAGTCATGAGGTTTCTATAAGAGAAACAAAAAATATATATTGATATATACAGCTAAACTTCGAAATCTCGAACACAGATATCTCGAATACCCTGGATAGTCGAAGTAAGGCCGCAGTCCCGACGAAATTTGCTTTATTAATGATTAAAATAAACCCCTCTATGTCGAACACGGTAATGTCGAATACCCCGGTTATCTCGAAGTAAAATTGTGTACCCATTCATTAAAATCACATGCGTTATCTCGAAGTCAGGATAATTTTCCGCTCTGATGATCAAGTCCGTTAGGTAAACTGAATGCTCTATTGATAACAGCCACCCATCTGTCACGCACGGGTTACCTGTGTTCCTGTGATCAACAGATAATAGCGCGATAATTATACAAGGTGTATGTATGGCTTACTTTGATTTTAATTATGCAAGCCAAAGGTTGTGTGTATTAGTCTAATGCATATGCTTGAATGACACGTTAATTGTTTTGTGGCTTGGATACGTTTATCTTGATAATCGCTAATGCTATGTGAAATATGTGCGCATATATAGTTTATGCACATGCAAGTGAAAATTATAAACATCGAAGTGAAACAAAATTCTGTAATTTGATGCAGTTAGAATTTTTAGTTCCCATCTGAGCGTGCAGAATTTACAATCGTCAGTACACGCCATCATGTGAGCGTGTGTCGCAGTGAAAGCTTGTGCTATAGTGTCCTGTGATTCCGTGTTGTTCTGTTGTTAGACAAAAGTGCGTGTTTCTTCTTTTGCATTTGATTTTATTATTGGTAAAATAATTTTCTTTTAACTGATTATACATGTATGAACATGTTTCTCCAATAAAAGAAAATGTATATTTCGTTTTCGTTATTCTGATCGGTTTCAAATTTACAATGCATAGACGATATCCGGTCATGTATACATGGGAAACGATGCTAGCGGTTAACTTGCCGCGTTGGTAGAAGGATTATACTTCTGTGCATATATAATATACAAAGTTTTTATTTTGTGAATTATAAAGAGGATGCAAAAATCTTTTTATTGCTAAATACATGTACATGTATATTTAAGATATTGTGTACAGAATTTCAAACAAGAAGGAATTTTGACATGTTTTTACTATTAAGTACATGTTCACTGCACTAAGTTTATTTGAAGTTCATTTGAATTATAACCCTCGATATGTCGAACCCCCGGATATCTCAAAGTTCATCAACGGTCCCGTCAACTTCGAGATAACTAAGTTTAACTGTATATATATTGTTTTTACAGTATTCAAGTCTCTGTTGTATAAGTGGTGACATATCTTTGTATGTTGATTTTACAGTATTCTAGTCTCTGTTGTATGACTGATGACATATTGTTGTATGTTGATTTTACAGTATTCTAGTTTCTGTTGTATAACTGATGACATATCATTGTATATTAATTTTACAGTATTCAAGTCTCTGTTGTATGACTGATGACATATTGTTGTATATTGATTTTACAGTGTTCAAGTCTCTGTTGTATGAGTGATGTAAAATCATTGTATATTGATTTTACAGTATTCAGGTCTCTGTTGTATCATTGTATGAATTTACAGTATTCTAGTCTCTGTTGTATAACGTATGACATATTGTTGTGAATTGATTTTACAGTATTCACAACTCTGTTAGATGACTGATGATGTATTGTATGATTTTACAGTATTCCAGTCTGTGTTGTATAACTGATGACATATTGTTGTATATTGATTTTACAGTATTCTAGTCTCTGTTATGATGATGAAGAGAACACTTTAACAAGGAAGAAAACGTGTCTATTGATGGCTACTGCTGCCTGTTTACAACAGGCCAGGACTGAGGGACTGCCAAACACACTAAGGGTATATACTGTACATGTACTTTCTTTTTCTTTGTTTGAAGTTAATCGACAAATGATAGAATTACATGGCATCTGCAACAAATTTATAAATCTTACCATCTCAAATTTACCTTAATTTTACCATAGGTTTGTTAGTTACAGTGTAACTAAAATTGAAGTCATTATTGTGATTTCAGAATGTAAATGAATTCACAAAGAGAAACAAACTTATCAATAATCTGCCCATGTAAATAGCAGAGGATTATTGATAATCTGCCCGTGAAAATATCAGAGAATTTTTTTTAAAGATCTTTACTTTCAAACCACCCACCAGTTAATGATATATGTACATTTATGAGCTAGTACATGTATTGAAGATCAGTTATTTACTTTTTACAGCAAAATTATTTGGAGGAATCCATCCACCTCATCCATGAATGTAAATTGGTAAATCAGCAAATCCAGCAGGAAATGGACTTGGACTCATCTATAGGTATTCACCTGAGTTACATATTGATACTGAATACAGAATGCTATGTAGTATATTTGACCTTTGATGACAATAGGTAACTACAGCTTTTAAACATCATTAATGGATTGTCATTACTTAAACCATATGCAGCGATCGGAAAGGTTGAAACTCAGTTGATCTTGGGACATCTTGTGATGTAGATAAAGTTTTACCCCTAACAGGTTAGATTGTTGATAAACTTCTGGATAGTACTAAAATATGCATTTTCCCACTTTTTCAGATGCTAGAAACCAGGATAAAGCAGACACATTGATGTTGATGTATGAATTTGAGGCACGCTGTAAACTGCAGGATCCATCTGTAGAGGAAATTATTGAGGTTTTGCTGAAAATCCCTAATCCAGATCCCAAACCATTTGAAACAGTAGCTGGTGAGTAAAAATCCCTAATCCAAATTCCAAACCATTTGGACTCCTACATCTTTTGTTCTCAGCACCACTGTGTTCACCCCATAAACTTTTAAAGGTGCTTAGACACAGATTTGAAGTTTATATTTTCTCAAATTTTCTGTATAATATCACAACTTATATGTTGCTATAGCATTTCCCACGAAAATAAATTTAAAAACTTATTTATCTGGAAATTATTGAAACTACGAATTTTGGGAGGAGTTTGATTAACACATCCTTGCACTTTCCCAATTTTTAACTCTATCCTTAATATTTAAGAAAAGAAGCAATTTTGTTGTGTATTAATGAATAATATTACATCTATAATCCAGAAAATTCAGAGTAACAATGTGCGAAAGCAAAACCCACTCACTTAAGTATTGTCAGCCCGTGCTCAGTGTTGTGTAGTTGTGTACAGAGTTTAACAAATTGAATACACCCGTGAAATGTAAACTGTTTTTGTAAACAGGGCACGAGCTCTGTTGTTGTTAATGTTTACGTTTCACCGGGTGTGTTCAATTGTTAAACTCTGCACACACCACTGAGCACGGACTGACAAATACTGGTGAGAGGATTTTGCTTTCTACATTTCTACTCTGGAATTTCTGCATTATAGTTTTAATATTTTTCATTAATAAACAACAAAATTGCTACTTTGCTTAAGTACTAAGGATAAAGTTAAAATTTGTGAAAGTGCAAGGATGTGTCTATCAAACGCGTCCAGAAATTCGAAGTTTCAATAACTTCCAGATAAAATAAGATTTTTATCAAATTTTCCTATGAAATGCTATAACAACATATAAGTCATGAAATTATACAGGAAAAATGAGTAAATATTAACTTCAAATCTGTGTCTAAGCACCTTTAAACTTGAAATCTAGGATGAAGATATTTGGTTTATGTGTTTATAATCATGCAACAATTCTTTTTCTATTACAAATCTCACTTGACCTTGAACTTTGACTGCAGAGATTAAATGATCAGACTTTGACAAGGAACCCATCATAGTCAATTTTATTTTTAATTTGATGAGGTTAATGACATGGAGAGTAGGTGTGTCCTCATAAACAATTTGTCATGTACCATTTTGACCCAAGTCTGGTCTTAACCTGTGATCTTAGAGTCAGATCTGTAATACATTTGTACTTGAATTTGATCAATATAAAGCCTGTTTGGACTATAGCTCTTAGAACTATGTTTAACAAACTTAAGACTTATGGTATTAAGATATCATTAACCTGATCCTATAGAAATTTTGTGTCAGTTTGTAAGATGCTAACATGATCAGTGTATGTCACTGTGAACAATAAGTTAATCTGAAGGGAAGACAAACATTGAAATGCACAAAAACAATGTATTTGATTAGATGCTGATCTAAATTGTCTGGAAATTTAGGTATCTCTGAAATTTGCACCACACAAGCAAAGATGTGAATGAAATCTAATTTTATGTCACCAAGTCAAGAACACTTGTCACTGAAATGTGAAACTTTCAAAGATGATAATTATTAATCCTTTCTGTATAGCATTGTTCCCTTTTCTTTTCTTTTTTTCACTGAATATTATTTATCCTCTGCTATTTAGCTCTGTCAATGGAAGCCCAATCCGTTCACAAAAATATAGGAGTTCGAGCCCTGAAGATAGCTATTAGGAAACATCTACAGATGCCAGCAGTGGACTTTGACAGAATCAGGTAGGTAATGTTCATAAGGTACAAGTAACTAGTTGGCACCAGACAATCTTTATTAGGAAAGACAGAATTCATTCTTTTGTATATTCACAGTAAACAAACTGTATCATGGTTTGATACAGTTGGCTCCTTTATAATATTCACAGTAAATATAACATACTGTATCATGGTTGATACAGTCGGCTCTTTTAAAATATCTGAGGTAAACATATTGTATCATGGTTTGATATACTTGACTTCTTTGTAGTGTCCACAGTAAACCTAACATACTATATCATGGTTTTATACAAATGGATCCTTTAAAATATCCACAATAAACATATTGTATCATGGTTTGATACAGTTGGCTCCTTTGTAATATCTGAAGTAAACATAACATACTGTATCATGGTTTGATACAGCTGTCACCTTTGTAATATCCACAGTACACTAAATGTTTGCTTGATACACGGGTTTTTCTCTGTATTTTCTCAGTAAAATGTACTGCAAGTTGATAATGCTTGTTATTTTGTTTATTTACAGTAAACTGCATCAAAGTTTGATGCATGCTTTTGTGACTGTAAACTCTATCACACTTTCATACAGCAGATTATCCACAGTTAATTATATCACAGTGTGATATGTATATTCATTATAATCTAATCAGGGCTTGAAAGAACTTGTTGTTTTATATATTCTCAATTAACTGTATCAGGATTTGATGAAGCTGGTTCTTTTGTAATATTTACAGTAAACTGGAAAGCATTTTAATTGATACAGCTGGCTCTGTTTTGTATTCACAGTAAACTGTATCGTGGTTTGATACAGCTGCACTGTTTTATATTCACAGTAAACTGTATCATGGTTTGATACAGCACGCTCTGTATTATATTCACAGTACTGTATCGTGGTTTGATACAGCTGGCTCTGTTTTATATTCACAGTAAACTGTATCATGGTTTGATACAGCTGCACTGTTTTATATTCACAGTAAACTGTATCGTGGTTTGATACAGCTGGCTCTGTTTTATATTCACAGTAAACTGTATCGTGGTTTGATACAGCACACTCTGTTTTATATCCACAGTAAACTGTATCGTGGTTTGATACAGCACACTCTGTTTTATATTCACAGTAAACTGTATCGTGGTTTGATACAGCACACTCTGTTTTATATCCACAGTAAACTGTATCGTGGTTTGATACAGCACACTCTGTTTTATATTCACAGTAAACTGTATCATGGTTTGATACAGAACACTCTGTTTTATATTTACAGTAAACTGTATCATGGTTTGATACAGCTGGCTCTGTTTTATATTCACAGTAAACTGTATCGTGGTTTGATACAGCACGCTCTGTCCTTTGTCTCAGACAACACCAAACAGGAAGCTCTAACTCACTACAACGAAGTGGTGGACCTCATAGACAAAAAAGCACAGGTTAGGACAAGAGGGAATGTAATGGGGGAAATAGATTTTTGTACCAGTAAGAAGAATATGAATATTTATCTTGGATAAAACTTTAAATATTAAAGTTGAGTTTTCCTCTTTTATCTTTTGTTTCCATAATTGAAATAGTTATTTAAAAGTATTTATCTTAGACTTTAGATTTAAACTTTTAATGTAACACATAATTATAAGAATTACATGTAAAAAGCAGTAAACAATGTAAGACTTACATGTAAACAAGTTATAAACAATTGTAAGACTTACAATAATAATTGTAGACTGATTACCCAGAGATGGAAATCCTGTGGTTGATGACGAAGGCTTGGAATTGTGGGGTGACATTCTTAAGGTAGGTTTCCAGTTGTTGTTAAACATAAATTACCAGATCTCCCTGTTCACTCAGCATTTGTTCCCATTACAAAGATCTGCCATCACTAACTGTTTGATTTTTGGTGTTTAATTCTGAAAGTTAAGCTTTAGGGACTGTATGATAAAAATTTTGTTTTGGTACATGTACAACAAGCCTTAACAGAGTGCAGTTTGACAATTTAAGATCCAGGTCCAGGTGTTTTTTTTTTTTCCATTTTTAGCTCACCTTAGCTTTTCTGATCACACAAGGGAAAATAATCAAGAAAAGACAAAAATAGTGTGGGTTCATTAAAAAATCTTCTTTTCAAGAACCACTGGGTCAGTGTAGTTGAAACTTGTGTGGAAGCTTCCTGAGGTAGTGTAGATTCTAAATTGTTCAAATTATGGCTCCCCGGGGTTAGGGTGGGGCTACAATAGGGAATCAAATTTGTACATTGAAACATATAGGAAAAATCTTTTAAAATCTTTTTAAGTCCTCTCAAGAACCACTGAGCCAAAAAAGTTTAAACTTATGTGGAAGCGTCCTAAGGAATTGTAGATTTTTATTTGTTCATACCGTGGCCCCTGGGGGTAGGGTGGGGCCACAATAGGGAATCAAAGTATTACAAGGGGAAAATCTGATGATAAACAGCAGGGCCAAAGTGACTTAGGTGAGTGTTGTGGCCCATGGGTCTCTTGGTTTTTTTTTTAAATCATGGCCAGCAGCAGCAGGGATTGGCCCACAACAAGAATCTATTATAATATTTGGCTTTCAGGAAAAAAGAGTGTGTGTCAATTGTGACATACAACATCTGCAACATAATTCTTGGAGTGATAGGATATGATATATATGGCACTATATGACATTGAAGTACTGTATTTCCTTTCAGATTCCTTTGGAATAATTTTTAAGTTCATTCAATTTTTTAAAAATGAACATTTCTTAAAAAATATGAAATTCATGTTAAACAGAAACCCAATAATTACTAATAAACGAAAAACATATAGCAGGAGAAATGGAAAAACTGGTATAAATAAATTGCATAATAGGACAGGATTCATACACTATATGATAAGATATACACACACAATAGGATTATCAAGAATAATGTTGTAATGCTAAGATGACTATTAATATGTGCTGTATTTCTGTTACAGTTCTGGGAGGTATGAACTAGCAGAGAAGTGGTGCAACACAGGAATGAAGTTTCTGAAGCATCTCAGTCCTGGTGTACAGTGTAACTACACTGAAACGGTACCTCCTCTATATCTTGTCTTATCAAAATGATCCTCATCTGTGCATCATCTGTTGTTTGTTATCTCTAGAAATTTCTTACCTCTTAATCAGAAACACAGGATTAAATTCAGATATTTTTACATCTGCAAAATATTTCCTAATTTATGAAACACTTTTGTGCAAGGTTTATTATCATTCAATAGATAGATGTAGTTTATCTCTTGACTGCAAATTCAAAGAATTGATGAAAGGTTGGCACATATTCAATTGATTAAATTTAAAGTCGTCTATTAAAATTTAGTAAAACATTTAATAATGAGTTCTAGATTATAACAAAAGGAATATTTGTTAAAAGTCAGTCATACATTGTTGTAAATATTAGTAATATAGTGTCATTTTTAGCTCAACCTGAGCTGTAAACTTAAAGCTCTTCTGATTACTTATCATCTGGCAACTCTCTGTTTGTCTGTCTGTCTGTAAATTTAAGATGCTCAACTTCCTCTCATGAACCACTGTGCCAATTTCAAGCAGACTTGAAACAGAGTGCTCTTGGTTAAAGGGAATTCTAAATTGTTGAAACAAAACCATGTTTCCTTCAAGGACAGCAAGTCTATGATAAGTGATTTTAATATACAATTGTGGTGGTCAGACGGTTTTGATCGCCGGCGGCCAGATTGCTCAGTTGGTAGAGCACCTGACTGGAGATTCAGGGGGCCTGGGTTCAAATCTTGGTCTGGTCCGTCGCATTTTTCTCCTCTCCTGTTACATTTGGTGCTGTGCCATGCCCAGGAAGTGACAGATGAAAGACCTGCCAGGGAAGAGCCTGGGTTGGTGTCGGGGGGGGGGGGGGGGGGGGCAGACCTTTAAGAAGGGAGGAATGTGGCGGTCAGACAGTTTCAATCACTGGCGGCCAGATAGCTCAGTTGGTAGAGCACCTGACTGGAGATTCAGGGGAGCGGGTTCGAATCCTGGACTGATCCGTTGCATTTTCTCCTCTCCCATTACACAGTAAAATATGCTTATAACAAAGTGCCAGGGACATATGATTTTGCTTCATTATAAAAATAATTCATTAGGTTAGATTCACAATATATTTTACAGTCATGGAGAAATGAAAATCGCTCAATGTAACTATCAAATCATTATAAGTGTGTTTGCTATAAGCATGTTTTAAGGTGCAAACATCCTCTGGGTCAGGTAGTGCAGATTCTAAATTGTTCAGATTGTGGGCCCTGGGGACATAGGATGGGGCCACAATAGGGGATCAAAATTTTACATGGAAATATTTCAGGGAAAATCTTAAGAACAGCTGGTCCATATATGCAAGCATCCCTAGGTAGTGCAGATTCAAGTTTGTAAAAATCATAGGCCCCCTCCCCCCAAACAAAGGATAGGGTGGGGCCAAATAAGGGAATAAATTTTACATGGGGGTATTTAGAAAATTCATGTAACATTCTTTTCCAAGACTATCAGGGACAAACTAATTTAAAATCTTAATATGCAAACATTCCCAAGTTACTTATGTTTTTTTTTTAATTATGGACCCAGGGGTTAGTTAGGGCTTAAAGGTGCTTGGACACAGATTTGAAGTTAACATTTTCTCAAATTTTCAGTATAATATCATGACATATGTTTTTATAGCATTTCACATGGAAATAAAATAAAAAACTTACTTTATCTGGAAATTATTGAAACTACAAATTTCAGGACACGTTTTATTGACACATCTATGCACTTTCACAAAGTAAACTTTATCCTTAATACTTAAGAAAAGTAAAAATTTTGTTGTGCATTAATGAAATATACTAAACTATAATCCAGAAAATAAAGGGTAGAAATGTGAGAAAGCAAAACCAACTCACCAGTATTGTCAGTCCATGCTCAGTGATGTGTGCAGAGTTTAACAAATTGAACACACCCGGTGAAACGTAAACATTAACAATAACAGAGCTCGCGCCCTGTTTACAAAAAGTTTACGTTTCACAGGTGTGTTCAATTTGTTAAACTCTGCACACATCACTGAGCACAGCCTGACAATACTGGTGAGTTGGTTTTGCTTTCTCACATTTCTACTCTTTATTTTCTGGATTATAAGTTAATATGTTTCATTAATGCACAACATTTCTACTTTTCTTAAGTATTAAGGATAAAGTTAACTTTGTGAAAGTGCATAGGTGTGTCAATCAAATGCGTCCCGAAATTTCTAGTTTCAATAATTTCCAGATAAAATAAGTTTTTTATTTTATTTCCATGTGAAATGCCAGAAAAAACATATAAGTCATGATATTATACCGAAAAGTTGAGAAAATAATAACTTCAAATCTGTGTCCAAGCACCTTGAAATTGGGGATCAAATTTTGCATAATTCATGTATTCAGGGGACATAATCTTGTTCTCTATAACAGTAAGGCCAGATGAGTTGTAACGATATTGTAGCATCCCCATGTTGTAAAGATTCAATGTCATGACCCCTTAGTGCTGGCGTTGGGCCACAATATGGGCTAATAATTTTTCATGTGAATAAAGAAGGAGAATAAAATCTTTTAGAAATTTTCTGAAGAAGAACTTTGACCCAAGTTACTCAGGTGAGCATTGTGGACCATGAGCCTCTTGTTAAAGAAGATATAGACATGAGTTGATACACGAGCAAATCTATCATAAAGCCCTTGGTGCTTTATGGATAAGATCACATGACCAACCCATATCCATACCTTGATAGATGTATAAAATTGATATTTATTTTTGCAAAGTCATGATTTTCCTAAGGCAAAAATTTTAAGTGTTAACTCTCACTAGTACATGCAATATTTGTTCATGTAACTAATGTACATCACATGCCTAATCAGGTTATGTTTAAATTTGTCTGATGTTTTGTACCATCTTTGATAGAAATATTGCACATTTCCTTAATACATTTATGTTTTTGTTTCTCAGTTTATTATTTTAAGTAAATGATATCAATATCAGGACTCTTTAACATCAATCATTAGCTCTTTGTTACTTTCTTTCATGCACCTCTAAGGGTGTAACCTTTTTGTATCATTCAATTTACTGATGCATCTGCCAACAATTTATGCCCCCATAATCAAGTTTTGCTAAGTCTGCCTGACTGTCTGTTTACAAAACTTTAACCTTGCCCATTATTTTTGATTGGTTGGAGTGGGGGCTTTCATATTTCAAGTGTATTCTTTGTGACAACACCTTTATGTTTGACCTCTTGACCTTGACTTTTCCAAAATTTTACCAAACTTTAACCTTGGACGTAACTTGTTAATGGTTGGTGCTAGGGCTTTCTTACTTCAAATGTTTATAGCTTGAGTTAAAACATTTCCTTGTGTGTTAATATTTTTGATCTTTTGACCTTGGAGCTTAACCTACTTTTGAAAAACTTTAACCTTGGCCATAGTTTTTGAATGGTTGGTGCTAGGGCTTTCATATTTCACATCGGTACTTTATGGATAAGATCACATGACCAACCCATATCCATACCTTGATAGATGTATAAAATTGATATTTATTTTTGCAAAGTCATGATTTTCCTAAGGCAAAAATTTTAAGTGTTAACTCTCACTAGTACATGCAATATTTGTTCATGTAACTAATGTACATCACATGCCTAATCAGGTTATGTTTAAATTTGTCTGATGTTTTGTACCATCTTTGATAGAAATATTGCACATTTCCTTAATACATTTATGTTTTTGTTTCTCAGTTTATTATTTTAAGTAAATGATATCAATATCAGGACTCTTTAACATCAATCATTAGCTCTTTGTTACTTTCTTTCATGCACCTCTAAGGGTGTAACCTTTTTGTATCATTCAATTTACTGATGCATCTGCCAACAATTAATGCCCCCATAATCAAGATTTGCTAAGTCTGACTGATGGTCTTTTTACAAAACTTTAACCTTGCCCATTATTTTTGATTGGTTGGAGTGGGGGCTTTCATATTTCAAGTGTATTCTTTGTGACAACACCTTTATATTTGACCTCTTGATCTTGACTTTTCCAAAATTTTACCAAACTTTAACCTTGGACGTAACTTGTTAATGGTTGGTGCTAGGGCTTTCTTACTTCAAATGTTTATAGCTTGAGTTAAAACATTTCCTTGTGTATTAATATTTTTGATCTTTTGACCTTGGAGCTTAACCTACTTTTGAAAAACTTTAACCTTGGCCATAGTTTTTGAATGGTTGGTGCTAGGGCTTTCATATTTCACATTTGCTTTTCTTGTGACAAGAACTTTCTTTGGGAACCAACAGTATTGACCTTGACGTTAGAGTTTGACCTACTTTTGTAAAACTTTAACTTTAGCCCTTATTTTTGGAATGCTTGGTGTTAGAGCTTTCATATTTCACACTTTTATGACAAGACCTTTTTCTAAGTTTTAATATCTTTGCTCTTGGAGTTAGACCTTCTTTTAAATAATGTTAACCTAGACCATAATTTATGAATGGTTGTTGCAAGGGCTTTCATGTTTCACAGGTATATTCCCTGTTACAAGACCTTTCTTTGGGTATCAACATTTTTATGTCTTGACCTTAACCTGAGAGTTGGACTAGCATTCTAGACCCTTTAACCTTTGCAGTGAGTTGCCATGCGGGGGCATCAGTGTTTCAAAAACACATCTGGTTGATTTCTTGATCAGATGACTACTAGAGATTTACTCTTGCTTCTTTTTTTAGATGACAAATACATATGCTGACATCTTGGAGCAGATAGATAAATCCAGAACAAGACAGATAAATCCAGAACCATAGATATATCCAGAACAAGACAGATAAATCCAGAACCATAGATAAATCCAGAACAAGACAGATAATCCAGAAACATAGATAAATCCAGAACCATAGATAAATCCAGAACAAGATAGATAAATCCAGAACAAGATAGATAAATCCAGAACAAGATAGATAAATCCAGAACCATAGATAAATCCAGAACAAGACAGATAGATCCAGAACCATAGATAAATCCAGAACAAGACAGATAATCCAGAAACATAGATAAATCCAGAACCATAGATAAATCCAGAACAAGACAGATAAATCCAAAACCATAGATTTAGAACCATAGATAAATCCAGAACCATAGATAAATCCAGAACAAGACAGATAAATCCAAAACCATAGATAAAACTAGAACCATAGATAAATCCAGAACCAGACAGATAAATCCAGAACAAGACAGATAAATCCAGAACTATAGATAAATCTGGAACAAGACACAGATAAATCCAGAACAAGACAGATAAATCCAGGGCCACAGATAAATCAAGCAAATAAAAGACCAATAAATCCAGAACCAGACAGATAAATCTAGAACCACAGATAAATCCAAAATGATAGGTAAATCCAGAACCATTGATGAATCCAAAACTACATAGATAACTGTAGATAAATCCAGAACCAAACAGCTTGAGAAGTAAAAATGTCAAAGACTGACAGAAACTTGTGCAGTTTTTCACAAGGTCAAGGACAATAACATTGTGTTTTTTTTGTTTGTTTTTTTAATTATTCTTAGTTGATAATCATGTTCATGATTTTTTATGTTTCACAATAAATTATTAAAATAAAAACTTCTTTACAAAGTTTTTACAAGGTAAAAAAAAAAGTATAACAATTATCATTCATGTAAACAAGTATCACACATTAAACATTACAACAACCATTTATAAACTTGACAAAATATATCTCACAGTTGACATTACAACAAACATAACTGTGACAAAATAGAAGTATTATAATATATATATATAACACAAATTCAAGAGATTAAACTGCATAGAATAGATATGTACCATAAAATGTACCATAAACAACACAAATTATCTCGAAAGATAGACTGTAAGCAGTCTCGAAAATTTGGGTTGCGAAAAGCAATTTTCAAATATTTGTGGAACTTATAATGGTACTTAAAAACAATAAATTAAATAATAATTTTAAAAACATGAGTACTTGAATGTCTGTTGAAATATGTTGTGAAATGATGCAATAAAATCAAAACTTAAGATTGTGAAAAAAATGGTTAAATGTTCCCAATGTAATTAATTTCTTAATAAATAGATTAATTTTACTGAATGTCTTGGTAAATGCACCAGGTGATGTACAGTGGACTTCTGGATAAGAATAGAGAGTGTACAAACCAGTTTCTGACTAGGATCAAAAAGTTGTGCTCAAAAAGGAAGTGAACACATTCCAAATATGGATACAGAATGGGATATCTTTTAAATAAAACACGACTTGGTGAGTTGAGGTTGTGTAACAGAAGATGCCAGTCTAGGAGATCGAGTGTTCATGCTGTAGGCTTCCCAGATCTCATGTAGTTTACCCAGTTTGTACTAAGACATTTAGCCTCCTAGGAAAGAAAGTGGTTAGCATTTAATTAAAGGTTTTTAAAAAAGGCATTGTATTCTGGATTTCTGTAAATAATCAGGAGAAAAATGGCTTACAATGACTTTGGCCTTGGACCTGATTTCATCCATGGTGAGGGGTAAGGGAGCTGGGGGCAAGGTCAAAGCTTTATCTTCCTTTACATCTCCTACACTGAAAGTCTGCCTCCTGAAATGAGAACAGTTATGATGTACATACAGTGACTAAAATAAATACCAAATGATGAAAAACACTCTCTACCATTGGCTCATACATTCACCTCAGTCATTGGCTTGTATATATCACAGTGATAAGCACGAGAAATAGTGTAAATTGTTTTCATTCATTATAATAAAATTCCTGCACTAATGTTTGTCCTTTCAGGTAGATATTTACTAAGTAAATCTAGAACTATTAGTTTAATAATATGAAATAATCCTTGGAATATTATACTTTTTACTTTATGTCAAAAATCCTGATGTGAGCCCATTGCAGAGATGTCTGAGAGAGGAATGAACTAACAACTTTGCAAGGGAGACTGCATGAAAAATAGCCAGTAGAAAGTCGATAATGAAGTATTAATCATGAGTTCCCTCCCTATAAATCTCAAAGCAATGGCAGACATTAAACAGATTGTTATGGAATTTTGTCATTTTATGATTTAAATTACTCTTTTGATATGAAATTGCAACACTCGTAATTATTTTTTGTAATTTCAATTATTGATTTCTAAAGCAGAGAGACTGACCTGACAATTTTGGAGGAGGCTTTAGATGCCCCACCTTACACTTTTTTTTAGGCTTTAGATGACCCCTGACTGTACAGATTGATTTCTGAGTCAGGGAGACTGATCTGACAATTTTGGAGGAGGCTTTGGATGACCCACCTGACAATTTTGGAGGAGGCTTTAGATGACCCCCGACTGTACAGATTCTCTCTGCTTCCTTTCTGAGAAGCCAGATTTTCTCTGCTACCCCTCTGGGATACTAGGTTAGTTCGAGTACTGGCCCTAGAGACTGGCACAGACTCGACGAGTGGACCAAATATTTCCACAGGGTCGGGAACACGAATGTCCTCCTCGGTGATGTAAACATCCTCTGGAGCTGGTAAAGTTGCCACCTAGTGTGGAAAATTAATAAATAGTGCAAGAACCATAACTCAGTACAGCAAAATTTCTATCACTGTTATTATTCAGAACAAATATGGATATACCGGTACTTTGAAAATATTTTACGTAATATACAAAGTGCTCAATAAGCAGTACACCATCAGAGATCTAGTTAAATCTTAAGACTGGGAGGTGGTTTTTGTTTATCAACACAAAAGCAAAAATAAAGTATTTTAGAAGGTTGTATAGTTCACACTCTCCTTGCAAAGTAAGAGATGTCATCAATTACACACTACAGTGAAACAAGTTTTGCAATTGTGCAGAAAGTCCATCATATTGTGAAACTAACAAGTCTGCTCAGGTTAAAACAAATTATCTTTCAGTGTGCAAAACACCAAATATTACACCTACAAAGTTTTTGATTCCGCAGTACAGTGCTCGCTGAAATCAAACAAAAAAGTTCTAGCTACATACAACATAGAGACTATTTGTACAAGTATGCACTATTGAAACTCAAAAATAGTGTATTCATGCCTTTATATTATTAAAGTAATTTGATTTAAAGGTTTTGGAAGTTAAACAATGAGTGCACTAATAAATTTCATGCATATTTATATATTTCAACCAAGAAATTTGATTTAAAGGTTTTGGAAGTTAAACAATTAGTGCTTTAATAAATTTCATGCATGTTTATATATTTCAACCAAGAAATTTGATTTAAAGGTTTTGGAAGTTAAACAAGTAGTGCACTAATAAATTCCATGCAATATGTTTACATATTTCAACCAATAAATTAGAATATTTTGGATATTCATTAGTCATGAAGCAAAATTTTTTTTTCAGTCGTTACATTATGCACTAATTAGCCTTATCAAATACAGCTGGATCTTTAAGATCATCAAATCAGCTAGCTTTTCAAATCAAACATGTCTACAAATCAAAATAAGTTCTTATAAATAGCTATATTCACACAGTTAAGAATGCACACGATCTATGATTTAATGTTCTCAATACCGAAGGGAGGTAACTCCCGGTCATCATAGCAACATACTCCTCATCTACCTATAGGGACAAAGCTTAAACATGTCATTACAGATTACAGGAAATAAGACTTGTCAGAATATTACAGATATATATTATAATGACCTACCACATCTCGAAGACTATTTCCCTCCAAGATTTGGTTGATTTCACCATGTTTCTCCAGTATCCTACAGAGAGAGAAGAGGGATTTATTTCAATAGTGCTGCTCATATTATCAGTGTAATGAATTTTTGAAAACATAAAACTTAGGCTTGAAAACATTGGAAAACAGCTGTAGGTTTGTGAAATGTTTTTTGCACATTTCCTCTGGTTTTACAAGTACCGTAAATCATTTTTCATTCATGAAAAATTTCATTTTCAAATACATTTGTTTTATACAGGATTCTGTAAAGCAGTAGTTCAAATTCATATAATTCTTATCGCTTATAAATAAATGCCTTTCTCATGAAAATAAGGAGTCACATAAATTTTGTGATCTACTGTATGTTCACTACCACATTACACGGTGTGATACCTATTTGTTGCTGCATTGTAGGCCATTGACAGCTGATACATTCTGTATATACATATACATGTATCTACTGTATATGTATTATGAGGGTGTGATACCTGTTGGTTGCTGCACTGTGGGCCATTGACAGCTGATACATTCTATATATACATATATCTACTGTATATGAATTATGAGGGCATGATACCTGTTGGTTGCTGCATTGTGGGCCATTGACAGCTGATACATTCTGTATATATATATATATATATATATATATATATATATATATATATATATATATATATATATATATATATAAATATATAAATATATATATATATATATCTACTGTGTGTGATTTATGAGGGTGTGATACCTGTTGGTTGCTGCATTGTGGGCCATTGACAGCTGATACATTCTGTTTAGTTTCCTCAGAAACTTCTTCCTTTGTTTTATTCTGACCTTCAAATCAATCTCTCTCTGCAACTGTAAGTAAAAGGGAAAAAAGATTAATTATATTAACAGTCATAAAAATATACTCAATCACCAGTGGTAAATATAATCATTGAAATGGAAGTTTTATTCTTTCTTTGATGACACGTAAATGTTGCAATAAGTAAAAACATTAAGACACCATCCCATTTATTTTGGTTGTATTGGCTACTATTATCAATGCATGCATGCTGAGCACAGAAATTGTTACTTTGACATGTTCGTAATCTGAACTATAGCCCATATTCAGTATGCGGTATTAACTGTACGTTATACACATTATCGTAATCTGAACTATAGCCCATACTCAGTATGCGATATTAACTGTACATTATACACATTATCGTAATCTGAACTATAGCCCATACTCAGTATGCGATATTAACTGTACATTATACACATTATCGTAATCTGAACTATAGCCCATATTCAGTATGCGTTATAAACATTATGTTTATAGTCGTCATTTACCTCCTCAGGGTCGGGGGGTTTCTCTCCAAGATCTATAGTAAAGCTCTTCATTGGTGGCATCTGTGTCTACAAATTAACAAATACACAATTAAATCTTTATACTGATAATTTCTGAACTCCAGGAAGACATGCACATGTATTTTAAAAAATCCATGTTTTATGTAGACATATAAATGCAATTCTTCTTTGGAAATTCTTTAAAGCAGATCATGCCTTGTTTCACATTGGCTTTTTCACAGGTGGTGTTTTTGGTTTGACATTCAAATTTCTTATCAAAAGTTGCTCCCCTTTTCAATGCATTTGCCATTCATTTGTTTGGGATAATTTGTTTTATTAATATGCATCCCTCCTATTAATACACTCTTGAAGACAGTTATCACTTGTAATGTATTGGTTCAGTTATCACTAGAAATGTATAAATGTATCAGCTGAGTTATTATCACTAGAAATTTATCAGCTCAGTGGAATATTAGTGCACTGCTACATTTATATATACCTGCATGGTTACTTATATACTAGGCAATTATACCTTTGTTAAGTCACATGCAATTTTACTACTTATATAAACAAATATTTGACATATTATTTCCTGATGAACATTTTTACTGTCCAGTGATCACACAGTTTTAAGCCATCACCTGTTTTCTTTAATCATGTTTAGTCAGTTATGTTTAGTAAGTACCTGACTTTTATTGTAAACTGACATTATGGAGGCATACTAAGGATATACAGCAGTAACACTATAACATATATTTTATTTGAAGCAAAATTGAGTTACCTTCCATTCATCTTTTAATGGGGCCAATTGTGACTGCTAATAAGTTTTAACAAAATTTTATGCTTTTATTAATAGAATATTATGAAAAGAAGTTCTAGTCTAGAAAAAAAAAAGAAAAAAAAAGGTATGCATCAAAATTTAATGGAAGAGAGTTTAATCTTTGAAAAAACCATTTTAGTCTCTAAATCTTTACTTTGAATGGATTTTTTTTATATTAAATAATTTGTCATTCTAGTTTTAACCTATCAATCTGTCCAGTGACTGTGTCTTATCTTACCTTTGGGAACCTCTTCTCTAGGTCCTGGGCGGCCTGTCTGGCAATCTGATGGGGGGTCAAGCTCTTACCCTGCTGTAATATAGAGAACAATACTGACTACTGTATGAACCCTGCTGTAATATAGAGAACAATACTGACTACTGTATGAACCCTGCTGTAATATATATTTGTTTTACAGATGCTTTCTGACATTTTATTACATAATTTGAAAACAAATGTATGGAGCATCAAATCACTTTGCCTACCTCATGTTTATGTTTGAACTGTTGAGTGACGGCCCAGTCCTGTCGTGTATCAGGTCTAGAAGACCGCTCGGATATATAACTCAGAGATCGGGGAGGTAACTCTGCCAGTGAGGCATGGGGGAGAGACTTTTCTGGTTTTAGGTTAGTCACACTTGTGGAACTGACATCTAGGAAGTAAAAAGGTACACTTATAGGACACAATATTTTTCAATTTCAATTCTTACTAGAAAATGAAGAAAAAAAATATTCGGATATATAACTGGAGACACTAGGCAATTTCATTTCTCATACACTTTTATAAAACAGAATTTAGTATGAATTTCTGACCTTGCTTGACTGAGAACTTTGATGTGTAAGAATTCAGAAGAACGGGGTCCTTAGCGTCTTCTCGGAATTTATCAATATCAGCTTGTGTTTTTAGCTTTCCCTCCTTAATCAGTCTGTCCTGTATCTCAACTATCTATAAAAAAAAAAATTGCATGTAAAATTAAATGTACCAACCAGACGGAGTATATATTCCTGTGTTTTCTGTGTTCTTTTGCAAAGTGTTGGAACCCTGTTTACACTAAAATGAATTATGCCAAAATTATTGGCATACCTTTGAGCAAGCAAAACATCAAATTTTAATTTACACACGCCAAGAAAACTCACCAATACATGTACATTCTTTATTGCCTTTGTGTCATCGTATTGTTAACTTTGCTGTTTACTGCTTCTTAGAGAAGATTTACATACCCTTGCTCTTTACTGCACCATTGCAAAGTTAACTTTGCTGTACCCTTATAAAGCTACCTTTGTTAGTTTCTGAGACACATGGTTAAGTTACCTTTGCCGTTTCTGTCTTTGTTATGTATTTCAGATGTTCATTATTTGTAGTGAGAACGTGCCTCTCTTTCTTTTTATGGGCCTTCTAAAAAAAATAATAAACATCAAATTTATCACTGAAATATGTGTTAAACCAAATAGTGCAACTTGTTATCTATCTGCTAAAAGAAACATGTCAAACACATGGAAACTAGAGTTGTCTCTATTTGTCATTGTTGTAGTGTGACCCATCCTAATACAGCATACTCACAGACAGAAGGGAAAATGTTCTTAGCTAAAATAAACATTGTTTTAAAAAATTTCACTGAAAAATTGAAAGCTTTTTAAATATTTTTTATACATAGTTATTTAAGATTTAAAAAAAAATGGGAAAAAAATTCCAGATTTTAATATCCTGAATGATTCCTCCCTGTACAAAGTCTGGTAAAATTCCATAGAGCTACACTGAAATTGGGGCTGTGTTCAAGATCGTAGTGCCTAACCTAGTATCTAGGTGGTATACATCTAGCTCTATTGAACGGGCAGCTCGCCTAGCTGCTACATGTTAAACTTTAGATACAAATATCTCATTAATTACTAATTTTTGGAACAAAGTGAACTGACCCCAAGTGAAAATGGCTGGTATATGTAAATTTACATTTAATTTGCTAAGATGGAGAATAGAACCCAACTCTTTGTGAGTATCTTGTTGATGTGAAGCAGTAACTAAAGAAGCCATCTTGGATTTGGTACCTAGCATCAAATATTTATGCTAGCTTTCTCTAGGTATTGGGCTAGACTAGCATATTGTTCAAGATTGTAAACCTATGTAAAAGCTACAAAGCTGCTACAATCTTGAATCCCTCCTATTCTAAATGTTTTGAAATGTCATATAGACAGAAAAACAGTTTGACAAATAAAGGTGAAAACATGACCACCATGTTACAATGAAATTCTTGGAGTAGCCGAGTAGGTATTTCAGTTATAATGTGATTACGAAAGAGATCTTTTTTACTGATGAAAAAATATATGTCTTCATCGTCTCTGTCTAACTACTGAGGAAATTAAAGAATCTATGTAATGACAGGGCAATTTCTACTTATCCATGCCACAGACAGGTCTAACTGTATGTTTCCAGTGATAATTAACTACAGTGTGATTTGTAATGTTAAGAGTGAAGTCAGCTAGCTTAATAAGATATACATGTATATATTGTAGTCTACTTCTACTCCCTATTACCAAACCTTAACTTACTAGTACTCTCTTCTTCTTCTGAAAATGTAACATTCTTATCATAAATAAAAGTTTATGTGGTAAGATTGGGACATATGAATGACTTCAAATGAATGCATTCTCTGTTATACTATATAATTTCAAAGGATGGTGGAGTATTCATCATGCCATTTCAGAACCCAGGATTCTTTGATGTTTTATGTAATGACTTGAAGGAGTGAGACCAACCTTGTTTGCCTTGGCGACCTCCATGATTTCTACTCGTGGAGATTTGATCGGAGAATTAGTGTTCCTGTCCTGGAACTTGGTGACTGACGTTGCAATGGCTGCCACTTTTTTGGAGTAGAAGCGGTCCTCCACGGGTCTATTGTTCAGGTCATCCATTACTTGTATGTATCTCTGTGTATCAGAATATTATAGTTCTTATCAGAATTCAATACAAACACTTTAGATCCGTACTTCCTCTGATAACAGGAAATTAATAAGTTTATAACATGAAACAAGAATGCAAGATTAGAATTTACAAAGACATAATGACAAAAACTCATTATTCACAACACAATGGCATTCCTATAGCACTGCATCCCATAACAACCAGTCAGGAGCATCACCAACTTTAACATCACAAAAGCAAAGACACGATTCACAGCAAAAATAAAAAATTCTTATCACCAGTAATAATAATTTACATACGTGTTGTATATGTTGATCAAATGACTTCAGATTAAGTAAACTTTACTACGATTACAAGTTATGACCCATTAAAAAAATATTGATGGTTTACTGTTTACATTGAATATTTTGTTTTAATTATCAAACTAAGGTTAATATCCAAAACATGGCAGATTAATTATAAGATCACACTTTACTGACTTGCATTCTGTATGTGAATCTATGGATGTATGTGGATTTGTGGATGTATGTATGTGGATTTGTGGATGTATGTATGTGGATTCATGGATAGATTTCATAATTTACTGTAAACCAATGTCCCTGTGTGGTGACTTACTTAAGATTTTATTTCTTTTTCAAGGATGAATTTCTTTTAATATGTACATCAGTAATAAGTGTCTGACTACATGTACTCTTAGACAGAAAAAGTTTGAAATATTTATAATTAAATGAAAATAAAAACTGTTGGTTTACAATATATTACTCAAACTAAGCTACATTCCATTCACTAACAACTAAGTAACCTTTGGTAAAAATGGTAACAGTTTAAAAGTTTGGTGAGAATATAGTAGATATATTATGTGTAAGTAGAAGCTTATTCCCTGAGTGTATCATTTGTAAACACTAGTTCTATTTTCTGTTCCAGTCAGAGGAATTCTGGGAGATTTTCTAGTCATCTGTCTATTTCGTGCTGGTATTACTTTTTCTAAAGAAAAGAGAGCATGCTCTAAGTGCCATTTGTCACCTTGTAAATCTTATAACTCTGTAAAATTCACAGGCAAAAATCAAGAATATTGAATGAATGGTACAAGAAAGTTTGAAGTGTGTATGATTTACTGATGCAAGTTAATTCTATATTATACTCCAATTAGTGCATTTCTTATAAAATCAGTATAGTTACTGTATATGATATTGCCTGCATGTATATATGCAGGGTACTTGCATATACACATAAGAAGTTAATACCAATGACTAATACGAAAATATCTATACTCGTAAACTTAAATCATCATAATCAGACTAGATATAACACATTTACTTCTTACACAAAACATGCACAACATCAGAGTTAAACACGAGTTTGTTCAGATTAACTGAATCTTTGGCATGCTCTTATTCCAATCATCTTTACAAGTTAAGCAGATTGAATTGATCCAAAATTTAAGGCAGATTACTGATTACCTCCAAAAGTTTGTTAATTCTTCTATATTCTTAGGTACACAGATTTAAATGCCACATGTATCATTAAGAAGTTTTTTTAACATTATTTTAATCTCATGAATCTAAATCTTGTACAGAAGAGGTTTGTGCACAGCTGAAAGAACAATGGAGTTTGTTTTCTTAATACACACAAAATCTGCTTTTAAATGTCCAAAATTCTGCTTAACTTTACAACAAAATTCACCACATCCTGTTAGTTACCTCATGGGCAGTGCGAGAATCCAGCTAGGTGACAAAATTCAGTGATCATTAAAACATGTACAATTATTACAGTCAAAACAAGACAAATTACATCTAAGTCCTTGAGGTATAAAATTGACAACTTTCACTCTCAATTAAAACACAAAATCTTTTTACTTCATTCTATTAATTACAAGCTTGGCCAACCTCATTTAATTGCTGCAAATGTTAACCCACTTACACCTGATCTAGCAAATTCCTTTACCAAATTAAATGCAATACACTACATAATTAAATTTTCACAACCTTTGCACTGATTGAATTCTTATAGTCCAATCAAAATTGTTGGGATAAAGAGAAACTCGAAAATGGACAATATTTTGTTTTGTTTTGTTGTTTTTTAATTAGTAAAATGATAATGCTTCCACAGAAGAATAAGAAGAGTTACCTCCTCTTGCTTTTTTCTCCTCTTTTCCTGCACCTCATCATCATGTGCCTCAGATTTAGAGACTTTCTTTGAACTTTTCTTCTTTTTGTTTTCTTTATCCTGTTGAGATAAAAGGAATTCTCAGACAATCAGAATCAACATACTCTGGTGGAAAAGGTCAAAACTTACAAGCAATAATGAATTAGTTCAAATGGTCAAAATTCTATTATTTTTTAACTTATGAAAAAGCAAATTTCAACATTAATTATTTCATGTCACAAAATACTGATCGACATTCTGAGGATTCACAGACAGCTTGAAATTCATGGAAATTAATTCTCGGGAGAATAAATATTCATGATGCTTCCATTGAAGCTTCAGCATAATAAAGTTAGTGTATTATTTGTAGTATCAGTACAGTATCAGGAGTATGTAACATAATGCACATTTAAATGAATAATATTTAAATTGTTTGATTTAAGAACTCAAAGCTCTGTTTTAAAAAAAAAATAAAAATGAAAGGGGGGGGGGGGGCTGTCATTTTTTTAATAACTACTATTTTTAGACATCACAGTTATAAACTGCTCCATATAAGTAAGTAAATTTTAAGTAAAAATGTACTTGGCAATCTGTGCATTAAAGGCAACTGTGCCAACAAATTCAGGATTAACTTCTTAATCCTCTCACTGCATTTCTATTGATCAAACTCTACCGAGGAATTGCTAAACCTTTGTGGTTAATACAGTGGCGGTATTTCTACCAGATTAAGTTTTGGGGCTGTATGTTTATACCTGGCCCTGTGAATTGTGTACTAATTAGATTATTAATATCCTCATCAGGTCTCTACCCTGTTATGACAATCACTATAACTATAATGCAAAATGACTAATAAAATTGTACTTGATTATTCAGCATAAAGTTACGACAACTATTTTTTTTTTGATAAGTAATAGAAAGAATGTAATAAATTATATGCCGACATAAAAGATCCTATTAAATGAATTCTTTGAGAAGATACTAATAGCAGAGCTTTCAAACGATTAGAAACTGGTGGTACTTTCATCAAAATAGAAGGTACCTTGTGGACGCAATTTTAATTAAATAAGTAATCAATTATTTTGGCTGGTACAATCATGATTTCAGTCAGGTAAAAGTACAGGTACCAGCAGATTTTGAAAGCCCATAACAGTGTGAATTTCACTCAAATTTTCAACATAAATGGCCCATACAGCCAATGAGTATCATCTATTCATCAACACAGCATTACTTACAGAGTCGTCCTAAATGTTAATAATCCCCAAACTATCAGTATTTACATCTATACCTCAGCAAGCTGCAAGAATGTAACTCGCTGGGAAATAAAAAATTCGACAGACATACAGGTGATGTCCTTCCAAATTTTATTTCCCAAAGATCTACAATTCTGCAATTAAGTATCAGCCCACTTTTAACCTATTTGACATATACAGACACTTTAAACTTAAAACATGTAAAATAAGAATTAGTGCTCTTTTTCCATTTTTTTAACAGTACTAACCCTTGGATCTTGTTCCTCTCCATACTCGTCCAGCACTAGGGGGAAATTAGACCTCGAGTGACATCTGTCTGAGTAAGCGCTCTGAATACGAGAAATGTCTACCCTCTGAGATTGGGAAGTGGTGGGAATCTCTGAGCCCCGATCATCTTTTAACAACTCATCCTAAACAAGTCCAATTAAAAATGCATTTTCTCATTATAATATTTGGCAATCTGAGAAAAAAAAATCAAAACTTTCTTTATAAGATATCATTCTTATATGCATTTCATGTACAAGTAAATCAAGAAAAAATATATATATATATATATATATATGTATATTTATAGCATCAAAATATTAGTAATGATACATTCAAAAAGATACATGTATTATCAAAAATAGACTGTTTGAAAATTGAATGAAAACTATGCAAAAAAAAGCACTTTGGTTTAGTTGGTTAAATGCAATTATATATGAATATAATTATGACAGCTTTGTCTGTGGTTTGACTAAACCAAAGGAAACTAACCTTCTGAACAGAAAATTATGTACAAAAAATACATGGAACAGAGAAATATTCTTAGTAAAAGAAAGAGCAAACAAGGCTCTTTGAATTCCAGTTCTAAAGTTTATTTCTCATGAGTTTAGGAACCTGTGTAATTTCTGAATTGTACGTGTTACAGTGCTTTCAGATCTTGTAAAAGATTGCCAATCAGCAAGCATTAATAAACTCAAATAATTTCACATTTGGAATATATTGTTTACTTGTTTATCTACAGTGCTCCCTCGGTATATTGCCAACTTTTGTCCAAGACAGATTTTGGCATTAAAGCGAGGGTGGCAATATAACGAGTTCTGTCATAAATTACAATGCAGTAAGCCCAGTTCAAGATGAATACGTAATTTATTTTAGTTAAAATCAAATGTCATGCTTTTGCGCATGTGTACATACATATACACTCAAGCGCAACTTTCATTTCTTCCGGAAAAAAGTCATTAATGTATTTGTTTTTAAAATGAAATGAAAATGTCACAATATTACGACATTTTTCAATTTCCCGCTCATTCGCTCTTCTGTTGATCCTGGGTCGAAGAATTTAACAACCTGATGATAATGATGATAACGGTGTCAATAGCAGTTATAGTCTCTCGGTATACAAAAGTTTTTGAGGTTTATCGTCAATATCATCTGAATCAGAAGTAGATTACATATGTATTTCACCATCTCAATAATACTAGATCAGTTAAAAAAGTTCGGTAACAGACAAATGGAAAGTCACGTGCCAGGGTACATGAACCTGTTGTAATATACACGTATTCTCATGTTTGCTAGTACCTGAGTACTTTCTCTTCCTATTCTGTTTTGATATTCATCAATCAATCCATTAGGTGTCCAACAATTGATGACTGTTTCAGGGGTAACGGAATCCCATGCTATTTTCACGTGCGGAATTATAGTAGTCTAAAAATAGAGATGGGATTTCCTTAGAATTTAGAATTTGGTTTTTTTTATATATGGGGAATAAAATGATTTTTTCATTTATTATGGCCTGGTCCGGTGAAAGCAACAATCGGCGATTTACAGTTAAATAAAATGTACAATTATTTGTTTGGGTTTATTTTAAATTTTAGTTTGTAATCTAAATTTGTACGCTTTCTCTTCCCTGACTTTCCCATTATTGTGATGAAATAATACTTCTATCTTATAAAAACAACACAAAAGAAATTGCTAATTTTGAGTTTTATAAAACGATTATCTTTAATTTAGCTGAACTCCTTGTTCAGCCAGTCACGCTTCACTGTCAAAGCACGGGTGTGACGTCCAAATTACCGACGCGCGCTAGATAATTGGCATTGTTACCGAAGGTTTTCCTTATATAATTTGACATTTTGTTTCCCCAAACAAGTGGCGGATGGCATTAAGCGGGGGTGGCAATATAACAGGTGTATTAAGACTGGGGGAAATCCGTTCTTGGAGAATTCCTGGCATTAAGCGGGGGTGGCAATATAACGGAGGGCAATATACCGAGGTAGCACTGTATATTCAAAATAAAGAAAAAAAATGCTTCTTATCATAATTTTTTGCTAGAATTCAATTAAAAGAAAAAAAAAACAAACAAACAAAAGCCAAAAAAAAAAAACAACAAAAAAACAAAACAAAACAAACAAAAAACTTGCTAATTTTCATGAATAAATTGGTTAAGTTAGAAATATATTTAAAATTAATTCTAATGTTATTTTTACTTGTTGCATTCACAACCAACACCCTTCTTAATTAATACTTTGAAGATTTTAAATATCTACTTCAGCACTGTCTGAGAAATTTATGCTTTTACCTGTGTTAGATATGCTAACTAAATTTCCATTAATTAAAAATTTTTCAAACTTAAATCTTAACAGTCAAATAAATAACATTACTCTGTTATTACCTTACGTCCCTTCTTTTTTCTCTTTTATAAAAAACAAAACAAGTTTTGAGTGGTATGTAAATAAAAGGCTCTGACATTTACGAAAAGACGAAAAATATGTAAACACTGAGTAAATTCGAACTGTACAAAATTCTTCAATTTAGAAAAAATTAATTTATACACAATTTCATTTTGGACAGACGTAAGAAATACAAAAGTATGACATACATCAGAGCTCTCATCTCTAATTTCCCGCTCTATATCAGGTGTTGTGATCTTAACTTGTTTTTTAACAGACGGCTCGTCCGCCATCCTGCGTTTGTTGTCGTCTTGGTTGCCGCCGCCTCGTTCCCGACTAGTATAAAAACTTCGAACCCGACGATATTGTTAAGAAAGATCTTTTTAATATACACAGATCGGATCAAATCACACATAATCAATATCGATATTAATAAAAATATTCAAGAATACATAACAAGAAATAGAAGGTTTGGGAGAAAATATTTAAATGGTATGTCAAAAGTGAAGAGCTGGTAATTACATTTGAATGAATGAATGAATAATAAATAAATAAATAAATAAATAAATAAATAAATAAATAAATAAATAAATGAATGAATGAATGAAAGAATGAATGAACGAACGAACGAACGAACGAATAATAAATAAATAAATAAAATAAAATAAAATAAAATAAAATAAAATAAAAAATGAAATTTTAAACATTAACATACCTGATTATGAAATGCCCCGAAATTATTTTAATTAAAATTAAATCCCTGATAATAATGTACTTAAATGTGTTCCAAATCACTGATCTGCATAAATTTACCCTGAGAAGATACCGTAAGCTAAACCGTGTCACCGTAATTAACAGCAAGCACGCGTTATTCCCCAGCACACTGGCCTATTTACACCTGAAAGCGACAAAAACTTCGAGTTAATGGCTTCCAGAGGGAAACAATTCACGTGCCAAAAATAGAATGATGCGATTGGTCAATCGTATTTTTAAGAGTATATATAAATAATGAATCAAAACAACATTTTATCAAAAACAAATATTTCATTTGCACAGCACAAAGTATCAAAATATGGAAACTTATCCCAGTTTTCCAGATATACTGCAAGATCCCAACTTGACAAGAAATGAATCAAATTTTATGACCGAAACAGAACAAAATCCAAATAATGATGCAAAGGGTATGTTGAATATATCTATGTATCGGTCATCCCTAAGTACATATAAACATAAAAAGAACATTTTAAAATTTTAGCATAGATTTGTCGGTTAAAAATTAAAAAAAAAAAGTCAGCAAGTAATTAACCAACGATGAAAGTTAAGCTTCATCATTGTCACTTTCTCTTCCTTATGTCTTTCTGACATATTTTCTATTTATCGATAAAAATCTAAGCAGTCACAAATTACAATGCAGATTTTTATTGATAAATAGAAAATATATGTCAGAAAGACACAAGCCAGAGAGTGACAAAAGAATCAGTTTAATTAAATCTAATGTCTGAGGATATTTTTAATTTAATCAGGTTTTCATGGCGTTAACCAGCTTGGTGGAACATTTATCAATGGACGTCCATTGCCTGAAAACATCCGCCAAATGATACTGAAGTTGCACCACGACGGCGTGAAGTCCTGCGAGATTTCCCGCATTACCAAGGTCTCTCACGGCTGTGTGAGCAAGCTCCTCAACAGATACCAAAATACCGGATCTATAGCGCCCTCTACCGCCGGCGGATCTAAACCAAAAGTATCGACAGACGCTGTGGTGGACATGGTTGTAAAATACAAGACAGAAAATCCAGAGATGTTTGCACGCGAAATAAGACAGCTCCTCATTCAAAACGCGGTCTGCTCCGAGGATAATGTACCAAGTGTCAGCTCTATCAACAGAATTTTACGACGAAACGACTTAGGAACGAAATCTCTTCCCATGGGATCAAACATGCTGGAGAGATTTAGCACCTTGTCAGGAATGAATAACTTCAAAGGAAGTGAAATCATGGTCAAAAGAATTGCAGCATTCCAGCTGCAAGATCTAGGGGTTTCCTCATCACAACTAGGAGGACACAATCATCAGTCCTTAAAGCGGAAATACGAGGACGAAGACACCACTAATCCTTCAAAGGTCCAGAGAACCGAAAATAGTACTATCGGAATCACTAATCAACCAATAGCTACAGAAATGAATAAACCCAATGTAGAAAACCCAGAGACAATGCAACAGAAAAGACTCCCTGGCACTCTGAAAAACCCCGTCCCCATTCAACCAAGACCTTCCAAAATGCAAATAGATGCTTCTGCGGCGTCTGACCTCCATCATTTTAAACCAGGTCAGCTTATTACTTTTGTGTCACAGAATGGAAGAGCAAACTCAAGAAAACTCCAGGGAACAAAGAAGGCACAGTCTGATGGTCTGCAAAATAGGATTCCCGGAACAGAGATGCTAATCCAAAACGCAGTTACAAGTCAACACATTTCTCCCTTAGTACAAAACTCGATATCATCGATATCATCTACTGACACTTTAGGGTTGATATCAACTGTAACACCACCAAATAACGATCTTTCTCTATCATCGAACGATCACCACGACAACACAAGTTCTTTAGATGACAAAAACCGAGAAGCAGGGGGGTTCCAACCCTTCTCCTTCGTGGATCCGACTTTTGGTTTAATAAGCGTGTCACCAGCACCACCCGAGATGCTTTCTTTTTTGGGACTGAAGAAATATCAACAAACAGAAGAGTCTCAGAAAAGTACTAATAGTACAATCTTTAATACTAATTGCACAACTATCCCTGAGAAGAATAAAACACGTATCCCTGAAACGAATAATCCAGCTCTTCTTGGGACGAGTAATGCAGCCATACATGAGGCGAGTAATCCAGCTATCCATGAGACGAGTAAAGCAGCTATTCCTGAGGCGAGTAATACAGCTAACTTTGCAAGCAGCGTCAACAGAGTTCAATACAGTTTTGTTGAAAACCAGATGGTTAATCATGAAAAAGTCACCGACAAAAGTTCTCCATTGCAAATCTTTGAAAGTGCCTCCTTTCTGCAGCAGCTGAATTGTTCATTAGAACCAGAACACTGCTCTCCTTCTGTGTGTGACGACAGAGATTACGCAGTGGAAGAGTCCTTTCAGCGTGACCTTGACGCTTTCTCCATTGACCTTGGTACAACCTCTGAATCTGATCTGTCCAGTGACCACGACTCAATTTTAGATTCCCTGTATCGATCTCCTCCCAGTGTCACTGGCGGACCCCAGGGTGAACAAACACTAATCCACAGGAAAGAGTTATTTCCCGTTTGTTGACAGTTATCTCACTGTCTCAGGTCCATGATGGTGCTTTTTAATTGAAATTTGATGTTCAGATTTTACTGCAATAAAATATAGTATTTCTTTATAGTTTGTATTTGTCATTTACAACTGTCTGTAATTAAGCAAATCAATGCTTATTTACTATAATATTTTTTTAGCGAATGATTATGCTGATGGTGTGTAAAGTCTCAGTTTTCTTGACACACTTTCCACTTATCCTAACACACTATTTAATTGTAATAATACTAATTTTAAGATTTAATAGAATACTACTGCAGGACGAAGGGAGGTAGTCTTACTGAGCGACTAAATCCACGAAAAAGAAAAATACATATTCATTTTTCAGTTTCAATTAGCTAAAAGGGGATACTCGTGGTTTATATTTCTTGCATCTTTCGGTGGATTGTAAATACACATTTAATGTTTGTGTAAATTGATTGATAGTTTCTAGACATTTCAAGAACTGGTAACTAATTATTGCTCCGAATCTATAACCAACATCACTACCTCAAAATAGAAGTCACTTGTGTATAAATTTATTAGATTAACCAGTTGACTAACGTATTTCAAAGTTATTTTAAAACAGGAAAGTATTTTCCTCGTGAATAAAAAAAGTATTTGGTATTATTATTTGTATAATTTCCAGATAAAAGTGAAGTGGTCTTAAACATTGCGACATTCTTTGATCAGACAGTATCATATACTACAAATATGTACATAAAGTGAAACTCCACTTAAAAGAAAGCCGCTGAATACTATTTGAACATCTGTCCGAAGTATAATACTGAATCTACTTTGTATCTGGGCACAAACACTTTGGAGTATTTTTACGTGACGCTAGTTGGCCATCCCATATTGAAAATTTACTGGCTAATGCTTACAAAAAATGGCTCTATTGAAAAAATACACCTCTTATTATGGGGGGGGGGGGGGTAGATTCCTTGAGTGCTGCAGAGAATGAACCTCCTTTCTCTATTGTCCAAACATTTATCAAACACTCTGACAGATTTACATGTTAGTGTTAGTATTAATGTATATCTGTACAGACAAAATTATATGTATGTTTCTCTAAATTGTATCGATTTTTGTAAATTTTGCACATATTGTATATTTTAAATGTACATGTTTAACTGTGACTTAATTTAAACTTGTAATTTACATATAAGTAGAGATTGTAATAAATATTTACAGCTTGTGCCCAATCCCTTTGTAATTAGAAATTACAATAAAATATGTTCAAACCAACTGGATTTAGATAAACATTGTCATGCAGAAAGCCACCATATAAAGTACGAGCAGGTATCCGAAGTATAATGTTGAATCTAGACAGACATTATAAAAAAATTGTCATGTTGTAAATTTTTTGTATTAACTGCCACCCGGTAAATTCATAACTTTTGAGTATATAAAGCCATCATACAATGTACGAGCAGGTGCCCGAAGTATAATATTGGATCCATAGACAAACATTGTCAGAAAGCCGCCGTACAGTGTACGAACAAGTGCCCGAAATGTAATGCTGGATCTAGACAGACATTGTCAAAAAGCCATCATACAATGTACGAACAGATGTCCGATGCATAATACTGCATCTACACAGACATTGTCAGAAAGCCGCCATGAATACAATGTACGAACAGGTGCCTGAAGTATAATGCTGGATCTAGACAGACATTATCAGAAAGGCTCCATGAATACAATGTACGTACAAACAGGTGCTCGAATTGCAGTGCTTGAATCAGAAAGCGAAGTACAGTATTCGAACAGGTGCCGTAAGTATGAGGATCGTTCAAAAAATGCGTAGACACCATCGTTCTTTATATTTTTTTTAAAGAAATTTACTAGTAATCAAGATTAACATTTTATCACAGCCATGTAAAAACATCTATTTTGTTGATGTGTACAGTGTAATTTTATTTTATCAAATGGAACTCATGTGACATTATTTTAATATCAACATGTTTTATCACCACGGAACACTCTTATCAACGTAACCTCAAAACCATGTCGTCATGAGAGTTAATTTCTAAAAAAAAAAAAAAACACCTCTTCATTTAACACTGTCTGTTACACCTGACCCATTTTTTTTTTTTTTTTTTAAACTTTCGATTACACTTTATTCTTAGTTTGCTAACAATTCGTGTATCAAGAGAATTCGTCAATGTCTTCATTTTCTTTTTGATAATTCATTTCATTGGAGGCTGTTAATCGTCCAATGCATCTCTAAAACTCAATGTGTGTGTGTGTTTCGTGGGTGCGGTGGCACCCATTTTCCCATTACTCTTTCATTGACTTCCAAGTCCTTTTAAATTTTTATTAATTTGATGTTAACTCAGTAATGAGAAATATTTCATTAAAAGAGATAAACCAAATGTTTTCCTCAAGACAAGATTATATACGTTAAATGCGAGTTAATTTATTTTGCTCCACTTCAATTCCCAGCTCGTTAAGTAAATTAATGTAATTTTTTTTTACTCATTTTTGACATCAATGATGATATCAGTAAAAGTTCTGTAATTTTTATATACATCTAAAACAGTTTTAATGTAATATAGATTGTTTTAAAAGGGAAAATGTTTGCATGGGATAATGTTTGCAATTAAACATTTTATATATGGGATTTTATATGATAAATCTCATTCCCGATTTTCGCTGAAATAATGTAAACGCTTAAGGAAACTGCATAACACACCCTTTTTAGAATTTCCTAGTTTACAGTATTCCACATCTATATAGAAACATTGATATGGAGATCTCTAATGTGAACCTCCGTCCTATAGGGAAACATTGATATGGAGGTGCTCTAATGTGAGTCTCCGTCCTATAGGGAAACATTGATATGGAGGTGCTCTAATGTGAGCCTCCGTCCTATAGGGAAACATTGATGTGGAGGTGCTCTAATGTGAGCCTCCGTCCTATAGGGAAACATTGATATGGAGATCTCTAACGTGAGCCTCCGTCCTATAGGGAAATATTGATATGGGAGTGGTCTAGAGCCTCCGTCCTATAGGGTAACATTGATATGGAGGTGCTCTAATGTGAGCCTCCGTCCTATAGGGAAACACTGATATGGAGATCTCTAATGTGAGTCTTCGTCCTATAGGGAAACATTGATATGGAGGTGCTCTAATGTGAGCCTCCGTCCTATAGGGAAACATTGATATGGAGATCTCTAATGTAAGTCTCCGTCCTGTAGGAAAACACTGATATGGAGGTGCTATAATTTGAGCCTCCGTCCTACAGGTAAACATTGATGTGGAGGTGCTCTAATGTGAACCTCCGTCCTATAGGGAAACATTGATATGGAGGTGCTCTAAAGTGAGCCTCCGTCCTATAGGGAAACATTAATATGGATATCTCTAACGTGATCCTCCGTCCTATAGAGAAACATTGATATGGAAGTGGTCTAATGTGAGCCTCCGTCCTATAGGGTAACATTGATATGGAGGTGCTCTAATGTGAGCCTCCGTCCCATAGGGAAACATTGATATGGAGGTGCTCTAATGTAAGCCTCCGTCCTATAGAGAAACATTGATATGGAGGTGCTCTAATGTAAACCACCGTCCTATAGGGAAACATTGATATGGAGGTGCTCTAATGTGAATCTCCGTCCTATAGGGAAACATTGATATGGAGGTGCTCTAATGTAAGCCACCGTCCCATAGGGAAACATTGATATGGAGGTGCTCTAATGTAAGCCACCGTCCTATAGGGAAACATTGATATGGTGGTGCTCTAATGTAAGCCACCGTCCTATAGGGAAACATTGATATGGAGGTGCTCTAATGTAGGCCACCGTCCTATAGGGAAACATTGATATGGAGGTGCTCTAATGTGAGTGGAGGTGCTCTAATGTGAGCCTCCTTTCTATAGGGAAAAATTGATATGGAGTGCCCTAATATGAGCCTCCGTCCTATAGGGAAACATTGATATGGAGATCTCTAATATGAGCCTCCGTCCTATAGGGAAACATTGATATGGAGATCTCTAATGTGAGTCTCTGTCCTATTGGAAAACATTGATATGGAGGTGCTCTAATGTGAGCCTTCGTTCTATAGGGAAACATTGATATGGAGGTGCTCTAATGTGAACCTCCGTCCTATAGGGAAGTATTGATATGGAGGTGCTCTAATATGAACCTCCGTTCTCTAGGGAAACATAAATATGGAGGTGCTCGGAAACTCCTTCAGTCTGTAATCTTAAATTAGTCAGAATCTGATATAAAAATTCTGATTGACAATATCTACATGTATGTAGTTTTCGGAGATAAAGTCTTTGAACAATCTGATAGAATTCCCATGGGTATTAATTGCGCCTCGATATTAGCAGACCTATATTTGTATTCATATGAAGCAGAATTTATTCAAAAACTTCTACATGAAAAGAAGTCTCTTGCTATGGCCTTTAATTCGTCATTTAGATATATTAACGACGTTTTATCAATTAACAATATTCATTTTTATTCCTAAATTGATTTGATGTATCTTTTTGAACTCGAAATGAAAGACACCACAAAGTCTGACACATCTGTCTCATATTTGGATATTTTACTGCAAAAAGATATTACTGGCAATCTAACAACAAAACTTTATGATAAACGTGAAGACTAAATTCTATCGTCAACTTCCCTTCATTTATTTAGCAATACTAGTAAACCATTATCACTTGCATATGGAGTTAATGTAGATATGCAAGAGCATGCTCTACATTCGAACAGTTTCTGAAACGAGACAAGCTCTTGACAAGGAAGTTGATGACTGATAATAACAGTCTCGTTTGTAGTAAGCATTTCGCAAATTCCCTGATCGATACAATGTCCTTGTTAGCAAATACAATCTATATTTAAGTCGAATGTTGACTTAACATACGTTTTTCATACATATTGTTAGACCAACATTTTCACACTGAATTGTCTACGGAGCACAAGGGGTTGTGACAGTAAACGGGGGTGGGTGTATGGTTGGGGTGTGCTTACTCCTCCATGGCACCTGATCCCACCTCTGATGTTTTAGAGGTCCGTGTTTGCTCTGCTCCAGATCTGTATTGTTCCTATTGACTTTTGAGCTTGATTACTGTTCGTTATCTTCATATATCACACACATGGTTTAAGAATTTCATGATAATGATTTGAAAAGAACTTTTCGTCTGCTGTCATTTTACGTCCATCCTTAAGAGTTTAGATAGCAGACTTAATTAAGGTCCGTCCTTTAGAGTCTAGATAGCAGACTTAATTAAGGTCCATCCTTTAGAGTCTAGATAGCAGACTTAATTTAGGCCCTCATCAAGTTTTAATATGTCTGTAATGTCACAGCTACTGGATATTTTAGTTCACAGAATCCACTGTTCTCATGTCGCGGGACTTCACTGTTCCGAGTTAAATTGCGGCATTGAAAAAAAAATCCCCATTTTCATCTCCTTTAAATGATGACCATTAGAATTTAAAGATCGAATATGAATAGTTAAAGAAGGAAAATAATGCGAAACAATATGAAGACAACAATTTAGCTCTTTTGTAAAATCGAATTTGAAAATTGTAGTATCTTGTTGAAGAAACGTATTGTTTTTTTTAAGAGTATGATTTTCGACACAAGTAAAACTCGGATACCAATTTTGGCCCCCATCCTATCACCTGAAGATGCTTGCATTTTGATATGCCTGATCATGCCGCAGCTGTTCTTGAGAGAATTTAAATTTTTGTCATATTTGTCATCTCAGTAAGTACGCAAACAATGGTCTTACAATTCATATGAAACATATCAGTCAAAATTTGACCAATCACAAGGTTAACAATTTAAGGCCATTATTACGACAACAGAATTTGCAAATCGATGACATTAAGCGAGAGTGTTGAAACCCTTTCATTGTAGCATCCACTTATTTTCAGTAGCTTACTTTGGTTTTAAAGTTAGCAGGGGGAATGCTCTCATGTATCGAATCAGTTTGTGTACATTGACACTAGATGGAGATAAAAGTGGAATATTACTATATAAATATGGGAAGGTTATGATGGAAAAGCTGAAGTCATCCCCTTAGTTATATAGTTCAGTTGTTACTTTGTCATTCACGTCTATATTCAGTATCCAGGTCTGATGATCCACTAAATTTTTCTCCTTAATTACATGTCAATATAAAATTATTTGTCGATTACGATATTGACTGTCAAATATTTACAGTTATTTTTTTTTACTGATTACACTGTGTCTGTCGCAAACTAAGTACACAATATACCTCTTGCTGAGCGAAAGTGAAAAACAATACACCACAAGGGGTGTAATGGAGAGGGCACTGAGGCGAAAACGGTTATCTGAATGATCCATAAATGATCCATAAATATCTTGTTTTTCCTTTATACGTCATATAAATAACCTTAGGACGTAAATTAGTGATCAGAAATATATTTCAGTGTACTCCCTACCCTTGCTTTATTTGATAGTGCTACCACGTACAATGACAGAAAAAACGATAGAATGAATAACCGGAGTTCATTAAAACAAACATTTAAATACACCGAGCAATTCAGGCTGTTTTTATATATTCGCTGTTCATGTTCTTGCGTATTTTTGTTAATGTACCTGCCTTAAAATGTTATGTGTGAAAAGTGTGAAAGTTAATAATGAAATAATAAAATGCAATTTTTTTTCTCAATATATTTAATAAATATTTGATATACATATAAGCAAGTTACAAGGAAATGCGTTATTTTAAACAAAGTCAGCTCAATTTTTGGCAGTCTGCTGGGTCTTTATATTCCTGAATTCTTCAGAGCATCTTCCATGCTTCCCTAACGAGAGAAGATATCACTAATGTTAACTGCTATAAAATCTACATGTAGTTAACTGCTTTTCTCTGTAGATCTTTCCTTCTTCTCATATTGTCTTTTCGCAGCTTATAATCACCTACACTATTTCAGAAAGCTTCCATCTCTTGGCTAGATTCGGTTCTCTACGATTGGCACTGAGAACCAGTATGACCCCCAAGGGGTCGCGAATGAACATTTGGAATGTTTTTTGGATCTTCATACATCCTCCTCCTGATCAGAGAAATCAGAGGAAGAATCGTCATTCTGAGAGAGTTTCCACAGTTTGACGTTCGTCATCAGGATTCCATGGTATTGACTCCCAGAAAGTTCAGCCTCGTTTCCAGGAAGAGTCATTGCAACGGTCGGCAGTGGGCGGGAGGTTGTAGAAGCATAGCTCTCGTCTTCAGAAATAGCAGAACTGAGACTGTTGTTGGAATCTGATAAAACAGAATTATTTCTGGATTTCTCTGCAAAAGTTGTGTGAGATTTTCTGTTTAGGCTTTGTTTCCTTTGAGTTTTAGTCATTTCGTTTAGAGTGTTGTTTATGCCTAGCAGCTGCCTCATGATTATCACATCCTGGCATCTAAGTTCTCTCTGTAAAAAAATAAAATAGCAATGGTCATTCCAAAAGCTCTACTCATATCTAAAGGGTTTATTTTAAGAAATGAAAATGTTTGAAGCAGTTATATGCAAGAAAAGGGTAACTTACCAATTCATTTCGGAGAGAAGCCAAGGCAAAGTTAATTCGCTCAGTTGCCATTTCTATTTTGTCTCTGTCTGTTTTCAAAGGAAATATGTACTCAGTAAGGAAGTCAGTTTCTAACTGAGGAACTGTACATTTCATTCTGTATTTATAGTATACCACGTATGGAAGAGTTTAACAATTTTTCGCTCCAGTGGGTTCCCACACGCACAGATATCTCTCCGGGTGCAGAATGAACCACCGGGGGGAGATCAACTTTCCCTGAGTATTGTTCGTGCCACACTGCGCCGGGACAATGTCGTAAGACCTGTCGCGCCGCCAAATGAAAGCAATCACTCGATAAAGCTCTCCAAAATAGTTTTTGTATGTTTAATATTAAATAAATTCTAATCAAGTTGTGACAATGTAGCGACATTTTATTGCAAATTTAAAACTCAATTCGATGTTCCACTTAAAGCTTTATTGCTTCGGTGGGGCCAATATCTTGAACGGTTTGCACCCTTTAATAGGGGAAATAGTAACCGGAATTAAGTCAACAATAATATAAAAAGTATTTGTGTGATAACCTAGGCTGGGTTTGATAATGCAAAATACAATAGGGCACGAATTTCAACTTATAATGGAAAGCCTCCTTAAGTTTTATTAAAAACTAGCATTTTAATTTCATGAAATCGATTAGTTTAAAAAGACAAACGGATGAAGTGTCAAAATCCAAAGACTTAAAATATTTTATTGAAACGATTCTATGCCTATCCGTTCTCTTGGCTGTTAAAATAAGTGCAAATGAAATAAAGCAACTTTCACTAATATATATTTTTACAAGTTTTAATTTTTTATGTAGATTCGGGGGGAAAAACCCCTTACTGTTGTTAATTTAAACGTCAGAAAACCAATGACTTTGATAATAAATACCATGCATCATAGCATGTGCTAGTTTTCCCTTTCAAATTATTTAGTACAAAAATAAACATTTATTCCGCACTTCACTGGACATGTATAATGCAGCTTCTTTTGCCTGTCGTGATAGTACTTAGCATGCTATGACGTCCAGCATCATGCATAATAAAGTCTGACTTCCCTGACTATGCAGACGATATAGCTATCAATTATCATTTCCGCGGTAATATTACTGTCCAGTCGGTGTTCTTTTCTACTCTGAGAAGTAAACCTGCCTTTCATTTGCTCCACAGTCTAATGGTAAAATGAATAACAAATTACCTGAATGATACTTCCGAGAGCCTTTTTATTGTGAAATTGAATAATCAAAAGACAGTTTCGATAGGAAGTTTGAAAAATGAAAGATGTGTATTGGATATCACTTATTCACCATTGCTCTGCATGCTTACTCCTCCTAGCCTCCTGATCCCACCTCTGGAATTTCCGGGGTCCGTGTTTTATGTCCAGTTCCCAGGTTTTTATTGTTTGTAGGTTTTATGTGATCGATCACAGTTCGTTATATTCACCTTTTTCACTCAGAATGTAAGGAAGAAGAGGTGAGGCTTAAGACGGAATTGATTTGAGTAGCAGTGGTAGTATGTTGTTTAAAATAATTGTAGTTGTGAGCATGAGGAACTGGTTTGTGACAGAATACGATAAGACTTGCTGAAAGGATAAAACTCTTTTATAACTATCTATTCTGTTTATCATTCCTTATTATAAATCATTAGTTAAAAGCACATATTTTAGAAGTCAATACTATTTTGCTTATTATTATAGATATATGAGAAAATTGAAAGCCTCTCTTATGTAATTACACAATACATTTCTTAATTTGAAAACATGGTTTCTAAGCCATGATTTAGAATGTGTTTCTTGTCAATTGATGATCACTTCGGTCTTAATTTATATTTTTGTAATCCAGGGTTACAGATCTTAATATGAGAGCTTTAAAAAAGGGGAAAAATATTAGCTATTGTTTTTCAAAATTCAAATAAAAACTACAGATAAAGCTTAAAAACACAGCTAAAATTTTATCCAGTGGTTAATTCTGTTCAGTGGACAAAAAGGAGCTGTTTTTATAAAAGTTTGATGTTTACACTGTTCAACAACTTAAATAAATTATTTGTTAATATTTAGTGTATCTGACCAATTATACTCAAAAAATGCAAGACAAATACGTATACATTTGTGGTCAATTCAATACTTTCAAACGCATTTAAAAGTATGTGTATAAAAGATTAGACCAATTTGAATCCATCAATTTAATAGTTTCAAACTTAAAAACTGTTCGCTATTAATTTTCAAAATTCAAATAATCAACACAGAAAAAAATCTTCCATTTTTTAATCTCTTAAATGGACAAAATAGAAAATCTTTAACAGTGGATGTGTACTTCCATCATTATTATTATTGATAAGACAATTGTTTTGTACTTACATACGATAAAAGAGAATTTGGTTGAACAGTGTCATTGTGTTTTGAACATAATAATAATCTATGACAGTATGTTTCCATTGAACACATCACTATCTGTATTGCAAATTTTGAAACATTTTATATAATAAAAATTTTTTAATTCCGAAACTTTTTAAAATGTTTGTTTATTTTATTATTTTATTTGCTTTAATACATAGTATGGCATTCTATATTATTTAGAAGTTTTGATTCTACATTCTACATATTAATTGTACATCTATCAAACCTATTGTTCTCTATCTTAGTGTTTCTTTATATTCTTTCATTTTCTTCCAGAATAATATGTGGAGTTAACGAACAATAGTCAAGCTCAGAGGTCCATTGAAATGCTAGGAAGTTATTTATTTTATGATAAACTTTCATATCCAATTTTGTTCATACATTCTACCTTATAATGTGATAAGTATATTCACAGACATTTCACTTAATGTTTGATACATTTTATGCCTTCTTCCTTATCCATATTGACCTTTCAAAATGCCTTAAATTGGTCTTTGTTCCAGCATATTTTCAGAATGGATCTTAATATATTTATTACTTGTGATTATGAGAAATCGAACTCAAGTTGAATTACGGAAGATTACTGAAAAAAACCTAAATTTCTTTTTTTTTAAAATTCACCAAAAAGTCTCAGTGCTTCTTTTTATCTCGAGATAAGATTGTTAAACAATTTATAAGTTTTTCCGTTTTTATTTCACATAATACTTGTACAATTAGATAATTTTCATTCCAATGTATTGCTATCCCGACAATTCTAATTTTAAATAAAATCTTTACAATTCTTTTTTGAGTTCTTTTGTAAACAACTTTTAGGGAAAAGAATTTCATATCAATGCAATTATTTTAAGTTAATCTTACATATTTTTGATGAAAAATACACTTATAGTATTATTGACCGATTAGTACTTTAACAAGCACAAAAATTAAAATAATTACATATGAATTTAGTGGAGTTGTTTATTCCTCCTCTCTTTTTAAACACATTTTCCACAATAATGGACTGCTGTCTAATCTTATTTTATCTTAATTCAATTTTATTTAACGATACACTGTATATCAAGAAATCAATACTGTTGCAGTAATAAGATAGAAAAAGAGTGAATGAACATAAAATTTTTTTTTTTCCAAAATAAAATTGGAAAGTATAAATATTTAACAAATATTTTATTTTAATATCGTCTGTAAAATGAAATTATCTATAAATTATACCCCCCCCCCCCCCCCCAGTATTAACTGTGGTATAAAACAGTGCGATATAGCTGTAAGATCTTCATTATAGATAAGCTGTACTCATAAATATACCGACAAATTTGAAAAAGCTTTCGTGCCTTTTGTTTAAGATAAGAAGTAAAGAAATGAATTGTGGAGACAGTGTTGTGAAATATGAGCCTCCACTTGGGTACCAGTAACACATACCCCCTAAAAGTGCATGTGGTTCGAACAAGCACCTAATGTTATGGTCATGTCCCATACACGGAATTCTTAAGAGGAGGTCATTGGTGCAGGACGAAAGAAAATTACTCACTGACTGACAGGAGATAACCTGATTACAGGTTCTGGTTTATACATGTGATAGATTTCTTTGATCTTTTAAAAAATGAATTCTTTTACAATATGAAATACATTTTGGTTAGATTGGTATAGATCAATCAAATATCTGAATTAAAGCAATAACGAAGTACTCTTTAGGAAGGGATTTTCTTCAGCCTGTACTATGCGTAAATCTATTAAATGCATAAAAAGAAAAGTAATAAAAATATAGGATTTCCAAATTAAAACTCCTTTAAGTATGAATAGTGATACACTTATTTATATAAGCAATAATCAAAAACAACTCGTCTATTGTATTTCAATGACCATGAAAATATAAAAACTTGAGAATGAAATTGGATTGCTTCAACACTAATTAGGAGAGTGACGAGTTTAACTTCATACTCTCGTTGTTTAATTATATTCTTCTGTGGAAAGTAACTGTTTACATAACGAAGTTACAAGAAAAAAAATCCAATTCTAAAAAGAACATGTTTTACTCGATTCCAACAATTCATGAACAAAATACTAACAATGCCATTCTTGATGTACAATAAAATATCTTGTACTGATAAGTCAACATTGTTTTTTTTCCGGATTTTTCAACTGCAGCCAGTGATCGAATAATGTACATTTCCACAGCTTTCGTGAGAGTAAATTCACAATAGGCAGAGATAAACCCGTTTTATGTCATACCATGTTTGTAACTTGACCGTTCTGCAACTCCTGCCTTGCAATCTTGTCTGTTAAAGGCTGGTTATGAGGTTCTACAGAGCTACTAACAATCACATCAGCTGTGTTATGCAGACAAGACTTCACGAGTCTGATGACTTTTAGTCCGAGTCAATGTCAGAAGACGAAAGATCTGAAGCATCAGAGACAGGCATATCCTCTATAGACCTGGTGATGTCTGTAAAACAAAGAATAATAAGGAATAAAATTAAAATACTTCTGTTAACGTTTCTTATAAAATGTTTAGGAGTTAAAATAATTATTTCCCGTGTTTGAAAATTTGCACGTACAGCAAAGCTTTACCTCGCTGTATAAAATATGTATTTTAGGCATCAGAAAACATATACATGTACATCAGTATTATTAAACATTTATCTACTGGGTGACAAATTAAAGGGATAGCTACATATATGTAGCTCTTTTATCAAACCCTTGACAGCAACTATTCTCCATGGGCAATTCTTGGGGAATAGTTTATCTCTAAGGTTGACAAAAGAGCTACCCAACTGACCGTCAGTGGAAAAGTGTAAATTGTACGTCGTAAATGTTACAGAACACAATTTTCTATCAAATTTAAAGATTTTTGAAATAGATCAATTCTCAGTTACCTCTAAGGTTCCTCAGTGAGTCTGATAAATGTTGTGGTGGTGCGTCTGTTCTTTTAATTAGCAGCGTTTCCTCTGTTCTGTTGTATCCTAGGCAGTTAGTGTGTCCATGTCTGCAGATGATTTTGTGACCAAGGGTTAGTCGTGGAACCGGCTTTGAGTCAAAGGCCGCTTTCTGAATCGTCTTACTGATCTGAAGCAGGCTCTGCATTAAGATTTCGTCCTGGTTTCTTATACTGGCCTGGAATAGAACAGGAAAATTATTAAATTTTAGCTGTGCATATACAATGTGCAATAAAAAAAGTATGAAAAAATAAATCAGAGTTACAAGATGACCTATTCAATTTATCCGTTCTTTAATTTAGAAACTTTATGACCCACCAGTTCGTTTTTAATGGAATCAACTTCATTGAAATTATTCACTTCAAAATCCATCTTGTATTTATTTTATTTCACAGACGTATTTGATATATTTCGACGATGATGATAGTATTTATAACAAATTCGAGAAACGCACGAACGAGAACAAATATACAATAACAAAACATCAAATAATTGTTCAACCCTACTGTTGGTCCGAAATTGTCTGATCCCCTACAAAGGGTATCAAGTTAAGACGACCATTGTGTAGAAACTTAAGGAATGTTTTAATGAAAGAGAAAGGTGTTTGTTCAGTGGGGTATAGACTTCATGACCTTACACTATTTTGTGTCTATCGATATTAATATATATGATTATTTTCAAATGTTCTTCATAACATTTACATATACATGTCTTTATTTGTGTTTTAGAACGACTATATATTTTGTATATAATTTGAAGATCCGGTCTCTTGTAAAGTTTCTTCGTTATATCTTTTTTAAAGTAAATTCTCATTTCTGTCATGAAACATTTTTCCAAATATTTATATTAGTTTCAACTTTATCTAGTGATACGGTATTTATATTATGGATTTAAGAAGTTATAATCTTTAATCTTTGAAATTTTATATATATATATATATATATATATATATATATATATATATATATATATATATATATATATATATATATATATATATATATATATATATCTATCTATCTATATATATATATATATATATATCTATATCTATATCTATATATATATATATATATATATATATATCCAGTGTACCCGGTAAATTATAGTTACAAAATCATTAAGTGAAATCTAAAGCGTTTTCGTGTCAAATTCCTCTAAGTCTTGCAATAAATAAAGAAGTAAAATTATTACACCACTAAGCTGATTCACCGCTCATCGTAAATTAAAGCTTCTGAAAATTTTGAAATGAAAGCAACAAAGCTTTTCTAAACGTTTTCGTATTTCTTTTTATTTTAATTTGCATTTCCCTCTTTGTAAATAAATTATTTTTCAACAACTATTCAGTGATTTTTTTTTTTCAAAAGGCTCAAGAAGAATTATTTCGTTAAATCGTTTTTATTTAACATAAATTTCAATGTATTTCAAATACCAGCATTATTTCAATGCCCTGAATAAGAATATGGCATGATTTTTGATAATGCAATTAGTATTTATCTTTCTGAAATATTCTGTAACTGATCCATTAGTGCTGAATAAACAGCGTAATATTTTTTAAAAATAAAGATAAGGTCATTCAGTTAATTTATCACATGTTAATTAAGGATTTATATTGCACATGTATTAATATTACCGACAGGTGCAACTGGTCCTGACAAATGATTTATATTGTTAAAGCTTGTCCATTTAATCGGAGAAGCAATGCATAAAATCAAATCACACAAATATAGGTTTAAAAAGATAAAGTTTGCTTGTTTTGTTTGTACATTGATGAAAATAATATGGAACTAATCTGTCATATAAAAAGTTAACTATTTGCTGATTCATCTTTAATTTGAAATTGTATGGATTCAAATGTGAATGAATAACCAAAGATGTAATATAATGAGAAAATTTAAAAATCATTGAATGCCTTTAAATTTTTGATAAATCCTCTCTTTGATTGTATCACATCAGTATTTGTAGAAGATATTGTTTGATATTTAGATATGGAGTATTGAATTTAAGAGATCAGGGGCACAGTGATTTAGGACTGTCTGTACCAACCGACCTCAAAGTAAGGATATTCTTTTTAAGATTGATCAGAGAGAATCACCATTTTACATGTACCTCTGATAGAAATCAATCTTCCTTTTCTGTAATATTTTTTAATCTATCCCTGTTTTAAAATGAAAGAGAACACTTCTTTTTAATTTAAAGATATAAAAGGAACCTTGTATGATTCATAGCATGCTGGAAATCCTAATGGGTAATTAATCTTTCAAACTAAAGATTGGTGCCTTTTGATTAATTAATGTTCATCTGTCTTGTATGTGTTAACTGCTTCATCTTTTGCAGTGTTAGTTTTGTGTTGGTGTTGGTTAAATTATAATGTTACTAATGACGGATTTAATTTTCAATATCTTAAGTTGACATATTATTCTTTATTTTCAGAAACTAATCCAAAATTGTTACCCATTTTTTAAAAATAAAATCCATCCTTTTCCATTCCTTAATCTTACATTTATGCCTTTCGACAATTACGTAAGACAAGTCATTCGTCATTTCTTATTCACATCAAATCGATTGATATTTTGACTTGGTTAACTGGCTATAAGACTAAGTCCCTATATTCGTCATTTCTTGTTCACATCAATCGAGAGTGGTTTGTATTTGGTTAACTGGCCAAGATGCGGTCATTTCATCCACATATCATCACTTCTAGTGAGACGTGTAGTAATATCTATGTTTAAAACGTACTGAAAAAGGTAACGTTTAGTAAAATAACTTCACAGGAAAAGGTCGCGGTGTGTGGCTTCCTCATTTAGGTTGTCAGGATTTTACGTACAATGAATCTGTTAGAAGGTAGAAATTCAATTAAATGAAGACGTCAATTTCAAACTATATGTATTTATCTGATCAATTTTCCTATCGGCGGTAATGGATAAGTGTAGAAATTAATCAGTGTTTAAATATTTAAAAATGAAGAGGAAAAAGGACACAATTATATCAACAAAATAGTAATGTAAAGAAAGATAGAGTCGTCATTAAATTTTAAAAAGTCCGTTATCGGGAAAGAAAGGGAATGGGTTCAATTGCATTAAGATTACAACGATATATTATCTTCGATCATCCAGGAAAAATTGAACATCATAAAAGGACTTAAGAAAAACATATAAAAATATCATGACATGAGAAAACAACGAGATAGTAATAATATTCACACCTGCTGAACTCTCACCTTAAAGGATAAACGTGTTTAAAAGGACTTCCTGAGTAAGATACTATTAGACAAGAGTCGTGATTCACGGACAGATTAACAACAAGGCATCAGTAAGATCCCTTGTATCTAATCTCAGAATTTTCAGTATATATCACTACTACTATACTTTAAGTGAAAATCCACAGGTTTGGGATGAACGATAATGACTGTTTGTAAATTTTATTTTTAAAAAAAGATCGAAAAACAAGTTGAAGTATATTATTCTGGATTGAATAAACTTTCATTTCAGTCGGATAAATCAAACTTAAAGTTTTTTAAACTTCGAAATTCCCTTGGTGAGGAAAGATATAGATAATTCAGAGAATTTCCCTTTAGTAGAAATCAGGATGTGTTCATTATCAAAGGTATAATGTCTGTGTTCCCGAGAAACAGCCTCGTTAATGTTACTTTTTATTAAATAAGACCTGGATATTTCACTATCTGTCATAGCTACAGCAGAATTTATCGATAATCCCTGCATTAAAAAACCTTTTACGCCGACAAAGCGTACCAAGTAATGAGACATTAGTAAATATTTAGATTTTAAAGGATTTTATTTTAAACTAATAACAAGTATGGTAAATATCAACAAATGTAAAGTATTAAAAAAAATGAATAAATATAAGCACCATAATCTAAAATGCAAATATAGTTGTTATTAATTACATACGTCGGAATTTAAAAATCAAATGGAAATATGTGCGTCATAAACAATTACAGAGACAAACTCGTCACTTCTGGAATACAAATGAAATTGGATGTAAATGAGTCTTGTGTAGCTCCATAAACACTGTCCCTTAAGTGTCCCTTCTATCTTCGAAAAGGAACCTTTTTGTTTTAATGATTTCAATAGACTCCTCATGCAATGTTAATGATGTTTGGTGTGCTCTTGAAATGAAACTGAAAAGAAAATATGAAATAATCGCAGAATATCATGCGCCACTAGGGAAGGCAGTGTTTATAAATTGTAGATAAAAACCCACGGATCATCCCAGAGTTTATTTATAAATTCTACACTATCATGAACCGTTTGAGAAGGAGCTATCAACAGACTCTTGTGAGTACTTCCATAGTTTGATGTTCTTCATTAGAATTCCGTGATATTTTTTCTCGTCTACATCGTCCTCTTCCGGGAGAGGTCTCATGTAGGACAGGTGACAATTTCTGTACACTTCCGGGGACAAAGACGTAGAGGACCCAGACAAAGATTCCAGATCACTCTCAGACTCAAAGGGCGATCCACTCAATTCTTCCAGAGAATCTGGAAAGAAAATATGAACATTGCATAAACTGAGTAATTCAAGAGCATCATACATTAACTGAAATCTTTCCAAAGTTGTTCATCTTAATATCTTATGACTACCATCAGGATTGAATTTATTGATATTGCTCACCATCAAAACTATGGTCAAAAGCTTCACTTCTTCTTAGTTCCCCCACTAGAGGAGCACTCCTGTGTCTGACGAGGGGGTTCTTTAGGTTACAGACGATATCAGCGCTTCTCTTATTGATTCTATCCAGGTTTGGACGCTTCATGGAACCAAAGCTCGCGCTCCTCATGACCGGGTTCCTGTCTCTGTTGTTCGTTATGTTGCTGATGGCGGTGTTTATAGAGATCAACTGTCTCATTAGTTTTACATCTTGACTCCTCATCTCCATCTGTAACATGATTAAAATTTATCTGTCAACCACTGCATAAGTTAAATATAATTCATACTAAAATATGATACAAATTAAGCACAGAAAACTATTACTTACCAGATCAGCTTTAAGCATGGATAATGCTTGCGTTATTCTGTCTATTGAGGATTTTCGTTCCATTTTCAGATATATTAAGGTAATGTAAAAACTAGCCAGTTTAATTCCTTAATGTGATGGTGATCCCCTGAGAAGATTTATAAAGGTATTGTGACTGGTTTCCTGATTGACAGGTGTAAGTTACCTATTATCTGAATCACGTGACGGCTGTCTGCCTACAGCAGTGACACGCACCACAACATAGAAATTTACATAATGAACGTCATTTTAAAAAATGAAAACAAACAAGATGTTATAACCGTACAAACACACATGGCTATTCACTATCAGATTTTCGATTTGCTTAAACTCTGAAAACTTATAAAGACAGACAGACGTGTCAAAAGTCTTCCGGTTATTTCAAATGTTCATTTTAGGCCATTAGTGACTATCTTATTTAACGAATTATGAAGTATGTGTAATGGTAATTTTAAAACTGTTGTTTGACACAATTCTGTTTAGGTGTTAGATATGATCCTTAAAAAGCACTTGTTTTTGAATCAAAAACAAAACATAAATAAATAAATAAATAAATAGATAAATAAATAAATAAAACAATTTGAAAATAAATAAAATTAAAAAAAAGTAAGATGATATAAAATAAAGTAAAAGTACAAGCTTTCCAATAAATCATGCCATTTTGAATTGTGAAATTACAATTTTATATTGGTCTTACTTGTATTTTAATTCAGTATTTATTTATTGAGACAGCAAGATACTCATTAAAATAATAATACACACGAATAAATAAGGAGTCTGTATTCAAATCATAGCTTAAAGAATAACAATAAGACCTTGACTTCAATATCTAATCAATTTACTTAAATGCAAACACATATAAACCACATGTATTAAAACATGACAGGTAAAACCACAAATTAATTAACATATCATCTAGATAAATATATGAATGGAAATATGACGCATCAATGTAGGTTTAACAAATAACACTGAATCTCTTATTTATAAATTTACGCTGTGTCTTACTCACCCGTACAAAGACCGGGAAAACAACAACCAATTATGGGATTATGACAAATACACTGATTTAAAACGGAAACGCATGAAAGTACTAGAGAATCCATTAGATACTTTTAATTTGTCATTGCAATGAGAGATACCAGTGCATGGTCTATAAAATGTGGAGAAAACACAAATCTAGAAATACATTTATATATTAAAAAAAATGTTAAATTTCAAACAAGAGAATTTGAGTTTTTTAAATATATAGAATTAAAAAAAAGCTCAATGGAAATGATTTCAATGTTACACAATCTTTGGAAAGAATATCCAGAATCCAGGAAACATGTTATTCTTCTTAAGGTTTTAGACTTCAATGGCATATAAATAATATTTATTATATGATATGTTTGAACATTTTTGAATTATTTATATTGATCAACATTTTTAGGAGCATAATCTTTCAATCAGTGCAATTAATATCGGAATTTGACTGTCAAGCAATATATTATAAATCATATGAAAAAATATTAAGATTAAAAATGAAAATAACATTATACCATATAAGGACTTTTATAATTATTGCGATCATTATGGAATCTTTTACATATACAATAAAATACTTCTGCAGACTTCTCAACTTTTCAATCTTCACTGACATTGAAATGAGTGAAATTTAAATATCATTTTAAATCTTAGAACTTTATTTCTTTTAATTGTAAAGAAAAATTTACACTTGCAAAGATATGTGAAAAATCTGTCCGTCATGTACCACGTTGTTCGAAGGTTGGATATTTACATATTATTATCATACGGGTTTCCCATTTCATGTCTATCTGAAGTTGTACAAATTTAATCAATTCCTCGGTAGTATAGTGGTAAGTATCCCCGCCTGTCACGCGGGAGACCGGGGTTCGATTCCCCGCCGGGGAGGAGTTTCATTTTTATCTCCAAAAAATTTCTTTACTCAAATATGATATTTTTTATATTAAAAAAAAAAAACAAAAAAAAAAAAAAACAAAACTTTTTTACTCTGTCACGAGAATATGAAAGACATATACATGTAACAAGAAAGAGAGAAAAAAGCAATTTTAATTTAACAAGTTTTTTTTTTAAAATTATGTACGCCAAAACATTTCACTAAACAACATTTAAATTTCTTTCGATATGTATTAACAGATTCATTAAACTATTTCTTTACAGAACTGGATTGTAATAAATAAGGGTTTTTTTTCTGTAAGCCTTAAACTTGTTTACTTTTCCCGACGTATGTTATACACTGAACTAATGTCACTTGTTATTGTCCCCAGGTATATAGGTACTTCTGGATACAGACTAGGATATTAATATTTCACAGACCTCTGTGACTGCTCTACAAATTTCGGTCCCCCCAAATCATTACAGACTTCCCTTATTTGTACCTTATGACCCTTATGACCTTATCTAATGTTTTCCTCCTGTGTGAGGCGATTCTATCCCTCATTGTGACATTTAAATCTCAGATTAACGCCCTTTCAAGAGAAAACTTAATCATTTAACCAACAGAAAACGATAAGGAACCATTTCCGAATACACATTTTTAGTTAAGCTTATTACATTCGCAGTTCTCTTTCAAAGTACGAGATTCTTCAACATTTTGTAAGTGTCAGTTTTCTAAATTTTCAATGTTTTAAAAAAATCCTAACAGGATTTCAAATGTTCCTAAAGTCGAAAAGAGGCATACCGGGATCCAGAAAAAGTTCGACTTAGCCTCAATCTATATTGCTCATGAAAATATTAATAGTGAAGGAAAAACTTTCCGATTAGTGCTAATCAAATATGAATACTTAAAAACCCCAAAGATCGTTTAGAAAATTTGAAATCACTAAACTTTATTCACTTATAAGTGAATACTTAAAACCCCTAAAGATCGTTTAGAGAATTTGAAATCACTAAACTTTATTCACTTATAAGTGAATACTTAAAACCCCAAAGATCGTTTAGAGAATTTGAAATCACTAAACTTTATCAATTATAAAGGAAACTTAATTCATCTTCGATTATAGATAACGGCTTCTCCAATAAAAACGGTACTCGGAAAAAGAGATATGATAGTCACTCGAAAGTATTTTTGATTTTTGGCTTAAGTATTCTGAAGTAGATATAACAAAGATGCTGGAGTTTCTATTGCCTAAGTCCATGGGTCTTTGGGGACCAGAACAATTTGTCGGAATGTGTACTGTGTCTCTTTATTAGCAGACATGTTTTGTGCTACGTTAAAAAACAAAATTTATTTAAAAAAATTCTACACGAAAAGAAAAGGTCTCTTGTGGCCTTGAATTCGAAAGATAAGTATATTGACAACGTTTTATCTATTAACAATGTATATTTTCATTCATATGTCAAATCGAAATATTCTATTAAACTCAATTAAAGAAGCCAGAGACTCCGACACACATCTGTTTCAAATCTGGATATTTTCTAGAGATAGATATTTATGCAAATTAGTAGCTAAACTCTACGATAAACAGGATGATATCAACCTTTTCTATCATCAACGTTCCTTAGTTATGTAGCATTATACCATAATCGTCTGCATTTGGTGTCTATGTCTCTCAGATGTTTTACTTACGATAATTTCTAAACCGAGGCTGGTAATTGACAAAATTAATGTAATATGGATATCATCAATTCTGTCTGCATATGCATTCTGTCGAATGTTGGCTGACTTTTTTCATACACAGACCATTTCTGCTTTGGTTTGAGTGACCCTGTATAAGATTAAGTAGCCTAGTTGTTGTGTTTACACTTAATTTGTACAATATGCTTTGAAGAAAAACTGTCAAAGTTATGTTGACGAAAACTTTTAAGTAAGCTTTGTGAACAAAGTATTTCTTAAATGTTAGCAGTGATCTGTTTTCTTCCTATTTCAGTAATAGTGTCAATATTTTAGAAGTTTTGTAAATGGCATATAACTTCATTTATATAATTGGTATACATATTGATCAGACTTCTTATGTTTTTTGAACAGGCAGTGTCAATGTCCGAGGTATGTCAAAACATAACTCTGAAAGACATGTTTATGACACTTTGAGAGGACATTTTAATAATATATTTATCAAAACATTATCTGTAAACTCTTTAAGCCTTGTTTATTCTTACTGAGGCTTGTAAAATGAACTGTTCCCTGGGTTAAGGTTAAGTGTTCAATGACGATCCTGAATCAAAATTAAATGATACAGAAATCCAGTAACATAACTTAATTACTGGTATCGCCAAGCTTTTGAGGTGTCCAAAATTTCCGCGACTGCTCGTTCGAAGGATTTTAACACTCGTTTTCATTACCTTTTGACATGATCATATCTAATGTCCTCTGTCTACCAGACAGTTAAAGCACTTATCAGACATTTAAATTACATGTTACAAGTCACTTGTAAGAATGGGAAGCTTATCACTCGTCATAACAAGATGGAAAATCAATGTTTAAAGCGAAAGATGAGAAATCTGTTTGCGAATTCCGAAAAAACAATTTATTCTTAATCATCAAGATAATCTTTTTCTCCCGTCACCCATACATAGTTCAATTCGAAGAATAATTTGCGTATTGTTTAATATGATCGAAACAGATTTCAGCTGCTTAAAAGTATATTTTCCGTCGTCATTCAGTTTTGCCGCTTTAACAGGAAAAAAAAAGGGAAAATACGAAGTGATCAATCTTAGAAATGTACAAACAATACAAATCTGTGAACATAGCATAAAACACAGACCCTCGGAAATTCCAGAGGTGGGATCAGGTGCCTAGAAGAAGCACGCATCCCCTTTTGACCGTTCACACCCGCCGTGAGCCCTGTGTATTGATCAGGAAGACGGATCATTCCGTAGTTTAAATCCTTTAGTATAAAATAGGCCCGTAGGAATGTCTAATGACTTTTTTCGTCATGTCGAAGAATTTCTGTTAGATTGTGCCCCCTTCTCCTCCAACTAAAATTGTTTTCTATGGGCCTGTCAAACAATTTAATGGGCAGTCATGTATAATTCGTTTGATTACGAATTTACAATGTTAGGAAATCAACTTTATTTAACTACGCCTATTTCTTATGTAGAATTTTCCCCCTCTAAACAATATTTAATCCGTGAACATGAACTTGTGAAAATTAC